CGCTAGCGGAGAAGGTGCGATGGATGTAGGGGTGTAGGGGTGTAGGGGTGTAGGGGTGTAGGGGTGTAGGGGTGCGGATGGGCGTACGAGCAAGGTAAGGGTGGGTTGGGGTGCGGGGCATGAGCGTACGGATACAGCTAACCCAAGCAAAATCCAACTACTGCCGACCGACCCACTGACCCATGGGTCACCCCCCAACGCCACCAGGGTCTGGAGCTCAACGCGGCCCTAGCTCCCGTACTCACCACGTTCGGCTGTACGGCAAAGAAGGGCGGCAGCGCCATGATGTCGTCATCGTCGTCACCGTCATTGTCAAAGCCAACATCACCTGGACCCGCAACAACGTCGGGGGACAACAGCACGAGCAGCAACAACAGCGGCAACGGCACCAGCAACGCGACCACTGGCGATGTGGGCGGCATCCCCAAGGCAACCGACAGCAGCGGCAGCAACGGCAACACCCCAGGCGGTACTGCCGACGCCCCCTCCTCGCCCCCCTCTCCCCCTTCACCACCAGGATCCAAACCCCCGCCCTGCCCCAACGGTGCCAAACCCAAGAAGAACGGCAGCTGCCCCTCCTCACCCTCCACACCTCCACCCTCACCTGCCAGTGCCAGTGCTGACGTCAACACTGATGCCGGCAGCAGCTCCCCAGCAACAGCAACAGCAACAGCAACAGCACCCGCAGCAACAGCACCCCCCGACCCATGCAGCTGCTCCCAGGACGGGCTCAGCGGCGGCGCCGACACCCGCATGCTGGGTTGCGCGCAACACGGCGCGGATGTGGGCGACCTGCTGTACTACTGCATGGTAGTGGGGGGCGCGGGGGGCTGCCCCAGTGCCGTACCCTCGCGAGTGTTCGACGGAGCAGCCTGGCTGGAGTGCAAACCGCAGTCGGCGCCGTCGCCGTCGGAGCAGCAGTCGGCGTCGGGATCGGCGGCGAATGCGGCGGCGAAGGCGAATGCGACGGCGCCGAGTGGGGCCGAAACTAAGCCGACGACGTCGCCATCGCCAGCGGTGCCAATAGTGATAGCGTATGAGGGCAGTGGCAGCAGCAGTGCTAGCAGTGGCAGTGGCAGTGGCGGTGGTGGCGGCGGAGGAGGTAGTAGCGCGGGGCGTGTTTTGGTGGGTGGGTTGTTACAGCAGGTGCTTGCTCCCCTCCTAGGAAGGAGGCGGTAGCTGTTGTACCACTGGGGGCGTGAAGAAATTGATTTAAGTGTTAACGAAAGCAGCCCGAGTTCGCAAATTGCATCCATGCCCCGTGTGAGTCGCCCTGGGGGAGCGAGGCAGGGGTGCGGATGAGTGGGGAAATGAAGATGATTGGGCAGGCAGCACGCATTGTGGCAAGTGATATCACGTGAACGCACTTCTAGCTCCATTGTTGCACTCTAGCCGTGATTGTTACAGTGATGCACAACTGCCGCCTGCCCCACACCTTGCGATCAGATGTAGGTTCGGGGAGTTGGGGCCAGGAGGATGCATGGGGGATAGGTGACCCTACGGAATGGGGACCCCACTGCGCGCCCGACCCACCACACATCCTGTGTTGCGGTAGGCGTGCAGGCCTGCTTTGGAGTATAGGGCGGGGTTGCACGGCCCTAGCTGCTGCTGGTCTCGTGGGCAGCAGGACTTTGTAGCAGGGAAAGCCTGCGGTATGGACTGACCCTTTTTAATAAGCTGCTGGGTGTTGTCTTACCGCAATGGGGTTAGGCTGGGGTGGCTTGGGCGTACTGTTCTCTGCTGGGTTTGTTTGGTGGTTTAGGGAAGATGGCTGTCTGTATGAATGGCCGCTGGAAAGACGGCTGGGTGTCTGTGTGTTGTCGGTGTGCTCCTCTTTGGCGGACATCTGTTGCTGCTGCTACAGCCGCCGTCTACCGCCATGCAAAGGCGGCTACTGCGACCAAAACTGGAACCGCGTTAACTATAGTTAAGAGAGGGGAGACCGTGGATTTCTCACGTTGCGTGGCTGCTTCATGCATCAAGGTACCTCGCATTGTTGGCACCCGCGACGGACGTATGCCCCGGGTCGAATAGGTGAGGCGTGAGGGAGAACAAGAAGACCGACATGCGTAGTACAAATGCACGGAAGGCAATGATGGTAGTAGGTTTCTACACATGCCGTAAAGGCGGCCTTGCTGGTGCTTAGCAGTGTCGAGCATGCTGTGCGAATTTAAGAGGCCAGGAGACGTATTCTGGTAAACCGGCTTTACAAGCGGGAAATGACCCATGGGTCATGCTTCACGTAGCCTACGCTGCTCTAGGGCAGCCGCATGCATCACAGCCGCATGCTCGGCCCCCTTTCTCCAGGTGGCTTCCACTACTGCATGCAACCAGTTGATCCGATCATTGATGCTGGTGCAAACAATTGTTCACAATAAGAAGTGGTAAATAGCTAATTTGGGAAAAAAGCAAAACCTGCAACAACCTGCATTGGAATGAGACATGTTGACATCAATACTGCTTTGATAACCAATGTAACGGTCATTCATAGGACTTCACCTCAAAACATTAAGAATCACCCAAACAGCCGTTTAACCAATCCTGCTGTTCTCAATCAAAAAGTCAAACCGTACGGTGTACGTATTGTACTACAGTCCGTCTGACGAGTGCCGTACGTACGTAGCGGCACCCTAGGTGTAATGTTGGGAGTCTACAACAACTACAACACTCCACAACTGGCCATGACCCATCTAACCATCAGGAGGATGAATTCCTACTCTACATTGCTATTACTTTGCCCTAAACGGCCCTATTTCGGTTCCTCAAAGCAGCCATATTAGTTGCGAGTCACAACTACCGGTAGCTAGTTTCCTTCTGCGGGGGGCGGGTAGAAGTCCTCAACGGGAGGGGGCCCCAGCAGCTCGGGAGGAGGAGGCGGAGATTCCTTGGGCGGAGGAGGAGGCGGGCTCTTGCGGGCCGGAGAGGGAGGCGGCTTGGCAGCAGGCGAGGGCTTGGGTGGTGGGGGAGGCGGAGGGGAAAGGGGAGACGGAGGAGGAGGGGGAGAAAGCGGAGGAGGGGGGGAGCGTGTCACCACCCGGCTTGGCGGAAGCAGCGAGGGTGAAGGAGAAGGCGGGGGTGAAGGAGGAGGCGAGGGTGCAGGAGATTGGCGGGTCAACGGAGAAAGGCGGGGCGAGGGAGGAGGGAGCGGGCTGGGGCTGGGCGGTAGTGATGGGGGCGGTGAGCGGTTCTTCTTGTTGCTTGGAGGAGGAGGCGATGAGGGTGAAGGAGAGGGCGAGGGGCTTGGAGAGGGCGATGGGCTTCCCTTGGGGCTTGGAGGGGGAGGTGGGGCTTGGGAAGAGGGAGAGGGGCTTTGCTTGGGGCTTGGAGGAGGAGGCGGCTGGGGTGAAGGAGATTGACGAGGGGAGGGAGGGGAGAGCCGCACTTGTGGGCTTGGGCTTGGTGGTAGCGAAGGGGGCGGAGAGCGGAGTTTCTTGTTGCTTGGAGGAGGCGGGGATGAAGGAGAAGGAGAAGGGCTTGGAGAAGGCGGCGAGGGTGAAGGAGAAGGAGAAGGGCCTTGCTTGGGGCTTGGAGGAGGAGGAGGTGGAGGTGAGGGAGAGGGGCTTTCCTTGGAGTTCGGTGGAGGAGGTGAGGGCGAAGGGGAGGGAGAAGGAGAAGGGCGTTTCTTGGGGGTTGGAGTTGGAGAGGGGCTTGGAGGAGGCGGTAAGGGTGAACTAGAGGGGGGTGGCGGGAGGATTTGCTTGGGGCTTGGCGGTGGCCGGTTGACAGGCAGCGAGGCTCCTGCATAAGTGGGAAGGCAATAGGGTTACAAGGACGACTTAGCTTGACAGCTAGACTGCGCGTACGGGTTCAGCATCTTCAGTGCCCACCACAGGAAACCGACGGCGGACGTCAATGACAATGATTCGTAAATCGCGGGGACGCGCTTGCGAAGCCCAGCAAGACTAAACCGCATCGGTTCCTACCGCTATTTAAGTGTCACTCACTTGCAGCAGAGGCTTGGCAAACGAAGAGGGCGACCGCCAGGGCCCTGAGCAGAGGATTGCAGCCCATGCTGTTGCCGACACTCCTTCTTTGAACTATGACCCCTTGTTAGCTTAGGGGTAATAAACAAAATCCGACTAAACTGAAACTGATGTTGGGTATGGGATGTAAGTGCCACCCTTTGTCGCGAATGTCAACTGCTTGATTAAAGAAGCAGTGCAACGGGTTCCACGACTCTACGAGAGGGCTAAATCCCTTATAGCACCCGACAGTTCACTGCAAAATGTGACGTAACCCTCGCTCTTTATGGTCAGCTGCAAGTACCGGTAGGCCGCATAGGCGAGGGAGTACGGCGGCGCAAAACGACCAGCTACTTCCCGGCTGTGCTTTTGGTGTCAACTGCGCTACTTCCAGTTTAAATCTTTACACAGGGATTTCGTCCAGCCACCCTGTACGTTTTCGTGGAGATACTGGGCAGTAAGTCATTGGCTCCGGGCATGCTTTCCACGAGGCGTCCGGTCGCTAAGGCGTGCGCAGTAGCCTGAAGTACGTTATAGCCTTATATGTCCAACTCTCCGGCTTCTTGAAATAATATGGGTTTTCTTGCTCAAGCCACGCCTGAGGAATCCCGCCGACGAAGACTGACGCGCCCAATTGCGTCAGTGGCTATAAGCATATGGCCAAGGAACATTGCTACATCGCTACCCAGCCCGACTTGCTGATCTTGCAAATTTCCAAATGCACAGCCTACTGTAAAGATTAGGATAGCCTTATCGAGTAGTCGCTTGAGGCCACGGTAAGGGTTGAACTCCGCCAGCAGCAGACTTCCGGTGCATGGGGGAAATGGCATAGACCCTACTAAGGGAACTATTAAGGGTAATAGCCAGCATGCGTACAGCTGAATTTTACGGCTGAATTTTGCGCAAACTTCAGCTGATCGGTCATGGGGCCTGTGGAAGACGGCCCTGCTTCCCTCCAAAATTGTTTCGCCCCGAAACCGGAGGCAACCAAGCATTGCAGAAGCTTTCGTGCTTCAAGCCTTGGCGTTCTTTTTGCTGCAATACTTCTATGTCGCAAGTTAATGCAAGGGGTGCTAGATCACACCACCTGTGAAGGATTGTGCTCGTCTTTGAAGTTGTCACGTAAAGCGCAGCTAAGTGCCTTCTACGTGGCGCTCATATTAGACGCTATAACGGCCTACAAAACGTCTGCCAGGTAGCAGCGAGTCTCTTACGACAACGTTACTAACTTCGCCAAGCTTCTTAGCAACGTAAGTGCTTGCACTCAATAGCACCGTTGTGCTTACAATTGTCCCAAAAAGCTACACCTTCCAATTTTATAAACTGTAAGACGGAACCGCCCATCACAGGCAATGCAACGCTACGACGTGAATCGTCATGGTCAGGAGTTTCACGGCGTGGTGACCAGGCCCCGCGCTAGCGGATCCCCGCAGACTTTGGTATTCCTTACGGAAGAGGTCCACGAGCTACAATTGAATCCAGCTGTCAGCCTCGGTCCGAAGGTGCAGTGCACTGACGGTGCCACCGGAGAGCCCTATGAATACCAGGGGTATGCTTGCTATCCCGTGTACGAACCAACTACTGACAGCGTGTACTACTTTGAGGACGGCGACCTTCTGCGTGTTGATGCAAACAATGTGGTGGGGCAGGTGGTGGTCACCAGGCACGCTGGTGGGAACATCAAGGGCAGGGTGCGGCCATGCGATTGCTTTGAGCCATACGACATGGTGACCGACGGCCGTGGAACCCTCTACGTAGTGGACGGTGACGGGGGCGAGCGCGAATGCGGCTTAGGACTGTACAAGGTCGTGCTGAGGCGGGATCAGGCGCACTCCCGTCATGGCAGCGTTGGCACCGTAACGGCGACGGTATCAAAGGTCTTAGCTGCCGATGGTTTAACAGCGCTTTGCTACGATGGCAGCACGGACACACTGCTGGCAGCCACATCGCACGCAGTGTACCATGTAGCCCTGCAGCCTGAGGAGGGGCCTAGCAGCAGCAGCAGCAGCGGTGGAGGCTCTGCTGCCATGCGGCTGGTTGCTGGATCGTCGGCGGGTGCGGCTGGCAGCTGCGATGGCTGCTGCACCTCCGCGCTCTTCACGGGTATAACCGCCATGGTGCCGGGCCCGGACGGGGCGACCTACATTCTGGACAGGGGTCGCCTCCGCAAGATGAGCGCCTGGGGTGAGGTGCAGACACTCGCTGCCGATCTACCCATTGGTGAAGCACAGGCCATATTCTCAGCCGAGCGTCGCATGGTGCTCGGTGTATACGATGCAGACCTGTTGGTGCTATCCTCTGAGCACTTTGCGACATCAACAGCGGCAGTCACTCCTACCGCCAGCCACATGCCTCCGCCGGGCTCCCTGCTCATGCTGCCCCCGAGTGGCTCCGCCACCGTCACCCTTCGAGTGGGCGGCAGGTCCTTCGTGGCGCACCGCTCGCTGCTGGCTGCCCGCTCGGACTACTTCAGGCAGCTGCTGGCGGGCGGGTTTGCGGAGGACGGGGCGGAGGAGGTGGAGCTGCGGGACGCCGACCCATGGGTCTTTGGTGCGCTGCTTGACTTCATGTACTTTGGGCGTCTTGAGGTGCCGGACGATCTGCTGCGCCCCACTGCCGAGCTGGCTGGTCGGCTGCTGATGCCGGCCGCTCTGCAGCTGCTGCAGTCGCGGCTGCTGGCGGCTGCCACCCCGGCCACTGTGGTGGCGGAGCTGGAGTGGGCTGCACGGCACAACCTGGCGGAGCTGGTGGAGGGGCTGAAGCAGCGGCTGCTCCGCAGCAAGGCCATAGTGTCCTTGCGTACACCACCCGAGGCGGTACGGCAGCTGGCGGAGAGCTGCCCGAAGGTCATGGCCGAGTTGTTCATGGGGGTGTGGCTCAGGTAGAGGTAGTAGCGGGGTGTATGCATGCAGGGGTGTGATGCATGTGTGTCTGCATGCAGGGGTGATGCGGGTGTACGGTATGCAGGGTGTATGCATGCAGGGGTATGATGCTGAGGCTCATGCAGGGCGGGGCAAGCTGGGTGTTGTGATGTGCGCTGGCTAGCAAGCCTGGCGCAGGCAGGCGGTATCAGCCGGAAGGCTGGATTAGGTAATGCAGTGCCTAACCAATGCACGTTTATAAATTTCGTCTGAGGATGGGTGTAAGGTCGCTCTGCGGGAATACCTATAAAGTTAGCAGGCAGGCTGCAGCAGGGAGTGGCTAAATGGGTTGCGCATGCGGCTCTGTGGCCAGCTAGTGACGTCATGTCTTAGTACCATGTGGCCCTTCGGCGTTGCTCGAGTGCCTCCCTGCTGTGCAGACCCATGGGTCGTGTAGGTCATGCGCAGGGGTGACGGTGAGCCCCGTTGCTTGGGCCGGATAGGTTGCAGATGTGCAATGATAGCCTTGAAAGTTAGTGTACCGGTATGGCTGGGCGGCGTACTGGTTGGCTTGTACTGGATTCCTGGCGAGTGGTTGTCGTACGCCAACTTAACCTTGGTACCCTGATGTTTGCGAGGGCGACAAGGCCTGTCCAAACACTCGTTCGCAGGCGTTTAGGAAACCCAGGAGAGGGTGTGTAAATAGCTAGCTATGATATTGTCAGGAGTTCAATGTCCTTACACCATTGGCTGCCCGTGGGGTTCATGCATGGTGAGGGGTGCACACAACACACGATTGGGTACTGCCACACGTGCTTACAGATCACACGGCAGCAAGTGCACCAACATCAGTACTCAACTTCGCTGCTTCAAGAAAGATCCTTCCAGCTGTGCGACCACACCCCTGGGAAACGTTACCACTTTACCTACGCACCCACGTCCATAAACGAAACCCCTTACCCTGAACCGTAGGGTTCCCGTCTGCTCAAGGAAACCCCTCGTGAAATAGCGGTGGTCGTAGGCTCGAAGCCTATCTCAGGGGAGGTGCGGGCGCAGGGGCAATGCGTATTCCTCGTTCATGCCGTACATGCCCTCGCCTGCAAGCCTCTGTCCTCTGTCGCATCTGCAACCCCGTTGTCGTACACCCAGTAGCCACCACGCTGCCTAGCTGCCACCCATCTCAGATGATGAGGTCCATGCGGGCGAGGAGGAGCTCTTGCATTGGCCGTGGGAGGTTGTGTCCTGCAGGCGGGGAGGAAAGGGGAGGAACTGGGCCGGGAGGTGAGGTCAGCAAGGCCGGACGACAATTCGTAACCTGGATCGGTACATTTACGACGCATTCATAAATGGGTTAATGGCCGTTACATCCTAGTTACATGTTGGGGACGAAGAACGACCCAAGGGTCATCGGGCATTGACGGTCGCTAACACGCAAGCACTTGCTACCCAGGGGGCAGAAGACTCGTGTCGCCTGGAACTAGTTACGAACGGCTATCGCCATCCTTTACAGCGTCAACAAGCGATTGCAGGCGCTTTCGCATGCAGCGTTTGATGTCGGCGGTTGGAGAACGGACATTACTCAGTCTACCTGTACGATGGTCTCTTAATACAAGCTCCCACAAGCGTAGTTTTGTCAACCCAAAAGTGCTTATAGCAAAATTTATAGAGCGCTGAGCCGTGAAGTGTCTTTTATGCGCCGTTTCCATACCGCAAGTTGTAAGGGCTTATAAAGACCGTCCCACCTGTGAAGGATTGCACTTAGCTTTCAAGTAACCGTGTACGGCGTAACGGTGCTTCCTATGCGGTGCTAGGAGCAGGCGACTTGCCAAGTAAGCTTTTGCCATGTAGCCGCCGCGAGCCTTTCGCGGCGGCATCAAGACTCTTGCTTTTCTGCTTAACAGCGTAAGTGCTTGCGCATACTTTAATGAGCTTGGTGTACAGCTCTGCTTACAGTCACCTTTAAATGGACTGCACCTCCCCAGGGCCTTCCTAAAACCTCAGGTCGGCAACACCCCTCGATGCAGCGCCATAACTTGGACTGCGGCGGGAAAGTCCAAGGTGTGGTGACCAGACCCCGCATCGGCGGCTCCCTGCAGACGCTGGTCTTTTTGAAAACGGGTATCCACGAGCTGCAGCTGACCCCACACATCAGCCTGGGGCCCGTGCTGCTGCTGACAGACGGCGGCAATGGAGAACCCCACAGTTTCCAGGGGAATGCTCGCTATCCTGTGTATGAGCCAGCAACCGACAGTATATACTTTTTCGAGTACAACCGGCTCAGGCGTTTGGACGTAAACAATGCAGTGTGGCCGGTGGTGGTCAGCACGGGCGCCGGTGGTGACGTGGAGGCCGGGGTGACGCGAGATACACGAGCGAGGTACCCGGTTGGCATGGCAACCGATGGCCGCGGAACCCTCCATATAATAGAAGACTATGCGGTCTGGACCGAGATAAAAAGCGACTGCCTTGGCAAGGTAGTGCTGAAGCGGGATGACGCGCACCTACCCCCGGGCCGCGGCGGCGGTGTGACGGCGACCGTGTCGTCGGTGTCTACTGCGGATGACCTGACAGCGCTTTGCTACGATGGCCGCACGGACACCCTGCTGGCAGCCACATCGCACGCAGTGTACCATGTAGCCCTGCAGCCTGAGGAGGGGCCTAGCAGCAGCAGCAGCAGCGGTGGAGGCTCTGCTGCCATGCGGCTGGTTGCTGGATCGTCGGCGGGTGCGGCTGGCAGCTGCGATGGCTGCTGCACCTCCGCGCTCTTCACGGGTATAACCGCCATGGTGCCGGGCCCGGACGGGGCGACCTACATTCTGGGCAAGGGACGCCTCCGCAAGATGAGCGCCTGGGGTGAGGTGCAGACGCTCGCCTCCAACCTGCCAGCTGACGGTGTCATGTACGCCGCATTCTCAGCCGAACACCGCATGGTGGTCGGTGTGTACGGCAAACGTACCCTAACGGTGCTATCCGCTGAGCACTTCGCGCCCTCAACAGCGGCGGCAGAGAAGATGGAGGCCACTACCGCCAGCCACATGCCTCCGCCGGGCTCCCTGCTCATGCTGCCCCCGAGTGGCTCCGCCACCGTCACCCTTCGAGTGGGCGGCAGGTCCTTCGTGGCGCACCGCTCGCTGCTGGCTGCCCACTCGGACTATTTCAGGCAGCTGCTGGCAGGCGGGTTTGCGGAGGACGGGGCGGAGGAGGTGGAGCTGCGGGACGCCGACCCATGGGTCTTTGGTGCGCTGCTCCGCTTCATGCAATCTGAGCATCTGGAGGTGCCGGACGAGCTCCTGCGCCCCACTGCCGAGCTGGCTGGTCGGCTGCTGATGCCGGCCGCCCTGCAGCTGCTGCAGTCACGGCTGCTGGCGGCTGCCACCCCGGCCACTGTGGTGGCGCAGCTGGAGTGGGCTGCACGGCACAACCTGCAGGAGCTGGTGGAGGGGCTGAAGCAGCGGCTGCTCCGCAGCGGGCCTGTAGTGGTTTCACTGACGCCACCCGAGGCGGTACGGCAGCTGGCGAGGAGCTGCCCGGATATCATGGCGGAGCTGTACATGGGGGTGTGGCGCAGGTAGGGGTGCCGTAGCAGCAAGGGGAGGGACCATGCAGGGGTGATGCATGTGTCTACCGGTATGCATGCAGGGGTGATGCATGTGTGTATGCATGCAGGGGTGTGATGCGGAGGCTCATGCAGGGCGGGGCAAGCTGGGTGTTGTGATGTGCACTGGCTAGCAAGCCTGGCGCAGGCAGGCGGTATCAGCCGGAAGGCTGGATTAGGTAATGCAGTGCCTAACCAATGCACGTTCGTAAATGTCGTCTGAGAATGGGTGTAAGGTCGCTCTGCGGAAGTCGTTCGCCCTGTGGAAGTTGGAGGGTAGCAGGCAGGCTGCGGTAGGGGGTGGCTGGGTGGGTTGCGTCTGCATGCGGCTCTGTGGTCAGCTAGTGACGTCATGTCTTAGTACCATGTGGCCCTTCGGCGTTGCTTGAGTGCCTCCCTGCTGTGCAGACCCATGGGTCGTGTATGTCATGCGCAGGAGTGGCAGTGAGCCCCATTGCTTTGGCCGGATAGGTTGCAGATGTGCAAGAGTGACAGCCCCTCTCATCACATTGATGCTGTACTAGCAGTGGAAGGCAGTGTTGTATATGACCGAGCGGTGGACAAGCCCAAGTTGGGTTGTTTTAGATGTACAACAACGACATTGTCAGCTGCAATGGCCAGGGGTCGTATAGCCTGGTTAGTAGTTACATGTTCTGTTTCGAACACTCCTTTAGGCAGGATTCTTATATTGCTGTTGTACATGCTATCCATTCCGAATGTCCGTAAGTTTAAGTCCGTACACGGTTGGCTGCTCATGGGGTGGCGCTGCATGCTCAGGGTACACAACACGCAGTTGGCTGCAGCCAGGTCACCCACGGCAGCGGCGGCGGCTACACCAGCATTGGAACTCGTTTTCGACGGCCCGAAAAGGAGAGCACCACACAGTTGTACGGCCACACGAACACTGATTGCCTCCCACACCTCCCTCCGTTGCGCACGGGAAGCAGGATTCCAGCCAGCTGCCAAGAAACCCTCGGATGACATATCGCAGCTCAGCTCAGCTCATTTCAATCAAACACCGGTATCCCTCGCGTTCTTGAAGCCTCATCTCCTGCCTCCACATTGTACAATGCACATGCCGTACATGCCCTCGCCTGCAATCCACCCTGCTCTGTCCTCTGGTGGCCTTCACACCGGTGTCGTACACCCAGCTGCCACTCTGGTGTCGTACACCCAGCAACCACTCTGGTGTCGTACACCCAGCAACCACTCTGGTGTCGTACACCCAGCAACCACTCTGGTGTCGTACACCCAGCAACCACTCTGGTGTCGTACACCCAGCAACCACTCTGGTGTCGTACACCCAGCTGCCACTCTGGTGTCGTACACCCAGCTGCTACTCTGGTGTCGTACACCCAGCAACCACTCTGGTGTCGTACACCCAGCTGCCACTCTGGTGTCGTACACCCAGCTGCCACTCTGGTGTCGTACACCCAGCTGCCTCTCTGGTGTCGTACACCCAGCTGCCGGCATGCGCCGCCGCCGGTTGCAGCCATCCACCACCCAGTCCCCTCATCTTCCTGGCGAGCCACCACTCCTCCAGCTCTCACTCAGCACCGGTATATGACCTCGGGCTCCTGCAGTGTCCCGCAATTCCGTCCTGCAATGTCGTCTAGTACGCGCACCCCCTCTGCCGCCGTGCAGTTGGGAGATGACGTGTGAAACCCCCACTCTCCCCCTCTCTCCTCGACCCCCCGCGCATGCAGCGGGGTCTCAGTAACCGCTCCTCGGCACCTCCCATTCCGGACTCTTCCTCCCTGCGACCCTCTGGACCCGGTTACCCTCCCAGCCTGCCCACCGCTCCTGCCTCACCCTCTCCTCCTTGCCACCCTCTCCTCCTTGCACTCACGCACCCTCCTTGCACTCACCCTCACCCGCAGACCTCCTCTCAACTCCCCAAAACCCGAACCTACAAAGCCCCCTCGCCGCTCATGTCTGCACCATCTATCCCTACTAAGCCCCACACCTGCCTTCCTCACAACTCGAAAACTCAGCCTCTCCACGACCTAGATCAAGCCCACCTGCAACACCTCCCCCCACCCCTCCCTCCACCCCACATCACAGCTCGCACCCCGGGGGCGCCGTCACCAGCGGCTGCAGCGCGCCGTACACTCCGTACGACCGTGCTACCTGCTCGGGTGGCGGGGTGCCGTACAGTGTGTTTCGCTGGCGGGGGGTTCTGCCGGCTGCTCGGATGATGCGGTCCATGCGGGAGGGGGGGAGCTCCTGGCCGTGGGTGGCGCCTGGCGGGGGGGGGAGAGGGGAGGGGATTAATAGGGATGAAGATGAAGAGGGGAGGGGAGAAAAAATAAAATAAGTGAAACAACGAGGGGAGGGAAGACCAAACACGGTAACCGAACACCATAAGGGGAAGATAAGAAAGGGAGAGGGGAGGAGAAGGGAAGAATGGAGATGACGGGTGTGGTCATGCACAGCCGGATACGGGGGCATGCATGCAGGGCAGCATGGTGGGTAGGCAGGTGGTCCGCATGTATGCAGGTGTTCAGCGGTGTGCGGGTTGGGGCACATGCCGACTGCGGTAGTGGGGGCATGAGGGATGCCGACAGCAGCAACACGCCCCTCCACCCCACCTCAGCTCACTACTGTTCACTTCCCCGCATGACCTATGACACGCTTTCCTCGACCTGTTTGCAACCCCTACCAAGCCCACTGCCTCCCCCCTCCTCTCCTGCCCCCTCCACTCCCTCCCTCCTCCCCCCTCCCTCCTCCCCCCCCCACCCGCTGCCCGAGTGATGCTCTCGTTCATGATGCTGCCGCCCATGTCGTTGCAGCCGGCAGCCAGCAGCCGGGCGGCGCGGGGGGGACCCAGCTTCACCCAGGAGGCCTGACAGGGGGAGGGGGGGAGGGGGGCGGGAGGCGGAAGGGGGAGGGAAGGGGGAAGAGGGGAGAGGGATGAAAGGCAGGGCAGGGGAGAGGATGGAGGCAGTACGGTTCCTCCATCTGGCGCCTCCGCATGCACACCCTGCGGCGCATCACCCCGAGAAATCCCCTCCCCATGTCCCCCCCACGTCTGTATGTTGGTCCCCCTCCCCATGTCCCCCTCCCACGCACACGCACCTGTATGTTGGTCACATGCGGGTGCAGCGCCAGTCGAGCCACCGCGTGAAGCAACACCGCCTCCGACAGAGTGGGTCCGCGGCGGGAGAAGCCCTGGGCGAGGGGGAGGTGGGGCGGGTGGGGGGGCGGGTGGGGGGAGGGGAGTGGCAAGGTGAAGGGGCCCTTCCTCTCCTGCATCGTTTCCCCTCAATCCTCAATACCCTCAATCATCAAACCCCTACCTTCCCCCTCCCCTCCCACCCCACCTTGAGGTACATGGGCGCCTCCATGTGTACGAACGGCAGCGGCACAAACTCCGTGAAACCCACTCCCCCTCCCCCTCCCCCTCCCGCCGCCCCCCGCTGCTCCGCCCCCTGCTGCAGCCTCCTGATCGTGTCCAGGTGCGCCGCCCAGGCCGCCGGCCCCTCCTCCACGCTGCCGAACATGAGGGTGGCGGTGGTGCGCAAGCCCACGCGGTGAGCCGCGGAGATGACCTGGGGGGGGAGGGGAGAACATGGGGGGAAGGTGCAAAGTGTTTTGGTGCCGTGTCCTTGACGATAGAGGCAGGGGTCCGTCGGGAAGCCTCCCACCTGCACCCCCTGTCCGATCTACTATTACCCGGTACCCCGCACAACCCCCAGCCCCCTCCCCACCTTGCACCAGGTCGCCGTGTCGATCTTGTCCGGACACAGCAGCTGTCGTACACTGTCGTGCAGCACCTCGGCTGCCGTACCGGGCAGGCTGCCCAGACCCGCCTCCGCCAGCTGCTCCAGGTAGCTGCAGCGGCGGGGGGGGGGGAGAGGAGAAGAGGAGAGGATGGAGGAGATGACCAGGATACAGACATGAAGGAGGTTGAAGCGAACAAGAGGTGGAAGCACTGCTCGCCCCGCCCCCCCTCACCGCTCGTAGCTCAGCCCCGCCCCCCCTCACCGCTCGTAGCTCAGCCCCGCACTGCCTGCCCCCACGTGCACCTCCAGCGGGCTGAACGCGTGCACGTGCAGGCGGGGGGCGGCGGAGCGGGCGGCTGAGAGCAGGCGGCGGTAGGTGGAGGCGGTGAAGGAGGGGTGGATGCCGCCCTGCATGCAGACCTGAGGGAAGGAGGGAGGAGGGGGGGAAGGAGCGGGGGAGGGAGGGAGGGGAGGCGGGGGTGGTGAAGGAGGGTCACGTCACAGCGACTGTTGCTCCTGCGGCTTCCTTCTTCGGTTTCCACACACCGGTGCACACGTGTCGTCGCTCCATCTCACCCACAACCGCTCCCTGGCGCATCCCTCAGCCGCTTGACCACACTAGACACCTCAAGTGGGGAGGCGCAAGGAAACCACGGCCGCCTCTGCCTGGGGGTGCCCGAATTGGTTCCCGGCGCTAGGAACCTGCGTCCTTCCCTCCTTCCCTCCCTCCCCACCTCCGTCGCCCCCCGCTCCCACGCCTCCGCCGCCCTCCTCGCCACCTCCTCCAGCGGCACCACGTAGGCGGGGCCGCGCAGCTGCTCGCCGGTGCGACCCTTGCTGAAGGCGCAGAAGGAGCACCTGGGGGGGGGAGGAGGGGAGGGGGAGGGGGGGGCGGGGAGGAGGGGAGGGGGAGGGGGGGGCGGGGAGGAGGGGAGGAGGAGGGGAGGGGGAGGGGCGGCGGGAGAGGGGTGGTGAGGTCGGGGGAAGAGGGGCGGGAGGGGGAAGAGGGGCGCGGGAAAAGATAAAGGACCATGCGGGTGAAGAGGGGTGTGTGTGTGTTAAGAAAACTGGCCGCAAGTAGGGACGTACTGGGATGTCGGAAGATATACATATGTATAGGGCTAAAGCCGCAATGGACTACTGGATTACCACTACCACACTACCCTCCACCTCCACCACCCCGCCCTCTCTCCTCTACCTCCTCCTCCTCCTCCCCCTCCTCCTCACTCACTTGTAGGTGCACACATTGGTGTAGTTGATGTTGCGGTTCACCACGTACGACACCTCCTCGCCGCATGTACGGCGCCGCAACTCGTCCGCTGCCGTACACACCGCCTCGTGGTCCGCCCCCCGGCTCCGCAGCAGCAGCTCCATCTCGTCCCGCTGCAGCGGCCGGCCGCCGGACAACACCCCCTCCAGCAGCCTGCATGCATGCATGCAGGGGATGAAGTAGGAGGTAATGAGGGGAGGCAAGGGGAGGTAGGAGGTCTTGCGACGAAGGGCGGTAGCGAGAAATGACGTACTAAAATACGGCGCAGCGTGTTTGAATGCTGGTCAAGATGATGCACACGTGGCCATACACATTACCCCTCCCTCCCTCCCCCTACCTGGATACCCTCCTGCTCGGCTCCCGCGGCCCCGGCAGCCCCTCCATCGCCCCGTCCGCCCCCACCGCCACACGCCAGCGGGGGCGGGAGGGGGGGAGGACGACACCACTGGAGGTGCTGGGGGAGGAGGAAGAGGTGGGGGAGGTGGGGACAGAGGTGGGGGAGGGGCTGGAGCTGCCACTGCTGCTACTGCTGCTGTTGTCACTGGCGGCGGTGGTGGTGGTGGTGGTGGTGGTGGTGGTGGCTGGATGGGGGGCCAGCTCCTCCCCCTCCCCCTCCTCCCCCACTTCCCCCGCCCCCGCCACCCAGTCGCTAGCCCGCAGGAATCCCTGGCTGTCCGCCGCCCGCAGCACCGCCGCCCCCGCACTGCCCGCCCCGCCGCACCAGTCCAGCCAGGGGGACAGCAGCGGCGGGACAGCAGGTGGGGGGGGCGGGAGGGGTGGGGGTGAGGAGGAGGGTGAGGGACTGACCCCGCTGCTGACCCCGCTGCCATCAGGGGCACTACCGACAGCGGTGCCGGGGCGCTGCTGCTGGGGCTGCTGTGGTTGCTGCTCGCGCTCAGCAAGCAGGGAGGAAGGCTGCTGATGCGGCTGCATCTCCTGCTCTCCCCCTGCATGCTCCTGCTCCTCCTCCTCCCCCCTCGCGGTGCCGCCCCCGCTGCTGCCACCTGCGTCCCCCCTCAGCCCCAGGTAGGGCGGGTAGACGGGCAGTCGCGGCAGCAGCAGCTTGCCCGCTGCTGCGGAGGCGGCGGCCAGGGGGGCGAGGTGCGGCCAGGGGCGCTCGGGGTTCACGAAGTCGGCGGTGAGGGGGGAGATGCCGCCTAGGGGGGAGGGGAGGGAGGGAGGGGGGTTGGTGTGAGGTGGGGAGAGGTGAGAAGGTGGGGTTGGACAGGCGGAGGGCGGTTGGGGCCGGGGTATTGGTAGGGTACGGAAGGCGGAAACGTGGGGGTGCGCTGGGGCATGCAAGCTGATGATGCGGAATGGGGAGAGTACACTGAATGAAGAGCGTGGCGAAAGCATGCGGCGCGTAGCGAGGAAGCACTGGGCCGGATGAAGCACTTCATAACGTCAGACAAGGAGCCAAGCAGGTTCCCCACCCTCTCCCCCCCCTCCTCCTCACCCCAGTCGTTCACCCCCGCATCCAGCAGCGCCCGCCACCCCGCCTGCAGCTCCCGCATGTCACCGTTGTCGCTGTCGCCGGGGGTCGCCTCATCCTCCTCGCCACTGACAGTGCTGCCATTGTCGCCGCCGCTGCCCCTGCCGGACCTGGACTCGGCGGCCTGCTGCTGCTGCTGCTGCTGGGGGGAGGAGGGGCTGCTGACCTGCCGGTCTGGAGTCAGGTTGGGCGGCGCCTGCAGGTGGCGGGGCAGGGCAGAAGAGGCAGAGGGGGTGAATGCGGAGGGAGCGTGAGGAGCCCACATCGCGAGGGGCAGCGTCAGGAGCCAGCTTCCACCCCCCCCCCACACACACCAACCCCCTCCCCCCCCACGTTCCTACTTGCGGCCTACTCCCTCAACCTCCCCCCACCCCACCCACCCGTACACACACCTGTATGTTCATGTGGCGCCCGAACATGATGCGCGCCGCCGCCACCGCCCACAGCAGCTCCCGCAGCGGCGGCTCGGGGTGGGCTGCCATGCGGGTGGCGGGCTTGGCGCGGAAGTTCTGGATGATCAGCTCCTGGGGGGGCGGGCAGGTGGGGTGGGGGGGTGGGGGGGGGTAGGAAAGCTGAGGTTGAGGGGGTGGGAGGGGGGTAAACAGGGATACACATTCAGCATTAGGCTGGAGGGTTAGGTTAGCGTATGAAAAACGCAGGAGTTGCAGCCCGCCCCCCCCCCACCTGTATGTGTCCGTACCGGCGGTGCAGTGCCCGCAGGCAGGCCAGTGCGTGCAGCCGGTCGGCACGCGTGTCGCCGATACCCACCAGGATGCCTGCGGAGAGGGGGAGGGGGCAGGAGGGGGGTCAGGGACCGCACCAAACCATAGGAGACCACACGTTAGGGCAAAGCAACGGGGGAAGGAGTTGGCAGGGTGCCACAAGACAAAGTGTTGGTTAGTATGCAGGAGGGGGGGGGAGGGGGAGAAAAGAGGCCAAGGACCGGGTTGGGCGGGCTGGAAAGGTGGGCGCCCCTGGGGCGGGCCCGTGTCACATGGTTACGTCGCCCCGCCTCCTCCTCCCACTGTGGTTCTGGTATACCTTTTACCCCCCCTCCCCACCCTGCATGCGCCCCAGGTGCTCCCGCCTCCTCCCCTCCCCCCACCCGCCCAACCCCGCCCCACCCGACGTGAAGGGCACGCGCGCCCTGCCCGCCGCCTCAATGCTCGCCAGCCGCAGGTGCGGGTGCTTGTCGGGGCAGCGGTGGTGCGGGCCGCCCGGCTGCAGCAGCGCCAGCGAGGTGCTCTCCAGCATCAGGCCCTGGCTGGCGGAGACCTGGGGGGGGATGATAGATAGGGACACACATAATCCGCATTAGGCTGGATTTGAGGATTGCGTACAGTGTCATATTTGTTGGGTTAATAGCAGCAGCACAAAACAGAAACCGGATTAAAGCTAGTAGAAAACCAGTTCTCGTAACCCCCACCCGTTTGAGCCTCCTGATCTGCTGCTCGTCCATCACCCCCGCGTTGATGTGCGGCAGCAGACCCGTCTCGCGTAGCACTGCCTGGTGGGGGGGTGTGCGGGAGGGTGTGAGGGCGGGCGTGTGGGGGGGGGGTTGGGGGGGGTGAAGGGGAGGATGGCTAACACGAGCTGAGACACGGGAAGAGGCGGCAGTGTGGGGTATGTGGGGGTTGGGCGGGGTGTGGAGGGGGAGGCGCAGGGGTGCGGACATATGCACGCATGAACTCATGTATGGGGGATGGGGGGCGGAGCGGTTGCTGCACGCACCCCCCCCCTCCCCTCCGTATGCGCTCAATGCATGAGTCGGATTTGGGATTGGGATTCCGTTGCTTCACTTATCACTTCATTTCCCCCCTGCTACCCCACCTCTGCCGCCGCCTCCACGTACTCCAGCGTGCTGCCGTACCCCGCCGCCCGCAGCTCCTCCGCCGCCTGCCCCCAGCGCTCCTCCGGCCGCTCACCCAGCGTCAGCAGCGCCTCGGAGCAGCCCGCAGCCGCACCCTGGGAGGCCACCTGAGGAGGCAGGGAAGGGGGGGTGGGGAGGTGTGGAGGAAGAAGAAGAAGCGCCGCGCGATGGATTGATGGTGGCATCACGGGTGACAACTTCCGGGTGTATATGTGGGGCATGGGTGGGGGTTTGGGGTAGGGGAAGAAAGTGGGCTGGAAAACTGGAGTACCCCGGGGAAAGGCGGAACGTGAGGGCGGCTGCTGCTGCTGCCGCCCCCACCCACCCAACCCCCGCACCTGCACCACCTCCTGCAGCGTCATGTAGGCTCGGCGGCCCGGGCGGGGGGGCTGCGCGAAGGTGCAGTAGCCGCACGAGTCGCGGCACAGCCGGGTGAGGGGCAGGAACACCTGGGGGGGGGGCGGGGAGGGGCGGGGGAGCCGCGCGGGGAGTGGGTTGCTTCATGAGATTGGCTTGCGTGCTTGTGAAAAGAAGGAAGCACTCAAGTGGCCCCCGGGGCAGTATACTAAGGCACGTGGGGCGCGCGCGCGTGGGCGATTGTGGGCCTGGTTTTACCCCCCTCACCTTGGGCGAGAAGGAGACGACGCCCGCGTGCCGCCCCTGGTCACGTACGGCAGCTGCCCGGGCCATGAGCTGCTCCAGGGGGGCCTCCAGCATCCAGCCGTAGCGCTGCAGGACCTCGGCCATGTCGGGGAGAGGTGTGGGCGAGTCGGAGGGGTCGGGATGGGGAGCGGAGGGAACGGGGGAAGGATGCAGGGCGGGTGGGGAGGGTGGTGGTGGTGACGCCGCTGTTGTGGGTTGTTGGGATGTGGAGGTCTCGGCTGGGGTTGGTGGCTGTGGGGTTGTTGGAGATGCGGTTGGTCCATTGCAGGCGGGCTGGTGGATTGACGGTGGTGCTGTGTTGGTGTTCGCTGAGTTGTGTGGTGATGCATGGGGGAGGTGGTATGAGGTCTTGCGGGTTCCCCGGGAGTGCAGCTGTGTGATGTGGGTTGTTGGGAGAGCTTTGTAAGGGTAAAGGGGGGGAGAAGCCGGCTGTAGCTGAGACCCGCTGGCTGGAGCGCGCTGAGGTCGATGTTGGTGAACGGTCTTCATTGTAGGCTTTGGTTCTTGGAAGTGTATAGCACTTAGCATGGGTGGAGTGGAACAGCCTCACAGCGGCGCCAGCCCACAGCAATGAAGCGTTCTAGTTAAATATTTCACACATGTAGGAATGTTCTGGGTGCGCCAAAAAGTATTCAGAATTGCGTGCATACACGGCGGGTCGGCACCGCAATTGTTACCGTGCTTTTAGCAAGCGCTTTATGAAAGGGCTGTTACTTTAGGACTGTGTTAATTAGGCCCTTAAGTATCTAACGCGGCTTGTCTGATTTTGTAAGCCTTGCTCGGGCTTGGCGGAAAAACGAAAACGGCAAACCGTGCGCCGTACACACATCGGTGTAGGCTGCCAGGCTTTGTCTCTTTGCTTTGGACAGTAGCGGTAGAAGCGTCATGCATTAAGAGCAAGACTGGCTGTAAGGGTGTGAAATTTGTGCCTGAAGAGAGTTCTAATTTGAACGTGTAACACCTCTGCACAGTCCCGGAAGATCCTTAGTCTTGGAAAGCCTTGATCATGCCTCCTCAGACGGTTAGTCTACAGCCATGCTTGATTCATAGCAACGCTGACGTATGTGAGTTTCAACCTTCCGCGCGCTTTCATGTCTCCTGCACCTTCGCAGTCCTTTGGTCTTCAAGACCCTCACTACTTCTTGGGACGCGGAGAAATCCTAGGATGGATTAATGAAACGTTGGGATTGAGACTTGGAAAGGTACGCGGCTTTAGAAGTGCTCCGCAAATAGTGCTTCACTGCTGCTTGCCTATATTCTATGCATGCCTGGCAGTTGTTTTGCTGTCTAGCTTTCTGTTAAGCATGTTCCTTACCCGTGCGTCGCTTTCTTTAAAGACTAGGTCAATTAAGGGATCTTTGACCTTCTTGCAAGTTCCCACCGCCTCTTCGCATAGACTTAATAGGAAATGTTCATTTAGCAATCGCGCGCTTGCTGGCAGGTCGAGGATACTTGCAATGGTGCCGTTGCCTGCCAGCTGCTCGATGCGCTCCACCCGAACACGGTGCCGATGAGCAAGGTGGACTTCAATGCCAACAACGAGGTGCGTGTGGGTCGTTGGGGAAGGAAAAGGCTTGGCACCATCTTGCCCAGGGCCAGGGTGTTGCTCTTGTGCCCTCTCACTGGGCCAGGGTGTTGCTTGTGTGCCCGCACAGACCCGCCCCCACTAGTAATATGACAATCTGTTCCCTTCTTTGTAGTACCAAATGATCAACAACTATAAGGTGCTCCAGGACTGCTTCAACAAGCTCAAGGTCGATAAGGTACGTGGTACGGATGTAAGCTCCGCTACTCCACTTATTGGATGCAAAAGCACCGAGATGGGCGCATGTTAGGTTGGTTATCGACACGTTAATCGACCCAACTGCCTTATTAATCGACGTCTGCATGCGCTGCTGATGCTGGCCCAATTGCCTTATTAATCGGCATCTGCATGCGATGCTGCTTTGCGTGCTGCTATGCAGTACGTGGAGGTCGCGCGGCTTGTCAAGGGGCGGCCACTTGACAACATGGAGTTCATGCAGTGGTTCAAGGCGTACTGGGACCAGGTCCGTAGCATGGGCTGCTCCCAGATACAACAGTAACATCGACGTTGGTGCTGTGGGCTGCCTTGCAACCTTCCCGACTACCACGTGGCACTCGTACTGCCGTATGCGTCTTGGTTACGAATTAAAGCATACCTCGTTGTCGCAGGTGACCATGGGGCAGCCCATCCCTCCCTATGACGGCCCGGGGCGGCGCCAGCTCTGCAAGACCGGCGACATTAAGAACGCGGGCGCAGGAAGCAAGGCCCCGGCGGCGGGCATCAAGGCCGCCCCTGCACCCGCGCCGGCCCCAGCTCGCTCCACAGCGGCGTCGACGGCGGCACCTGCGTACCGGTCAGGCGCCAGCAACAAGTCCATGAGCCCCGGTGACCGCGACCAGGTGGACAAGCTCAGCCACCAGCTCGAGGTAGGGAGGCAGTCTTCTACCGTTTGTTCCGCATTAGGACGTTAGGACCAAGTAGAGGACATTAGCACTAGAGGCCTCCCGGACACTGCCTACATGCGTACAGATGTACATTCTAGGGGCCCCGTGAACACTTGCGTGAACGTGGGTTTTTGGGGCTTATTTTTGCCAGTTTTCCTGTGAATGCGAAACTTGCCCCGTCCCGAACATTGTGTTTATAGGACCTGCGCCTCAAGGCAGACGGCTATGAGAAGGAGAAGGACTTCTACTACTCGAAGCTGCGCGACGTGGAGCTGCTGTGCCAGACGCCAGTCATTTCGGAAATGGCCATCATGAAGCGCGTGCAGGAAATCCTCTACGCCGCGACGTCGGACGACGGCAACCGCATCATGCGGGAAGCTCAAGTGGAGTTTGCCGGGCGGGAGTACACCGAGGAGGAGCTGTCGGCGCAGGACGGGTAGTGGCCGCGACTCAGCATGTGTCGTTGCCGTACATTTACGGATGTGAGAGGTAGACGTGAGGTTATGTGCGGACGCTGCGGTAATTGCTGGCGTGTTTATCTAGCAGCTATAGTAATTTGCGTTCGTAGGGCAGCTGCTTTACGGGTAATCCAGCAGGAGCGCGCGCGTGTGGGAAGAGTGTGTACGTGGGTTAGGCATGCACGGCCGCCATGCGGTTTTGTGCCATTCTTGAGACGCTTTGGTGGATCCTGCAATCCAGGAGTAGGCGATGCGCAAAGACATGCGTACGCTCTTCATTAACAACTCATATCTAGAGGCATTTATCCTTTACAACCTTATACAACGTCTTTGGCAATCTTTCCAGTCGAAGACGTCCAACATGTAAGGCTAACTCAACAGTGTCAGATCATGGATCCAGTAACAATATTTCAAACCTACGAGCAATAACCAGCCTGCTACACTGCCCTCGCGGGTGAGCCAAACATAACAGCAGAGAAAGCATACACCCATGGCTAGCACCTGAAAGCTAAACATGCATTGTTACACTTTGTATCTAGCGATCACGTCGAAGTCGAATGTGGCAATAGGCACTCCCTGACTATACTGACATGAGTGAAGCGGCTGCTTAACCGTGCATGGACGGCCAGACGGTAATTCTACATCTAGCTAAATCTCTCGTTCATTGAATGGTGGGGACAAGGCGTTGCATAGCTGCATGCGCAGCTGCGACAGGCCTCCTCCCTAGGGCTTGGGAACGGCAATCAAGTTTGGCGGAATCGCCATCCCGCATGAGACGACGATTTCTGTGGGCACAAAAGAGGTGTCATAGCCGCAATAGGTTAAGGACGAGGCCGGGCTTGGCAGTACTTACGGGTTGACAGGGACAATGGACAAGGTCATCGTATGCATGCATGACGAACATTCAAACAATATCCATGTGACCGTGGTCGGCCATACTTCTTCAGCACAGCAGCTACCGCATGTGAGCAGCCACATGCCTTACGCATATCCTCCCCATCATGAGAGCGAACAACTTACCTAACCCCTCACGCACAGAAAGGTTGGTATGTATAATTTCCTTGTCTTCGAGCAGGAATATGTCTCCTACGTATACGTGGTTGGTTGGCACGTACACGGTGTTGAGCTTCAGGTCCTGCGTCCCAGTCTGCGCGCAAGGGCACAGAACGCAACATTCAGGCTGGGGAGCAACGTACTATGAGGGGCAATAGGGCTTCCAACCTACCGCTGATCGACGACCAGCACAACAGCTTACACGAGCTTACAGCACCACCCACTAGGACGAAGGGAAAGCCGTCAATTAGGCTGCCGAAAGCCAAGCACAAGGTTCTCTGAAAATAAACCCCTTTGCCTGATGCTTAGCCTCCATAAACGACCCTAGCAGCCGTTTCCTCTGCCCGCTAACCCAAGCCCCCAAGGCCGCTTGCCGTGAATCCAAACAGAAACCGTACCTGCAGCACCGTCCGGCCGGTTATGAAGGCGATGGCAAACTCCCCTTTCCGCGGGTGCCGGATGATGACACACTCCTGGAAGGCCTTGGACGCCTCGTTCTCCGGGTTGATTGCGGCGCTGACCTGCAGCCCCACACACGCGGTGGCACACGTGTTGCATGCTTGCGTCAATGTCGCATGCGACGTGCGTGTTAATTTGCTGTGCTACAGTTTCCGATTTGCGGACTGTCCAAGGGAGCAAGAGACTCCTAACGGGGCCAAACTGCCCGGTCGTTACTTGCGAAGGATAACGGCTCAGCAGTGTGGTTTATCGTGGCGTCAGCACCGACCGACCTGCTTTGAGGCAGAGTAGATGTGCTTTACAAGCGGTAAACGCTTGATTATCCACTCGCCAATGCCCAGCAGCGCAGTGCCCATCCAGGACGAGAAGAACACGCCTGCGCCAAGCAGATGGGTAAGCAGGCGTCAGTTCCAGGTAACCATCGGGCAACAGGCCTGGGCAACACGCCCCACGCAGCAACCTTCCATGCAACCGCGCTCTAGGAGGCGCCTTCCAGCCAAGCAGCCTCTCCTAGTGTAGTGCGGCACCCCCTTCCGCGGTCATCCCGGCCGCAGCCCCAACCGGCCAACACAAGTGCCAACACGGCGCTAGGTAAGCCCATCCATGCGACACCGTCAAACACCGGTAGAGCGCTAGCATAAGGTGGTGCACGGATGCTGCTTGCTTGCCCCAGCATGCAATTTGCGTGCGTGCGATATACAATGCTAGGGTGGCCATGGTGGGCCTATGCAGCTGGCCAGCGACTGTGCTTGCTTGCTGGCATCCGGCTTGAACGCTTCGAGGGCGTGCACGTGGGTTGGGTTGCAACAGCAGGCACAGCTAGATCACTAACGCTTTCCGGAGTCCTGACCGGAGTACGAACATGCCATGTGCCGTGCATAACGTACGCCACGAACGCCCCTCTGGGCTAGCGTAAACCCCACTTAGGATTTCGCCCTAGGCCCAAAACGGTGAGGCATCTTTACTCACCAATCACGAAGATGAATGCCATGGAGGTGATGAACCCGAGTCCAAACACGTGGAAGTCAAAGAGCTTGTAGTAGATGGGCTGCGCAAGGGATAATCAACCAGGCACATCCACGAATCAGCTAGCAGTCCGTGGCTGCAAGATTGCAAGGCTGAGTATGGATAAGAAAACACCACTGACGTACCCACATGCAGGAACGTGTACGGCGCATCTAAACTACTGAGATGTTGCAAACCCCCAACACAGTCCCCAGACGTGCGGATTCCTCACCGAGAAGAAGTTGTCGAAGAAGGTGAGGAACCACCATGTCACGTACACGGTGACCGCAACCGGAAACAATATGGCGCTGCGTTTTCATGTGACCCAAACAGGAAAGGTCAGTTGGTAACTGTTGGTGGGGCGATATGACGGGTATCCTACGAGGGTAGCCATGCCACTATACCAGAGGGTGCACTTACCAGCCAACTGCGAACTTGCGTGACGCCCAGCTGTGAACGATGGAAGCCAGGGCCTGCACGGTGTACCGGGATCAGTCCCAGACCGCTCCAACCGTAACGTGCTGATTATATAGTATTAATACTCCTTACTTGCTGCCCGCTACGAGGCCGCAGGGACCCGCTCGCCCTCCGCTCAACCTCCCCGGGCTTTTTATCCTCGTCTGAAGCGAGTAATCGCCCACTAGGTTGCGCCTCCATATCTGTGGGTGTCGCCGGCATGGCTTCCGACGACCTGTGCTTTCGCTCCAGCTCAGACCTTACAAATGCCGAACTAGGGAAGTCGTCGCCTTTGCAATAAAGCGTCTCTTGTTTCAGGTTGTCAGAATTGGCAAACAAGCAAAGAAATAACAGATCCGCAAAGTCGACGCTTTAGAGTTTAGGGCCCCTTTACACGGACTTTACATAAAGTTGGTATAATGGAAGGCGTGTCCAATCAGAAGTACTAACAAAGCTTGAACGTAAAGTCACAGACAGCGCCGTAGGACACGACGTGCTTTACAAAATTGTGAGCAGTAAACCGTATCAGGCTCCGGAACCTCAAAATACCAAGCTGGCCGGAAGCCAGTACCCTGTTACAGCGACAGTGAATCCATAACAACCCTTTCATTGTTAGTTAATTGCAGTCTCTTGCGTCGGACTTTGTTAACGCACAAATCATTTGGCTTATTTAGCAACTAACTGGTCTTCTTAGCGTTCGCACCACTTACGTACTAGGGGGCGCCTCACGCGTTTTGTTCTCTAGCTAGCAAGATGGGAGAGCGCAAAGGTCAGTTTGTGTGAATGATTAGTGAAGCGTCCCCTCGTTCTGCTCTCTATGCCCAGCTCCAGTCCAGTTGTAACCACTTAGATTGCTTCGTCTCTCCTTATGCGAAATATGGTTAATGACACATTGTGTGTTTGCCTGATGCAGTGCTCAACAAGTACTATCCACCGGACTTCGATCCGTCACAGCTTCCGAGGGGGAAGCGCAGGGAGACAAATGAGATGAAAGTGCGCATGATGTTGCCCATGTCGGTGCGGTGCAAGACATGTGGCACGTTCATGTACAAGGGCACGAAGTTCAATACCCGCAAGGAGGATGTCATGGGGGAGGACTACCTTGGAATCCAAGTCTTCAGATTCTACTACAGATGTAAAAAATGTGCGGCGGAGTTCTGTATGAAGACAGATCCCAAGAACGCAGGTGGGAGGAGGGCGGAGGTGGGATGAAGAAGCGGGTTCATGGCATGGGTGGCATACAATTGGGGTTCCTCATCCCTTTTACACAATGATACATTTCCTTCGCGGTGGGGCTGCGCACCTTGCAACTCAACCGTTACCCTCACTCCTGTAGCTATGCCCGGCCTGGGTGTATGCGTCGTGCATCCAAGCCCGACCTGCCCCTATCCATCCTCACCTCACACCCAACCCCTCCCTTCTCCCCCCTCCCCCTTTCCCCCCCCTCCCACCGTCCAGACTACATCCTGGAAGGCGGCGCCACTCGCAACTACGAACCCTGGCGCGACGAGGAAGCCACCAAAGCCGAGGCCGTGGCCAAACGCGAGGAAGAGGAGGCGGGCAACGCCATGAAGGCGCTCGAGAACCGCACCCTCGACTCCAAGCGCGAAATGGACATCATGGCTGCGTTGGATGAGATGCGCGCGCTGAACGCGCAGCACGCGCGCGTCACCACGGAGCAAGCGCTGGCGGCGCTGCAGCGCGCGGCGGCAGCCCAGCAGGTGGAGGTGGGCGAGGAGGAGGCGGCGGACCTAGCGCAGTTTTACCAGCTGCGGGCGCAAGCCAACTCACGGAAGCTGGCGGAAGAGGAGGAGGAGGAGGAAGGTAGGGATGGAGAGAAGGAGGAGGAGGAGAGGGGAGGTGCGGGGCCAAGCAGGAGGGAGGGGAGAGACGCGGGGCCGTCCACGTCAGCGGCGGCAGGTGCGGCGTCGGAGCAGCAGCAGCAGCCGCAGCAGCGAGAGCAGGATGCTGGGAAGGCAGTGCCGCCGCGGACACAACCGCAGCAGCAGCAGCAGGCGTTGAAGCCGGCCATCAGAGTTATGGTGAGGCCCAAGGCACAGCCACCGCCCCTGCAGGCGGCAGGTGGAGCAGCCGGGACGGGGTCTGGGGCGGATGGTGCGTCGCAGGATGCAGGTGCCGGCAAGCGGCCAGCTGCGCAGGGTGCGGAGGGAGAGGGGGATGGTGAGGCGGCGAAGAAGCAGAAGGTGGAAGAGGAGGGGCATGGCGGAGTGGGAGGATTGACGGGGTTGTTGGGGCAGTACGGGAGCAGCAGCAGTGGGAGCGAAAGCGAGTGAGTAGCGGTTCATGTACGCTGTGTTCTTCTTTATGCTTGCCCTGCCTTCTGTGCGCCAGCATTGGCTCTTTTAAGGAGGGTGTGTGCCCAGTGCAGTTGTGTTGGTGGGGGCGAGCGCGCTGTTGTGTTTGAGCTGGGTGGCATACCTCATGCGGATGGGCGGTGCAGGGCGCTGCGGTGCCCACCTGAGCCGGGACACCGAACTGCACCACTGGGTTCTCAACATGGGGAGCTCTTGAGGGCTGAACGGCGGGTTTACGATTGACTGCTCATTTCGTTACGGACAAACAGATGTGCTACGAACTTAAAGAGGGAACCCAGCGGCCACAGCGCTCGTGAAATGTAGGCAGATATGTATGTGCATTGTCGGGTTGTGGAAACACCAGGCAGGTCGATGTTGACGCTAGGGCCACCCCCCTCTGCCGTGGTAATGTTGTATGGGAGCCTAGGTGGCACCGTGCATACGCATGGCGCTGTGTACGGTATCTGCATGTTCTGGCACGCCGTTGAGAAGGGTGCGGCTTAGCCTCTTGACGGGGGGTTGATTCCTCCGAATGCTTCTAGGTGGGTTCCTATCGATTGCCGTACAGTGCGGGTTATCTCTTGGGGTGTACCGCATTCGTCAGTAGCGGGGCTTACGGTAAGGGGAACATCCCTCGACTTGCTTTTTTAATGATAGTGTCGTGAGAGGATCTCGAAGACAGGACGATGAAATACCCTGCTGTGACCTGTATGGCAAATGTGTTGAGTTCCAAGTGCCGTAATAAAAGCGGGTGGAGGGGCATGAGGGGCATGATGACACCCAACTTGCTTGCCACAGCTTGGGGAGGGATTAGCCATTCCTCGCAACACTTTGACCCATGGGCCGTCAGATGCCGGGTGGTTTGCATGCCGGACTTGGTTATAGCCCGTGATAGGCGCCGTGGGGCCACAATGCTAGGAAGCGTTACTCCTCCTCCGGCCAGCTAGCAACTACATCTTTTTGCTGGAAACCCGAAACATACAGTATAGTGCAAACAAGCAAATGCTGACACCACGCACACAACTAGCAGCAAAACGAACAGAACATTGATAAACAAACACAGCACGTAGATAAACAAACACAGCACGTACGTGGCTAGCTATTTGCGCGCGCAAAGTTCTTTTACCGTACAGCACGTGGCACATCAACCCGGATCCAAAAAAGGCTGTCTGCACATTGGTACAGCAACCCCTGGGAATAACCGGTCACCGCCCGCTTGCCTCATTTATATACCTTGACGGCAGAATACGGTAACACGCCCCCACCTCTCCTCCTCCGTCGCTACGCTCACCCCAATGACGTAGCGCTACCCTTGGCACCCTTCACACCTGCTGCTGCTGCTGCTCGCATCAGACCCCCACCCCCCTCACCATCACCCCACCCCTGCCACCCCAGCCCAATTGCACCGACCATGCCACATGCTTGCCCCCGCGCGTCCACCACCACCACTACCTCCGCCTCCACCGACCCCACCTGCAACGCACCCTGTCAGCCTTGTCACCCAAACCCCCTCCCAAGCAGCACAGCAGCACAGCCGCACAGCAGCACCGCCACCACCGATTCAACAGGTTTTTCCTTCACGCGTCTCCCCGCGCACGCCTAGGTTGGTTCAGCACACGGCATGGGGTATGCCCTTGACCACCTAGCACCCTTCCTCGCGCCCCCCCCTCCTTGACCCCCTACCGCCGTACCTCCCCAGCGCGCCCCACGCACCCCGGGGGCTGCTGCTACGAACCAGCTTTTAATATAACCGTCCTTTTCTTAACAACACATTTTTCACAACATGGTAATGTACTCCCCTTTATTTAACTTCCATGCACTCCTCCTCGCCCCCTCCGCACGCCCTCCTCTACCCAGCTATCGTTCAAAGCATTGTTCCATCTTCATCTTTCCCCTCCCAAAGCCCAGCACAACCCCACCTCCCCTTCCCTCCCCTCCCCTTCACAGCTCAGCTCAGCTCAGCTCTTTCTCCCACCAACGACCACACATCAGTTCCTCCCTCATTACCCCCTTCCCAACCACCAACCCACCCAACCATCCATCCACCCCACCACCACCCCCAGCTCCTGCTCCCCTCAGCACAGCTCCTGCTCTAACTCCTCCAGCAACTGCAGGATGTGCGGGAAGGAGGGGCGGTCCGCGGGGTTGGGCGCCAGGCAGCGGAGCAGGAAAGAGCGCAGAAGCTGATGGGGAGGAGGGAAGGGAGGGGGGGAGGGAGGGAGGGAGGTGAGGAATGAAGCACTGGGAGAGGGGAGGGGCCATCTGCAAGGAGGATGCGAGTGGCGGCGCGTGTGTGTATTGAGTGAAGTAAGAATCATGATAGTCATGTTACGAGCCACCGCAGTTCTAGGTTCCCCTGTTTGCAGCCCTCCGCCCTCAATCCCTCCCCCTCCCCGGGGGAGGGGGGGACGCCTTATCACACGGTTCGTTAGTCGTTTCCTGTTTCTCCCCTTAGGTCTTACCCTTTTTTGGAATTGGGACTTCACATCAATGTTTCATATATTTCCCTCCCCTCCCCTTTCCCCCCCCTTACCTGCGGGCACGAGGACCCAATGGGCAGCTGCTTGCCGGTGGTGATGGCGTGCAGGATCTGGCCGTGCGTGAGGCCGCTGAAGGGGCGCTGGCCGCTGAACATCTCCCACACCACAACACCGAAGCTATGCGGGGGAAGGAGGGGAGAGGGAAGGAGGGGAGAGGGGTGTCATGGCAGGGTAGCGAGGGCGTGGGTAGAAAAGAATAAGAAACCGGCACGTGGTCCCTGTGGTCCCTATGGAGGTGAAGAGCGCCTCCCAGTAGTCCCCCAGGGAGGAAGGGTTGCAAGGGTGCCAACTTGCAGCTAGCTGCCCAAGGATGAGGTCCCCACAGACCACTGACACAGCCGCCCCCCCTCCCCTCCCCACCTGTACACGTCAGCCGCCTTGGAGAGCAGCCCGTCTATGAGGAGCTCTGTGGGTGGGGGAGGAGGGGAGGGAGGAGGGGAGGGAGGAGGGGAGGGAGGAGGGGAGGGAGGAGGGGAGGGAGGAGGGGAGGGAGGAGGGGAGGGAGGAGGGGAGGGAGGAGGGGAGGGAGGAGGGGAGGGAGGAGGGGAGGGAGGAGGGGAGGGAGGAGGGGAGGGAGGAGGGGAGGGAGGAGGGGGTGGGGTGAGAGTGCTGTTGCATGAAGAATGCAAGGTTAACATTCAACCCAGCAATACAACAAAGCAGCAGGCCCATGCAAACACACTCGCGGCCAGTTACTTCAACACACTCACACGCTGGGCAGCTCATACACCTCTGTGTTAACGAAAACTCCCCTCTATGTGTGTCTCCTCCCTCCACAACGTGTGTGTTTTCCTTCCCCTCCCCACACCCCCCCATGCCCCCCCGCCATCCGAGTCGGGATATGGGATTTGGACTCGTTGTTTCACTTACGTGATTTTTTTATCCCCCCCCCCCGCAAACCCACCCGGGCACATGTGTGTGATGGTGCCGTACGAGCGTGTCGTAACCGCCTCCCCCGCCAGCACCCGACTCAGCCCAAAGTCCGCCACCTTGGCCACAAAGTGCCGCTCGTCCCGGTCACTGGCGGTCAGCAACACATTGTTACCTGCAGGGCATGGGGGCGGGGCGGGGGGGGGGGTTCAGGGCAGTTGTTCAGTTACCGGTAATGGATACAACGCACTCGCTGCCCCGGTCCCCCTTATCGCTACTCCCCCTGTCTTCCCGTCCCGCCCAGTCCTCCTGCATTAACGGAGGCTTGACTTGTTCGGGATGGGTCGGCAACCATGACGATGCGACCCCCCGTGTTGAAGCCTCGATAAACATAGGGAGGCCTAAACATGTAGTGAGGGTGTAAATACATTTGAAACAGTCAGTTAGTTCATTCCTCGTAAATCCCCTCGCCCCCCTCCCGCACCTCCATCAGCACCGGCCTACGACACCATCCCCCCTTCCAACCCGCCCCCCACCCACCCCCAGCCGATACCCAGTAGCCCCACACACATCACTCACTCCCCACTCACCCCCCGTTTGCTGCACTTCTCACTTTCCCTCCTTCCCCATGATGAAGTTTACATGTCACACAGCTCGTTAGTTGCCTTACTTTACCCCCCCCCTCACCTTTCGGGATTGGGACTGCGTTGTTGCACTTATCTATAATTTCCCCCCTCACCCGCATCTGTCATGCCCCCAACCCCCCCCCCCGCACCCGCACCTGTGAGGCCCCCCCCCCCGGTCACCCGCACCTGTGAGGTCCCCATGCAGTATGTTCTTGTCGTGCAGGTAGGTCATGGCCGCCGCCACCTCCCGCGCAGTGGCCACCAGCGCGCGGAAGTCCACCTCGAACAGCGAGTGACGCTTGCGGAACCAGCCGCGCTCGATGGCGTCGGACAGGCCGCCCTGAAGGGGGGGAGAGAAGGGGGGTTCGGGGGGGGGGGGAGGAAGTAAGGGGATAAATAGGGATACAGATTCCGTATTAGGCTGTAGGAAGTAGAGGGGGGGCGAGGGGGAGGAAGAGGGGGCGAGGCAGGAGGGCGGGCAAAGGGGAAGAAGTGAAGACCTGCAGCACCGGAGTGCGAGGTGGAGGAGTTAGGCAGGAGGAGGTGGATGGAGACTGCGGGTGTTTGGGGTAGGAAAGGGAGGGCGGGAGCTGGAGAGGGTTGCTGGAGGGAGCTGGTTGCCGCCCCCTCGCGCGCCATCCTCCTCCTTCCACGCTCCTTCGGGTCCCGGTGGGCATGAAGGGTCACATCACTCGTTTACCGCCCGCCGTCGTGTCGTTTTGTTTGCCACTCCCATTCAACACATCGGGCATCCTTCTTTTCCCCCCGTCCAGCCCAGTGCGGAGAAGATCCCTCTCCTCTTCATCCCTCCCCGCCTCCCCACCTTGTTACAGAACTCCAGCACCATCCAGGTCTCCAACAACGTGCGCCCCTCGTTATCCGCATCCGTCGCCTGACCCATGGGTCGCGTGCAGTGCTTGTACGTCTGCACAATGTTGGGATGACTAATCTGCGAACCCAACACCGCTTCGAGCACCTCGCCCCCTTGAAGCTGCTGGTGCCCCTGCTGCGTTCCTCCGCCGCCGCTGAATGCCGTACACCCGCCAGAGCTTGTCGTACAATTCGTGCTGAAACCCAACCCGCTTGCTCCCCCCTCGTCGCTGTCGGGTTGCACGGTTTCCAACACCTTGACTGCCACCTGAGCTCCGTTCCATACGCCTGAGGTGGGGCCGTGGGCAGGCATGTGATTCGGAGGTGTGAGGGAGGGAACGAACAGGGCGACATATTCCGCATTGGCTGGATTACTAAGACTGCGTAAAGTCATGTTGGGTTAGTAGCAGCAGTGAGGGAGGGGGGTGGGGAAGAGGGGGTGCGCAGGTGCAGAGAAGTGGGGGTAAGGATCAAGCAGAGCCTTGCATGCATGGGGGGCTCATGCGAGGTGGGGAATGGGGGCGCGCCGTGCCCTCCCACATACACACACCGCCCCCTCGATACACCCTGCCGTACGCCCCCTTCCCCACCTCGATACACCCTGCCGTACGCCCCCTTCCCCACCTCGATACACCCTGCCATACGCCCCCTTTCCCAGCAGCGGCCCCAGCTTCACATCCTCAAAGGGGTCGATCTTGGTGTTGACAATGGAGAAAGGGGAGGCGCGCTGTGTGTATGGGGGGGGAAGGGGAAAAGCACGACAGATGTTACCTCGATGACCAGGAGGTAGTGCTAGCCTTCGTTCAAAGTGCTAGGAGAGGGAAGAGGGCGAGAGGGGGCAGGGGTGAACCCTGGGTAGACAGTAAACATTCCCGGTCTCCAGCTCCCCTCCCCTTCTCAGAACCTCCTCCCTTCTGTCTCTTCGGTTGTTTCCCTTCTGTCCCGCCCCCCCTCTCCGACCCCACCTTGGACCCTGGCCCAATGTCCTGTGACGCCCGCGGCGCCGCGGAGAGGGTGACAAAGTAGTAGAGCGGGCCGCCCGCCTCGGGGCTGGGGGACAGGATGGAAGGGATGCCCACCTGCGTGTGTGTTTCGGGGGGGAGGGGGAGGAGAGCGGGGAGGGGGGAGGGGAAGGGAGTCTGAGATATACCAACACCACAGGTTAAGGCAACATAATGGTTTGGCCAGTCGTCCCAGTGCTGGTTTCCACCTTGCCTTCCTTCCCCTCCCCCCTCCCCCATATGGTCCCCCCTCCTACCTACCCCCCCTTCCCCTCCTTCTTACCAGCGGCATGTACGCGTCCACAGTTGAGTTGTGCGCGCACCGGAACTGCAATGTGATGTGCCGCCGACCACTGCCGCCTGCTGCCCCCACGCCGGATCCCGATGCCGCCGGGGTGGAGGAGGCGGAGGAGGTGCTGAAGGAGGCGGAGGTGGAGGTGGGGGGGTAGCAGACTGCCAGGTTGAAGCTCTGCTGGCCCTCGATGACGGAGGCGAGCTTGAGGCGGCTGGAGTCGGGGGCGTCGTCCGGGGTCTGAGGAGGGGCGGGGGGAGGGACGGGAGGGGCGAGGTGGGAGGGGGCCGGGCAAGGGGAGATGGGGAGGGGGGTACGGAGCGGGCAACACATGCACCCACCTACCCCCAACACGCATTCCTCGCATCTACTCGAGTGAGCACCCACGCCCACCCAACCCCCAAACACAACCTCTCGCTTCTTCGCATCAAAAACCAGATCCATTTGCGCCTCCGCTTTCACCCAGTCCCCCGACCCTCCTACTCCTACCCCTACCTCGGTATCCCTCCTCCTTACCCCTCCCTCCCTTCCCCCACCCTCACCGTGAACGCCCCCCAGAAGGCCCCCCCCGCCAGCCGCTCCTTGTTCAGCCCCGTGGCCCGCTCCCACGCCTCGTTCGCGAACAGGATGGGCCAGCTGGGCAGTGACATGTTGAGCAACATGATGCCCTCGCTGGGAGGTGGGGGGGGGGGGAGGGGAGGAAGGCAGGGAGGGGAGGGTGGCAGAGAAGGGGGTAATGTATACAGGGTTCATCTCAACGCGCTGCAGAAGAAGGGAAATACATGGAGCTTTACCTGCTTCTACTGCCCACCCCTCTTCCCATCCGTATGGCGGAGTCTTGTCACAAGGTTAATCTCTCCCCCCTTCCTCTCCCCCCATCGTCAGTTTCTTTACTTTCACCTCCCACCCAGTTTCCTTATTTTCACCCCACCTTGCCCCTCCCTCCCCCCTCCCTACCTGAAGCAGTCCAGTGCCCGGATCAGCTGCACATTCTCCCGCGTCAGTCGCTCGCTCTGCCGCCTATGCGCCTCCAGCGCCACGTCCTTCTCCACCTCCCGCACCACCATCTCCGCCATGTTGGCCAACATGTTGCAGCTCTCCGCGTCGAACCCGGGCCGCGGCCGCGAGTCGATGATGCACAGCGAGCCCAGCCGCAGGCCGTTGGCCGCCACCAGCGGGCAGCCGGCGTAGAAGCGGATGTGGGGGGGGCCCAGCACGAGGGGATTGCTGCGGAAGCGAATGTCCTCCAGCGCGTTTTCCACCACCAGCACCTCGGGGAACTCGGGCAAGAGGGTCCTGGAGGGGGAGAAAAGGTGGGGGGTGGAGGGGGAGGAATCAACAGGCGGGTACCGGTAGCGGAAACCCGTGATGTGGCTAATATTCGCGTGGAGGCGGGGACTTCAACTTCCCACACAGTCCCAGTATATGTTCTGCTTCGCTGCCAGTTGCCTGTCTCAACCCACACAAAGTCTCTCTCCCAGCTGCCACGCCGCCTGTGCTGCGTGCCAGTCCCTGCCGCACAGCCTGCTGGCCCCCCCTCCCCCGCTGCTACTGCTGCTGCCGACTGCCGCCCCCACCGCCGCCGCACCACTGCCCGGGCCGCCCTTCAGGAGTGCTGGGAGCAGCAAGGTGGGACTCGGACCCAGACCCGCGGGCGGTGGCGAGATATCCGGCCCCTCCAGCTGCAGTTGCTGCTGCTGCTGCGAGGAAGCTGCTGCTGCATGCGGGAAAGCTGCTGCGATGATGTAACGACAATGCATACGCCTGCCGCCTTCGCTGCTGCCTTCGCTGCCGCCTTCGCTGCTGCCTTCGCTGCCGCCTTCGCTGCTGCCTTCGCTGCTGCCTTCGCTGCTGCCTTCGCTGCTGCCTTCGCTGCTGCCTTCGCTGCTGCCTTCGCTGCTGCCTTCGCTGCCGCCTTCGCTGCTGCCTTCGCTGCTGCCTTCGCTGCTGCCTTCGCTGCTGCCTTCGCTGCTGCCGCCGCCTTCACCACCATCTTGTTGTAGGCTGCGCCCCGCGCGCGGGAGGGAGAGGGAGGGAGGGAGGAGCCCCGCAGCAGCAGCAGCAGCAAGAGCCCCCTTCCCCCACTGACTGCTCACTTGCCCCTGCTGCCGCTGCCCCTGCTGCCGCTGCCCCTGCTGCCGCTGCCCCTGCTGCCGCTGCCCCTGCTGCCGAGTGTGATCCAGCCCGCGTGCTGCACCGCGCACCGCGTGATGATGTCATCAGATGCCCCGACCCTAACCGCATGCATGCCCGTCCGCCCACCTGTTACCCAGACTGTGCCTCGCCTTGCAGGCAGCGGTTCACAAAGATAGGGCAGCTGAGGGCGGGTGAGGGCGGGTGAGGGCCCCCGACACCCGCACCACCCAGGAGTGGCCGCTGGTGAGCCGGCCTTGGCTGCTGCTGCTGCTGCCCGGGCTGCCGCTGCTGCCGCCGCTATCCCTGCTGCCGCCGCTATCCCTGCTGCTGCTGCTATCCCCGGGACCTCCATCCACCCTCGTCCATCCGCCCAATCCTCCCTATATCCGCTACCTCACTGCCTCGCCGCCCATCCACCCCTCCCGCCCGAAACCCATCACCGCCCATCTACCCTTGCCGCACGGTTAGTTCCATCCCCCCTCTTTGCCCCCCAATCCCACCCCGCAACCCACCATGCGCAGAAGGAGGACTTGCGGTCCGTCTGGTTGACCGTGAGCCCCTGCACCGATTTGAACCACTGCCGGTCCTTGTCCACTAGGGAAACCAGCGCGATGGGGGTCTGGAGGGAAGGGATGCGGGAGGGGGAAAAGAATTTCAATGTGTGGTGTGATCATGATACAAGTGATGGAGAGGGGGGGGGGTATATATAGACCAGAGCATAGGAAAGGGGAGGGGGAGATGTGTATAGGAGGAAGGGGATGGTCAGGAATTGAGTGGGGAAGAGGGGTTAAGAAAGAAGAGGAGGTTGACGAGCTGGGAGGGGTTGAGAGGGGGGGAGAAGGGGAGGAAGGAACCACACGCGGCTAGGGTTTGACGCTGGCACGGGGGGTAATTATTGCGGTGGCATACTGGCACGCAGCAGCAGCAGTGGGACAGGACAGCGGCCGTGGATGAGGGGGCTGTGGGATGGAGTCTTACAGGAGAGTGAAGTCAACGCTACGTCGAGGTGGAGTGCTTGCTTTCCCAAAAGCCCAGTTTGTTAACTGATTAGAGGAGGCGTTGGTGCCCTCCCAAGGTTTGATAGCCGTACCTTGAATACGAGGCAGCAGAGCCGCGTGATGTCATCAAAGCGCTTCTCCGGCGCCTGCAGGTCAAAACACGAAGCAGCAACGTCAACAAAATTACGTAATGGAACCCAAACAGCCGGTTTGCTCTAACTTGTGTGTGTCCGACAGCAGAACAAGCCCTACTAGCTCCCCCCCCTTGTCAGCTTACCGTGTCAAGCACGCCAAGCTTGCATAAAAAGCCCAAGCGCTCATCCTCATTGATGGGCAGGTCAGCCCCTTTGTACTCTGGCTCGGATACCGTGAGCGAGTCATTGGAAGTAGATGCAGGAGGTGCGGGAGATGCAGCTTTTGGGGTGGATACGGCTGGGGGAAGAGAGCCAACTTGCTTTGTACCGGCGGATGGGGATACCACTGCCGGCGCCGCGATAGGCGCCTTTTTCTGCAAGCAAGATGTTATTTTGATTAGAGAAAGCCAAGGAAAGCGGCATTGCGAACAATCCCGACCCGTGCTCCCGAGCAACACCAGAAACTTTGCCAAGCCATATCGCTTTAAAGACTACTGCTAACCTCGCGCTTTGCTCTGTTCTTGCTCGACCCTGACCCCATCTCTCTCAGGGCCTGAAATCCTAAACGAGTACGGTTCTGCCTTGGCACAGCAGTGAGCTGCTAAGCCACATAATGCCAGGCACGTAAATGGAGTGTAAGCGCAAGGTTAGGGGATGCACGTCTCCAGCTTCAAACCTACTAGCCAGTGAACTAGCAGTTGTTGTACGGCGTATAGAAGTGCTCTAAGCTGTATCACTCGTGCCTTTCTTAGTGTCCAAGGTTTGGACAGTCTGGGTCTAAGATTATTATTAATACCACAGCCGAATTTAACTCTCAAACCCTTATACGGTAATTGAAACGTTGCTTGTTTCCAGGTTGCCAAATCCTGACTTTTACAAGATACGTTCTTATACCTTATACCTAAAGAGGTCATTATGTTGCTTCAACTACCCATATCTTAGCTGCAGAACTTGTAGCGATATAGGTTGGATGCCCCTGTCATGGCTTTACCGGCGCCAGAGAGGCAGCACCCAGGGACGTCGCTTCCTCACAATGGATTGACGCAAGGTCTGTTCCCGCTGTGGGTGCCCTTGCGATGCCCGTTCACCTCTTGGACATGTCACTTCACTCCGGTGTCAGAGTGATACACCTACCATCTTCCTCTATCTATACCCTGGATTTCTGCCAAAAACGAATACTCCCCGCTGACAATACCTGGCAAACTTGCAACGTAGCGTCACTGCTGAAGGGACCCATCATGTCCCAGCATGTCACCTTTGAAGCCAACGCAAGGACGTGTCCGTCAACACCCCCTTTGCGCTCTCCCTTGTTTCCAACAAGCACCCTACCCAACCCAACTCTGCCCCACTCCTTCTTTCCGCCCACGTAGGCGTCCTCCTCCCTCCCCTCCCTCCCCACCCCACCTCCGCCCCCTCCCCGCCCCATGCGGCCTCAAGCCCCCCCTACCTCCACCCCACTCTCCCCCCAGCCCCCAGCCCCCCCAATGGCTCCTCCCGCTCCGCCTCCCCCTCCCTCCAGCCCCACTTCCCCCCACCAGCAGCAGCGGGCGGAGCAGGGGAGGCGGCACCAGGAAGACGCAGCCCAGGTGCGAGAAGTAGACGTGGGGGTAGAGGCGGCGGTGGAGGCAGAGGTGGCGGTGGTGGTGCCGGCAGCGCGAGTGAAGAAACCCTAGCAGCAGCCGCAGCAGCAGAGGGGAGTGCTGGTGATGTGGGTCGTCATGAAGCAGGTGGTGATGACGGGACCGGCAGTAGGAAAGGCGAGCAGCAGCAGCAGGTGCAGGAAGGACAGCAGCAGCGGCAAGACAGGCGACGTCAGGGATGCCGACAGAAGAAACAAAGTGATGCTGATCAGACGGATAAACCTTATCATCATAATAATAACCAACAGCAGAAGAAGCAGGATCAAGAACAGCAGGAGCAGCAGGATGAGCAGCAGCAGCAGCGGCAAAGGCAACGTCGCAGCAAGTCGCCCAGCCACCCACACCATGTCCATCTTACCTCCCCTGACAGCCCGCCACAGCCTACCCCGCAGTCCCCACAACCCAACCCCCACCCTCACTCCCACTCCTCCCACCCCCACCCCCTCCACGCCCCCTTCTACCACACCCACCTGCAGCCCCTCCGCCCCCCCCACCACTTCACTCAACCCCACCTGCACCGCCCGCACTACCACTTCCATCCCGGCGCGCTCGTTCCCCTCCACCCACCCCCCTCCTTCCTCTCTTCCTCCCCCTTCCTCCCACACTCCTCTCCCGCCACAGCTAGCGCAGCCCTCTTCCCCGCCACAGCCGCCTTCTCCTCCCACCTGCCCTTCGCGCCGTTCGCCGCCAATGCGGCCGCCAGCACCGCCCTCAACGCAGCAGCCCAGCAGCAACAACAACAACTCCTATTCCAACAGCAGCAGCAGCAACAACATCAGTCCGGCAGCAATTCCGCGCCCGGTTCGCCTTTCTTCCCACTGCACCAGCCGCCTCCGCAATCCCTGCTCCGACTGCAGCAGCAACAACAGCTCCTACTTCAACAGCAGCAGCAGCAACAAGCGGCGCTGCTGCAGCAGCAAAGCGAGCAGGAGCAGCTGCTGTTGCTGCAGCAGCAGCAGCCCTTCAACACGGCCCAGCAGGCGGCGCTCCGCAAGGCCGTTCAACGCGACATCGCCAAGCTCATGTCGGGATGCAAGGCCTACACGCAGTACGTGGCGGCGAGGGACGCAGCGGCGGCAGCCGGCAAGGGCGGCGAGGAGGGAGCGGCAGCGGCTCTGCTGGGAGGGCGGAGGGCGATGTCTGCGGAGGCGCTTGCGCAGCTGGCTAGGCCCAAGCTGAGGCCGGGGTCCCGGGCGGATCAGGAGGTGGGTGCTTCCAGCTACCTGCATCCCAGTCGGGCCGTGGGATTGGGACTCTAGTGTGCTTCATCTCTATCTTTCCCCCCTGACCCCCCTCACCTCACCCTCACATGGAATCATGGCGTCGTTCATTCCCTGTTCTGTGCTGCCCTCCCCTCCCCCCCTCAGTCGCTGGTGGACATCCCCGACCCGGTGGAGTGGGCTCGCTGGAAGACGGAGCAGCTGGCCATCTGCCGCCTCACGGAGGAGCGGCGGCAGGCGGAGCTGGCGGAGGAGAAGCGGCAGGCGGAGTCGCAGCTGGCAGTGTACAGGCAGAAGAAACAGGAGGTGGGTGAAGAGGAAACGACTGACGAACCAGGAGAACGGGAGGGAGGGAGAACGGCGAAGGAGAAGGGAAGGGGCAACAGCAGCTTATGGAAGGAAGGTGTTTTGGAAGCGGAAGTGCCACGCGGTGGACCTGGCCCCTCGCGGCCCCCTGCCTCCCCTCTCACTTGGGATGGGCGGGTACAATGGGTACCGCAACCCATGGTGAAGCCTCGTGTTCCAGCTCGTCAGTTTCTTCCTCTATATTTCTTTGTCCCCTGTCCCCCTTACCTTTCCCTTCCTTAACCCACCCACCCACCCCCCCTCCCGCAGGCCAAGCAGGCCAAGGCGGCTGCCAAGGTACGGCAGGCGGTCGTCGAGGAGCAGTACGGCAAGTGCATGTCGTCGTACCTCAACCGCAAGGGCGCGCTGGACCTGGAGGAGTACAAGCAGCGGCGGGAGGAGGAGCGGGAGAGGCTGGCACTGGCACGTGGCAGGGCGGTGAAAGGCTTTGCGGCGCATCAGTATTGAGGAGGAGGAGGTGGTTGTGGTGGTTGTGGTGGTGGTGGTGGGGGGGGTGGGGGTGCCGGGGAGAAGACCGGAGGTGTAGATTGGTGTGTGAGAGTGTTTGAGGTTTTAGGAGTATTAGGATAGACGGCACGTTAGGGGCTGTGGGTGAGGAGGAGGGAGGAAGGCCTGGACATGGGCTGGAGGGTTGGTTGGGTAAATAGCGCCGCGAAACGTACTGACCATGATGGGTGGGGGAGAGTAGGATTCTACGCAGTATTCTAGTACTTGTAGTAGGGGCGGTCGATGCACCGCGTGAGATTTGTGTGTTAAGAAAACTGGCCGCGAGGCGGAACGTACTACCGGTATGTGTGTGCGGCGTTGGTGGCGCATTGTACTTCTGCGGTGGTTACCGTCGGTTACCGTAGGCTACAGGTCGACTAGACTGGGCTAGGAGTAGGAGTAGGCGTAGGAGCTCTCGGTGTGCCGCGTGGTGGTGTGCTTGCGTTGGCATTGACAGGACTCCCTGGCGCATGATGTCGGGATGCGTGACCCTGTGTGCGTGAGGGTTGTGTGCAATACCGGGGCGAGTCGGGGATAACAGCTGCTCAGTCGTACCGCCGTACGGCAACCATGTCGTACCGACCATGTACGGTACTGCATGTGAATTGGCATTCATCGCTTCATGCGCGTATCCCTGTATGTGAAGTGGGGGAAGCAGATAGACCGTTAGCTGCCGCCTGGTCACACGGTGGCTCTTTGGGTCGTCGGATGATCGGCAGAAGGCGCTCGTGGATAGCTAGCGGAAGAGGTACCGGTGTGTTGGGGGCACCGCGCTGTGCACCTGGTGGCTTGCTGCTGTGCTGGAGGAGGGGGCCGTGTCTGAAGGAGCGCTGCAACGATGCCGCATCCATTTTGATTGCACGTTAACCATTATAATGCTCTACGTCCCATGTGAGTGGACATCAATATGTTGTCATAAAACCATTACCGGTAACTGGATCCCCTCCTTCCTGTCGACTGCCTGGATACCGGTACTGATGCACACGCCGCACATGCGGGGTGATGGGCTGCTTACCCAGCCGCCTGCACTCCAGCTAGCTATCAGGAATGTAACATGCTAGGTAAGCCTCTGCTGGTGCAGGCCCATCTCCGTGTGATCGTACCACAAAGAAAGCACCTAGACCCATAACAACTTCATTACATGGGGTGCAGGCAACGATCTTGCACGTTCCCTGTGGCCTCGAAAATGCAACTGTTTGTAGATATTCCCCTCTCGTGCAGGTACCCCCCACAGTCCCCCCCCGTGCCTCCAGCGGGGGAGCGGGTGCATCGAGATGCGCTTCCACAAACGTACAGCAGCAAGCCAGAGCAAAAAACTCCATTTGACGACACAATGACGAAAGCCCAAATGGAAAAACGCGTAACGTAGAATGCTGCCTGGAAGCGCACAGGATGCGCCGTACAGGGCCCCACAGCTGAAATAGACATCAGTCTTCCGCCTACTCCTCAATCCTACGTGAAACCGACACAACACACGGCTGACATGCGTTGCCCCAGTCCGCAACATGCCGCCTCAATGACCGCAATAAGTGCATGTGTCGCCAGCAACAGCAGCAGCACAGAACTGAGAACATGTCTAGGTTCTAGCCGCCCTCCCTAGAAGCACAACAGCCCAACCATATGTGCCCTACCTGCTCAGCATGCATGAACCACACGGACGCCGCTAACCCTCCTTCGAAAGACCTATGCAAAAACGACGAACATGGCGTCAGCAGCAGTGCACTTGCACTTCGCTGCACTTGCCGTTCATCCCGGCGCGCACCGGCACAGTCACGGCAGTATCTGTACATGTTATACTCTAGTACTCGTATGAAATGACGTCGGGATGGCTGCTAGCATATAACACGCAGGCACGTTCACCCACATGCCTGGTGTGGTGCAAGGCTTGGCATCCATCCCCATTAAATCCCACACCCCATATGGAAGTTGTTATGTGGTGTATGACACAGACGTACCACGGGTGGAGTAATAAAGGTGAAAGCGTGAAAGCGACGCCGTAGCCAACATCATGCAGAACACTACCGGTGCCCTCCACTGCATCCCTCGCCCAACGGATGTCGCTCGAGTCCCAATGCTTCTTCCGATGCCCCTCCAATGCGAGGCTAAGTCCGTCAAGACACTAATTGGAGTTCTACGCTAAGATTCAACTTCGCCAATTCGCCGCGTCTAACCAGCCAGGTGGAGAAGGGGAAACGCGGCTTGAGCTGGTAAACGGGGCTGCCATCTACGATCCCATGTGCTTTGGCACTTTCTCATGGTACAGCGTACAACACAACGGATAACTGGGGGTTCGCTGCACCATGCCCTGGCAGAAGCCACGCGCACTCTCGCTCACCTCCTAAAACAGCAGCAAACACATGATGACGAACGAGCCCAGCATCAGCAGAAGGCGTGACAGGAAAGCCTGCGGGCGGGAGAAGGAGGTTAGATTGAAGGTAGCATCCCATGCCGCAATTTCCCGTCGACATTTGGTCCGCACCTGGTGCTGCTGTTCCGGTGTCAGCGCCTCGTTGTACCCCTGCCCAGGCCCTAGATGGAACCCAAACAGCGACGGAATGACACCCTGCTGCGGCTGGCCAGGCGTCGCGTTGGCCTGCAAAGGAGAAAATGCATCCTACTTCAGTGGATGGCGACTGCTGACGCTGCGATATGGGCAACCGAAAAAAGCTTGAAAAATACAATACAACAGAGATGACACCTTACCGGCACAGGTGGAGGCCTCTGCCCGGCAGGGCGTGGCGGGACCGGCTTTACGGCTTCTTGCACTTTGGTCGCCGGTTCAGAACCTCGCCCGTATATTGGCACCACCTTCTCAATTTCCACACCCGCTTTGCAGACTGGGCACGCCCTAGTGTAAACCTGCAACTGCATCCACCTGAGCCGGGCAAAGGAAGGGTAGCGATGTTGGTTTGGCCCGGACAACGACGATAACCGTTGCGTATGATAAGCTACATACCGGTAAAGGCACGGCCAGCAGTAGAGGTGTCCACAGAGGGTCACCACCGGCTCCTTGGCTAGCTCCAGGCAAATGTTGCACTCGAATGCCGAGCTGTCCTCCTCGAAAACGCGGTCATCATGCTGCGCGACCACTGTGGTTGCCAACTTCTTCGTCGTATCTTCCGTAGCTGCATTTGTCCCCTGTTCGGGCAACGGCCCTTGGCGTTGCACAAAAGACGCCATCACCGCGCCCTAAACAATAGCCTGCACACACGACTAGCTACGTCGTAGCGTATACAGACTCTATTTCGTATATCAGCTGCAAAGGAGACGTCGGAATCGCTCAAGGAACGCGAACAACGGAAGTTGGCAAGGTTGTGGCACAGCGGTATCAATGTGGGCTTACAGTCGCCTAGGGTACGTTGAAGGCAACCACCAATACAAAGCGATGAAGTAACAAAAAGCTACTCTGGCCAAGGTTCACGGTCGTACGGAGCACGTCATTCATTTAGAGCGATCTACGTGCAAAACCAGAGCAATTCGTGAGTATTGCTACGAAATAAAAAGTGGTTCAACGGAACTTGTCACGGTTAACTTTGCGATATGTTTTCTGGGGGTAAATTGCAAGGGGCCGAGGCCAGCTTCTTCCTGCCCCCTTGACAATTATGCGTTCGGCGAGTTTTCTCATTCTGGGAGTGGTGCATTTAAAGCTGTTTCCGCAACCCTATTTCATAGGATTACCTCAGATGGCAGGGGCGAGCGACTTTTCATTAATGTAAAGGCACACTGTCAGGGACCGCAGGTGCCCACTTTCCAGGGGTGAGGCTCCCGATGCCGCTTTCGATCGAAGTTCTGTCGTGGGTTGCCTGGGCTGCATCCCAAGTCCCCTCCCGGCTCTTCCCTCCTGCCCCTCCCTTCGACCCCTAAACCGTCGCCCCCTACCCTCCCACTCTTGCCCCTCTCAGCCTCGCCCCCATGCCCTCAGCTTCCCTCGCCCTCCACCCTTACCCTCCACTTACTTTATCAACCTCCCGCCCCTCACATCCACTCCAGTTCCTACTGCTCTATGTGCTGTGCCCTCATTCCCTTTCCAGCATCAGTTGTTCCCTAGCTATATGGAATAAGTGGCATTTTCAGGGCTTCAGCTCCCATAAACTGGTACGGAACTGGATTGTCAGTACATGAGTATACGCTGGCTGCTGACGAGTGAGTCCTTGCGTGCTGTAACTGTAGCTGTTTGTGCTAAGCTTGCGTCAACAAAACTACGACACTGATACCGTACCTCTGAACTGTCATAACCTCATGCCCACGCTCCTGCACTCAAAACGCTCCTACCCCACTCTACTCCAACCCCATGAGACACACAGCTAACCAACCGCAACGCAGAACAAAAAGCGCCTTTCAAGCAACACCGGAGGCCCCTTCCAACCGCATTGCCCGCCATCCTGCGACACAACGCACATGCTGACATGCATCCTGCTCCCCCACACACACCCGGCTCGTATGCGGCTCATGACACGCACACACACACTAGCATGTCCATGCTAGCAGCCCACCGTAGTATAGTATAAACCCGGATGACGTACGACACCGTACGACGATCCATCAAAGTACGAACCGTGCCAGTACAGTCGCACGCTCGTACGTCAGCTCCAAACAGCCACCTGATCCCGACCAACGCAACCCCAACAACCGCCCCACCACCGCCTCCTCCGCTTCCGCCGCGGCATCCTCCACCCCCTCCTCAACCTTACCCCCCGCCTCCTCATGCTCTTCAATTTCCGCACCCTTTGCAACATCCCCCTTATCCCCCGCCGTAGCAGCAACCTCTTCCACACTCCCCACTGGTAGCTGCGCGGCTCCCGCCCCCTTCACCTCCTCCGCAGCAGCAGCCCCAGCCCTAGCCATGCCACTCCCCTCCTCCTGCAGTTGGTTACACTCCTGCTGCCTTGCGTGCTCCTCCACCCTCTTCTCCTCTTCTCGCTGCTCCTCGTCCTGCTCCTCCACCTGCTTCTGCCTCTCCTCCTGCCTTGCCTGCTGCCGCCGCTGCCGCAGCAGCTCCCTCAGCCCCGGCAGCAGCCAGCAGCGGCACGGCTGCACCATCAGCGCAGGCCGCAAGCCCGCCCCTCCTGCCGCCCCTCCACCTCCTCCCGCCCCTGCTCCTCCGCCTCCCCCCGGCAGGCGCCTGCGCAGCTGCTCGCCCCAGGGCAGCCGCAGCGGAAACACCAGCAGCGCCGCGGGGTGGCAGCTGGCGGGCGGACAGCTGGCGGGGCTGCCGTGGTGGTGGGGGCAGTAGCCGGGCAGCACCAGTGCGGCTAGGTGGTCCGCCTGCCGGGCAGGACAGGGCAGGGGTGTGGGTGTGGGGCCGGTCGAGAGGCGGGATAGGCGGATAGGAGAGGAAGAGAGCGGGGCATGATAGCAGGCCGTGTAAGCCAGGATCTAGGCGGGCAAAAAGTGATGAAGGAGGAGCAGACGGAGGAGGAATGGGAGAGGCGAGGAGACATAAGCCAGTTCCGCGGATGTTGACACGCCAGCCATGGCGGTCAAAGGCATTGGCAGCAGCACGGCAAGCGAACGCCACCGTACTCCAACGGCTAACCATTTTGTCAGCGCGTGTAACCATGCGGCCCCGTAGTAGCCACGAAAAGCCCCCCAACGTGGCCCTCCCCCGCAACCTCAACTTCCAACCTCAACGCGCGCCCCTACCCGCCCCTACCCGGCCCACCTGAGGGCTGAACTGCATCGCCACAACGCCGCCGCGCGCCAGGCCCTGCAACGCCACCGCTTGCTCCGCAGCCGACAACGACCCCTGGGTCACCTGACCCGCTGTTCCTGTCCCTGTCCCTACCGCCGCCGCCCTTGGCGCCCCTGGCAGCGGCGCCAGCAGTGGCGGTAGCGGTGCTCGCGGCGGCTGCAGAGCATCAGGCCCCGGTGTCAGCGGCAACTGCCACGTCACTCCGCCGCTCTGCATGTCGTACACCGTGATGAAGTGCGGCTGGGTGTCGTACACGGCCGGTGCTGGGGGCGCTTGGCTGCTGGGGGTGCCGCCCGGTGGGGCTCTGGTGCAGCTGCTGTTGCTGCCGGTGTGGTTGTGTCGCTTGTCCGTGGGTTGATGCAGCAGGTGGGCGGGAGGGGGGGCGGCAGGGAGGGGGCTGGCGGCCGCAAGCTGCGAGGGCGAGGATGAGGGCGAAACAACATGGAGCAGCAGGGGGAGCAGCGGGGGTGTATTGGGGGGAAGCATGAGAGCTTTGGGGCCGCTTCGAGAGCGCCGTCAGACAGACAGACGCGAGAACCCAGAGGCCGCAACGCGCGCAACTCCTACTCCTCCTCCGGGCTCCCTCTCCCTCACAGCCGCCCAACCACCCCACCAACCACCCACCACCCCGCCGGCCCCCACCGCTCCCCTCACCCTGCACACCCACCTGCATGCTCTCCGCATGCAGCGCCAGACAGCCCGGCAGCACCGCCGCCACATCAGCAGCCGCGAAGAGAGCCGTACGGGCGGGGTCGTACGGAGCTTGTTGCTGCTGGTAGTAGTGCTGTCCAGGTTGTTGCTGCTGCTGCTGCTGCTGCCGATAATGGCTGTAATGCTCTCCGTCGCCCGCCCCACTACCCCCACCAGGCCGCACCAGCCCAAGGCCCAGAAAGCCCAGTCCGGGGGCTGCTGCTGCTGCAGCTGCTGCGGAGGCTCCGGTGGCTGCTGCTGCTGCTGCACCCATGCATGCCGCCAGGTGGCGAGTCAGGCGGGGGACGTGTGCGGCTAGGCGGGTGCGGCCCCGGCGGCTGGCAGCTAGGAGGCGGAGGGAGGCGGACACCAGGGGGTGGAGGAACGGAGGGGAGGCTGCGGGAGGAAGGGCCAGGGGGTCAAAGGAAAGCCAAGTCACATGTGAGGGCAAGGCAAAAGGAAGGGCAAGGGGGGTGAAGGGGGGGAAAGAAGACAATGTTCTGAATGCTTGATTGCGCGAATTTTCGGAACCCACCGGACCCCCTCAAGCAATGATCGAGGGGGTGTCAGTGGTTGCCCAACCTTACCAAAGCCTGATGCGCACAAGGGGACGCGCACAACTGGTTTATGCCAGTGTGACATGCAACACAGCATGCACTATAGAAGCTGAAGAGACACGCTCGGCCACGTCGCTCCATACACACACGCTTGGATTCAGAGGCAGGGAACACCCCTCCTCCCGCCTACCCGCCGCGCGCCTTTCCAAGGCCCCTAGGAACGCCCCCACATCCGCCGCAGCCACCGCTGCAAGCAGCGCAGCCACCGCGTCCCACAACCGCCGGCACTGCTCCTGCTGCTGCTGCTGCTGCTGTTGTTGATGCTGCAATGAGTGCGAAGAGGGCGGCGTTCGCTCAAGTGGTGGTAGGGGCACCAACACACCACCCGCTGTTGTTGCTGCTGCAGCTCCAGAGGGCAGCAGTTGGGGCCCGCACGGGGCGGGGTGGGGCGCAGACGACTCCGGCCGGGGCCCTGATGGCAATGACGGCGACGACGCCTTTGCCGCCGGGGGTGGCGGTGGTGGCGGTGGTGGCGGTGATGTGGGCAGCGCATGCGCCAGTTGCAGCAGCCTGGAAGGAAGGGCGTGGCAGGAAAGGGGGGGGATGGCGCGAAGCAAAGGGTCGTCTGTGTGGTGGAGTGCGCAGTGGGAGCCAGGCGCGAGTTGTCCGAGAGATGTGCGTCATGAGCTAACGTGCTGCCATGTCCGACACGGGTGCACAACGGAAAGCGCTTCCCAACACCCCCCAAAGGCCACCCAATCATCCACACCTCACCACACCACCCACGACCCCCACCCACCTATCCACGAAGCGCCCCCACGGCTGCAGCTCCCGCCTCCACCGCTGACACGCCTCCTCCTCTCCGCCCTGCTGCCCGCCTGCCCCCAGCGCCGCCGCCAACAGCACAGCCGCCAGGGTAGCCCCATGCAGCACCCGCACGCGCGCCTCCCCCTCCTGCTGCTCCACCGCAGCCCTCAACGCGAGGGCGGCGGCGGCGGCGCTTCCGTGTGAAGAGGAGGAGGAGGAGGAGCAGCTTTGGAGCGGCAGGAGCAGCAGGTCGGTTAGCGCGGCGACGGCGGCGGCATGCATTTGTTGCGGCACGGTATGTGGGTGGTGCAAACAGGCGACGGCGGCGATGACGGCGGCGGAGTGCAGTCGATCCAATGGCGGCGGCGGCGGCGGGTGCTGCTGCTGCGGCGGCGGATGCGATGGGACCTCTGACGCCGACGGAGGTCGTGGCTGCGCAGCAGGTCTCCTCAGCGCCTGCTGAACGGCACCAGAGGGGCGGCAGTCGTCGGGCGCGCAGTGTGGGGACACGTCCTCGCCTTGCCATCCCTGGTCAACGTGTCCCTGGATCGGCCGACTGGCCACCCGGACGGCTTCCGGGTAAAACTGCAGTAGCTCCGCCACTTGTGGGGACAGCAGGAGCGGCAGCGGCGGCGGTGCCGGCGGCTGCAGCTCCAAGGCTGTAGTGGCAGTAGTGGCGGCCGGCGGCTGCGGGCGCGGTGGCGGAGGCCGCGGGACCACAAGAGGCTCGGTGTACGCCACCAGCAGCAGTTGAGCGGCCTCCCTGACCCACGGGTCATTCGCCAGCCAGCTGCGCGCAAACACAGCAAGGTCCGGCTCGTAGCAGACCTGCCGGGAGCCTGGCGTGATGCACGTCGGCGCTGCTTCCCTAGCAGCAGCAGCAGCAGCAGCAGCAGCTGGTGGCGGTAGGGCTGATGGTGGCAGGTGTGCCTCCCTAACGGCCGCTGCTGCTGCTGCGTCTGTTGCGTCTGCTGCTGCTGCTGCCGCCACTTCTGACGACGCTACCAGCTCCTGACCAGCAACGTTAACCCCGGCACCAGCAGCACCGTCACCCGCAGAAGCCAGCAACCGCCGTTCCGCCGCCACCGCGTCTCGTACGGTTACCAGGTAGTGCTGACGCAAGCACCCTGCTGCCGCCTCCACGACAGCTGTCCCTTCGCAAACAGCGCCGACGTCAGCGGCGGAATCAGGAGCTCCTGCGGCGGTCTGGTCCTTCACCCTCGCCTTCTCACTGCTGCACCGGCTCCGAAGCGCACAACCCAGGGCAACCAGCTGAAGCAGACGGGACGCGGCGGTTGTGCCGTCCCCGACCCGGGGTGCGTCACGAGCGGCGGCTGCTGCGGCAGGTGGTGTACCGCCTTGCGTCGACGGCGCCACCTGTACGAAGGAGCAAGTCACGGTATTAGAAGAAGTTAGGACGCAATCGGGGGAGAAGTTAGGACACAATCGGCCCAAATGCGCTCCTGCAAGACGGAGAGTGTGCCGTGTGGCATGAACGCATGATACGTTGATGTACCGGTACGCAGGGCATCGGAGAACACAATTCAGCGTCTTATGATGTTTGATAATGCCCAGCGCGCGCGCGCGCGCGCGTGAAATTTGCTGCTGTGCAATAATAGCAGCGCCCAACGAAGTCAGTCAGCAGTCGCAGCCAAAGGCCTGCAGGCAGTCATCAACTGCATAACACTAAAGCAGTCTCGCACCACCCTTCCCTACCACCCTTCCCTGCCACCAAACAACGCGTCCCTCCAAAGCCCCCTCCAAAGGGAAAGCCCCCTCCAACCCAACCCAACCCAACCAACCCCGAGGGCCGCACCTGAGGCAGTGCTAGCGCCGCCGCACCGCACCGCGACACCACTGCTGGTTGGACCAGCCCGGGACCGCCGGAAAGAAGGCCGTACGCAACCCTAGAAGGAAGCCCAGAAGGCACACTCCTAGCCAACTCTGCCGCCTCGTCAACTGGCCCCGCAGCAGCAACGGCAGCGGCCTTGGAAGCGGCGGCGATGGGCGCGGACCGCAGCTCGCAAGCGGACCGGCTGTCCCGGCTGCTCCTCAACCGCAGATGCCGCGTTGCCAAAAGCGCAGCCTCCACCGCGCGGTCGACCCATGGGTCAGTGCCCCAGGCGTGCAGCACAGCTAGGGCAGCCGTCAGTGACTGAGCTCCAGCGTCGCTGCAGGAGTTGGCTACAGCGACAGACGAGGCATCTTTCGGACGGATGGCGGATTCAGGGAAAGGTGGCGTATGGTGGTGGTGGTGGTGGTGGTGGCTGTCGTTAAACGCCGTACCGGACGAAACAGACGTCGCCCGTGGGGAAGATGTGGCAGACGAAAACCCAGGCCGCTCCGGACGTTCTAAACCACGGCCTCGTTCGAAGCGTCCAGAACGGTCCACCGAAGTACGACCGGTTGCCACGCGCGACGCCTGTACGGCACTACCCGTACCGGCAGCGGCTACTACTTCTGCTGTCGTACTTGGCGCTGACGCCGCCGCCGCCGCTGCTGCTGCCTTGGCGGCGGCGGCGGCGGCAGCGGCAGCCAGCGACCCAAGCAGCGGCTCGGGATCCACCTGCACGAGTACGACATCCAGTCTGCTGCAGTACATGGATCGTAAGGACCCGCCGTACGCCGTACAGGGCGGCGGCAGCTGCGGAGACATTGCCGCCGCCGCCGCCACCGCCGCCGGAGGCGGCAGCGCCGACGAGCCACTCAACGGCCGTAACGCTTGCGGCAAAGGATGCAGCGAATGCGGCGTCGCTGCCATTCCGACGTCGCCGCCGCCGCCGCTGCTGCTCCTTACTGCTCTCCCTGCTTCCACACCGCAACCCTGCCCAGACTGATGCACACTCTGCCCGTGTGTTGTGGCAACCGCCGCCGCCCCCGCTCCCCCACCAGAAGCAGAAGCAGCCCCTGGGAAGATGGGCACCCCACTGGTAGCATCGGCAGCAGCGGCGACACCCCCACCCCAATCCGTCGATGCCGCCACCCCCACCCCCGCCTCCACCTCCACTTCCGCCAGCAGCGTCCTGGCTGCGGGTCCCGTCACGAGCCTGTCCAGGGAGGGAGCTGCGGACGCCAGGTCGAACACCGCTACCGCCCAGCGACCCAGACGGTCGTGACCGCCGCACGCGAGGAAGCCCCTGCGAGGGAGGGAGGTGGAAGGCAGGGAAAGTAGCAGGGAGGGAGGGAGGGAGAGGGTGGTGCTGGGGGAGGGCAGAGGAGCAGGGGAGGAGCAGCAGAGCGCTGTGCAAGCAGGTTGGGCACAGAGAATAGCTGGAAGGCAGGCAACGCTAGAGGGCGGAGCGCCATGGCCACCCAGAATGCCGCCAACGGATTTCAATAAAGTTATACGACAAATGTACAACCGTGCGATTAAGCAAAACCCACCCACGCACCTGCGGAAGCTCCAGGACACCACCTCAGGCACGCCGTACGGGTAGGTACGACACACGCGTACGACACAGCCCCGTGCCATACACACCAGCGCCACGCTGCCATCCTCCGCTGCGCTAACCACGCATTGGCGGAATTCGTACGGCGCATGCGTGTCGCCGCCACGTGGCAGCAGCACATGTCGTACGGCGGCGCCGTGGGGATGTACGGCAAACAGCGGCTGTCCAAATGAGACGGCGGAGGTGGTTTGCCAGCCGCGAAGGGAGCCGTCGGCGGCGCCGGTGAGAAGGATGCGTTGTACGGCAGGAGGGGTATCGGTGGTGGTTGCGGTGGCGTTGGCTGGCGTTATGCCAGGGGGGCGTAAGGTGAAGGCGGCTGTGGGGGAGGGCGCTGCGGCTTGGACGTGCGGGGGCGGGGGCTTGGACGCTAAAGTTGAGGGTCGGGATGCTAGTGGGGTAGCTGCTGCCGAGGCGGCGGCGGCGGCGGTGGAGGAGGCGGAGGCGGGGGCCAGGCTGTGCGGTGCAGGGTTGGAGGAGGCGGCGAAGGGATGCCCGTGTGAGGATGGAGGTGGAGGCGACGTGGATGGCGGCGGGTGCGTGTGGGTGTGGGAGGTGGGTCGGGCGCAGGTCACCTCCATCTGCGGTGGGGCCGCCAAGGGGGAAAAAAATTATATAAGTGAAACAACGAATCCCAATCCCATATCCAATAGGGGATAAGACACTAGCCATCTATTGTGACATGAAGTGTCCACCATGGGTTGCAACATGAGTGCCGACGGACGGGACGGGAGGGAGCAAGCAGGTGGGGCAAGGCGAGGGGAGGGGTCAGGGGGCGGGGGCAATGCAGGCCAGGGTTATCACGGCAAATCAACCCAAAACAAACCCCACGTCCAAACGTGCCCCAAGCTTAACCATCCCCGCTTCCCTGACTCAACCCCGGCTCAGCTTGTGGCTTCCTTAGAATGGCCTGGTCTCTCAGGTTCCCCATTACGCCGGCCCCGCCCGATCTGCCCCGCCCCCGCTCGACCACCCGCCCCACCTGGCACGTCACAGGGCCCAGGTGCCCTTCCATGCGGCCGGCAAGACAGGCCACAACACGACCCAACCGCGGCAGCTGCTGCCGCTGCTGCGAGTGATGCTGCTGCTGCTGCCCCCCTCGCGGTCCATCCTCCTCTCCCCGCTCCCGGCACCGCCCATGCAACTGTGGCCGCCGCCGCCGCTGCGGCCTCTGCCGCCTTCCACGCTGCTCCTTCCCCTGGCCCCTACCATGCAAGCCGCCGTGCGACCACAGCACCGGCGGCACCGCATACGCAGCAGCGTCGCAGTAATGCAATGTGCCGTCCGCCGTACAGTGCACGATAACCGCCTGCTCCTGACACCCGCTCCCGCTACCGCTGCTGCCGCTGCTGCCGATGTCAACACGCTCGCAAACCATCATAGACGCCGCCACGACGGTTTCCCTTGCTGCACCAGTCCCCTGCACCGTAGCGACCCGAACTCTGAAACAATTAGACCCCACAGACCGCACTCCGCCTTCGCAGTATCCCCGGTCAAATTCGTTGTACGGCAATGGGGCAGCATTGCCGTACGGCCCATCCATACGACAGCCGCCGCCGTAGTCACTGCAACTGCCGTACTCACTGCCCCGTGTGATTTGGCAGTCATGAGGTGGAGGATGAGGAGGGACGCGGTGCTGGTGGTCGCGGACTACATCCCAGCGGTCGTGGAGGAAGGTCGGAGTGCCGCCGCCGTGCTTCAGCATCATCATCCTCCGACGTCGCCGCCGCCGCCGTCGCCAGTGATCCGAACGGCACAGCCGCTGAAGAGAGGGGGTCGGACTGCCGCCACCGTCGCTGCCGTCGCCACCAAGACGCAAGATACGTGTACGATAAGCACTGCTGCTACTACAGCTGCTGCTGCAAGTGCTGCCATCGCTTGGACCACAGCTGTCGCCCCCATCGCTGCTAGAGCGGCTGCCGCTGCTGCTGCTTCCATGGCCACCGTCGCTGTCGTCGCCTTTACTGCAGCTACTAGCAGCGTGCGCACGCTTCCTGCGGGGCGAGTCCTGGCATGCCGACTGCGCCGTCTTGACATGCCCTACCCCATCACTAGCGATGTCAGTCACCACGACGTTACCGCCGCCCCTGGCCGCGTGGTCGTGAGCACCACTGCATGACGACTGGTGGTTGTCGAGTGGCCCGAACCACCAGCCCTTGCCAACACGTCCCCCGCGGGCGCGTGTTCCGTCGTCGCCATCCGTCGCCCTCACCCCTGCTGCCGCAGCGCGCCGCTTCTGCCGCATCGGCCGCTCCTCCTCCTCCACCTCTGCAGCCGCCACTGTCGCCACAGCATCCGCATCTGCTGACCCATGGGTCGCTCTTCCATCGCCGCGCAGTGAGCTGCTACCTCCGCCATTGCCGACTGTCCGCCATCCGTCCGCTAGAAAGCCCACCAGGGGATCCGGAGACTGCTGGTCGGCTACTCCAAACTCCACTTCATCCTCCTCTGCACCAACCTCTACCTCCACCTCCTGGGTGATGCGGAAGCGCTCCGGTCGCTGCTGCTGCTGCGGGTGCGGGTGCTGCTGCTGCTGCGGGTGCGGGTGCTGCGGGTGTCCTGGCCGGCAGCAATGTGCGGGCTGCAGCAGCCGCCACTGCAGCACCGCAACCACCTGGGAGCCGGCAGACGCTGTAGCGGCTGCAGCATCCCCAGCACCAGCACCAGCCGCCTCCTTACCCAGTGACGAGTAGCACTGCACGCCAATGACCCACTCGCTTCCCTCCGCCGCCGCTGCCGCTGCCGTGCCCGCTGACCGCCCCACGATCCCCATTCCTATCCCCGCCCCACCACCACCGCCAATGAAGCGGCAATGACTGGACAGGCGTGCCGGCACCGCCCCCAGCGGGAGCCGCCCCGGCGGCGCCCGCAGCTCCCGCACCTGCCTCACCCTGTAGCTGCCCCCGCATGCGGCATCAGCGCCCAAACATACCAGCTGCTGCCGACCCGTGGAGCCGTCCCAACAGAGGATGCGCAGCAGCGGCAGCGGTAGCTGGCCGTTTGGCTGTGTTGCGGGTTGAGGGTGTGCTGCGAGTTGCTGCTGGAGGGGCTCATGCAGGTCCTGCTGCTTGGCCGGCTGGTGGTGCTGCTGGTGGTGCTGCAGACCAGCGAGCTGGCTGTCAAGGTGGTGGTGGTGGGGGTCCTGGAGCACCCGAAGGCCGTCCACATCGGGATTCACGACCCACGGGTCATCCAACAGCAGCATGTGCGGGGCGGCACGTACGGCATTGCACCGCTGCTGTTGGGTCGTGGAGGCCCCGTGGTGCATTACCCCCACAGGCAGCAGGTGGGCTGGCGCTGGCGGGCAGACCAGCCCCGGTTGCGTCGGGGTGTAGGCTGGCTGCTGGTTCATCAGGCTGATAACGCCGGTGGCGGTGTAGCACATGCGCAGGAGGTGGGTCGTCGGAGGGCTGCATGGAGCGACGAGGTTAGCGGGGGAAGAGCCGCAACCCACACCCATACCAGGAGGGGGCGGTGTTGGCAACACATCGCGTCGCGCCCTGAGCACCACCCATGCGTCCGCCGAACCCAGCACCGCCCACCCCAAGTCCGAGCTCAGAGTCGCCGCCAGCAGCCGTCCATGTACGGACAGGACCTCTTCCTCCTGCTGCTGCTGCTGCTGTTGTCCTCCTGGTGCGGGGCCCGGCAGGGTCCAAGGCTGCAATGTTGGGCCCGCTGCTCCCATGTGCTGCTGCTGCTGCTGCTGACCCAGATGCCCTCGTCTGCCGGCTGGTATTCCAGCACCCGCACCCGCACCGGGACCCGCAGCTGCCCCTGCCAGCCCAGCCAATGACCACGCAGGCGGATTGTACGGGTCGAACGGCAGAATGCAGCCGTACAGCGTTCCCAGCGCATCCACGGCTGCTGCGACTGCAAGGACCGTCTGAGGACTGCAGCCGCCACCATGAAGCAAGCCGCCAGTATCGGTACTACCGCCGTGGCAGCCGCTCATGCTGTTGCCGTTGCACCAGCCGTTGCCATTACCGTTGTGTGGCGGCGGTGCCGCCACTCGACAGCAGCTCACCCGAAAGCTCAGCAGCTTCTCCGCTGTTGCGGTAGCGCTGGCGAGGGCATCATCACCAAACCGACCCAGCGGGTCACTTGGCGAGCGGTCCCGCCTACCCTGCGACAGCTCCAGGCGCTCCGGTGCGGCTGCCGGCAGCTCCACTTGCAGCAGCTGTTGCAGGGGCTGCAGGGGCAGCACCTGCGTCACGACAAGACAGCGCCAGTCCAGGACCAATACCACGTGGGGTACCGGTAGGCCCGTGAGATGGTGGGGGCGGCTGGATGCGGATGGGGCGGGGGAGGCTGCACCGCCAGCGCTGCCGCTCCGAATGTTGTGAATGGGCTTTCCGAGCAGCTCCTGCTGGCCACTTGGTGGGCGGTGTGAGGGAGGCGGCGGCGGTGGTGGCGGTGAGCCGCAGACCGCGGATGCCGGCAGCGCTGCCAGCAGCCAGCCGGCGGTGAGGGGCTCATCCTGCGTGGGGTTGGATGCGTGGGTGAAACATGTCAAGGGATGGAGCCGCGCATGCAGCAGGGGAACATGGACGGCGAGTACAGCCGGTGAGACATAGCAGCCATGCAACACGCGAGTGATCAATGTGCGCCCCTCAGTTTGTTTCCCCTTGCAGCTTCCTTCCTCCTTTTTTTCCTCCCGGGCTCCTGACCTGCGGCATCTGCGCAAACGCCACCGCCCCTGCTGCTGCCGCTGCCGCTGCCAGCTCAGGCACGCGCCTCCGCAGCTCACAGCGCCCGCACGGCTCCCGCCAAATGCAGCACACACCCGCCTCGTCGACACTCAGGAGATAGCGGGCAGCCGCTTCCCCCGCGTGGTGTCCGGTGCTGCCGGTGTTGCCTGGCGTGTGGGTGAGGAGGTGCGTGTCAGGATCTGGACCAGGCGGTGGAAGGGGAGGTTGATGCAAAACGAGAGTTAATGGGAAAAGGGCGTGGGGCTGCGGTGAGGTGTGGGGATGTACCAGCAGGAGAGCAGTGTGCTCAGCCCGGCAGCAAAGAGCACGTCACAGGGACGCTGCATGGGAAATGATCGCGGAGGACCCGCGGCAAGCCGTGAGGTGCGCCGCTGGCGGATTGACAAGGGCTTATCAAACAGGAGGTATGTTGGGGAACTACAAATGCAGGGTCCAGGCTGACACCTAGGAGCTGGCCGTACCTGTCAGCCCGGGAACCAAGTGTCGGATGGCGCACGTGTGACCAACCAACATGACGGACGCCCTCGGCGGTTCATCGGAGCGCAGCTGCCAACTACGCATACGGTAACACGTTGGCTAGAGTTGTGATCGCACTCTGGGCCACGTTATGGCGGCATGGAGGGCGGCATTATGCTACTCCAACCGTTCAGATACAAGATCGTGCTACTTGGATTAAGCGGTAAACCGTAGAACAGCTTACCGCACAATGGATCCATCGCAGCTCCCAGTATAAATTAGACCCGCGCTCCCGTCGACTGCCACGGATGTCACGGAGTGCGCTGGTGGTGTAGGCGGCCAGAACACCTGGACTGGTGGTTCTTCCATATCAGGGTGCTAGTGAGCGGCTCTCACACTGTCATTTTCCCAGATGTTGTTTGAGCAGAAACCTAGCATGTAACGCTTTGTACCGGAGGGTGCTCTCCATGTAGGCTTTTACCCATCTAGTAATTCAATTTAAAGGACTGTGGAGTTCGCGTTTAGTGAACAAGAAGCTGGCTTGATCGCAGACGCCGTGACGCCGTGACCAATGTAGTTTGGTAAAGGACCGCACCTCTGCGGATCACAGTGATGGGATATGCCTTATTTGGTTTGACTCTTTGCGGGGTTTTCCTTGGCTACGCGTCTGATCACCGTACAGTGGGCTGACAGGAACGATGGCGACGACGTGCAAATGCAGTTTGCAGCAAGACGCTAAGTTGCGGCAGTGAAAATAAAAGCTCTATTTGCTTATATATCCCAGTTCGGATGCGCAGGCTTGCTTGCCCCAACCGCAATCGTCGCGGCCGTTGAAACAAAGCTCTATCTTGATCTATCTTCGTCAGCTTGTTCATACCGGTATTAGATTCCGGCGAACGCGCCCATTGCTGTCCACTGGAGTCCTAAACTGCATTTGAGTTGTATATCTAGCTACCTTTGAGGTTCATGCCGCGGCACGTACGTCATGCCCGCAAGCAAGCTTTGCCCGTCCCGCCTAGCATGGACCTGTGTAACACCACTGCGGCACGGCATCAGCAGCAGCACGCTAAGCTCCCGCTCCATGCAGACGCTGCAGTTGTGCACACCCTCCTCGTCGTCGTCATCATGCCTGCCATGCCCTCATCCTCCACCGGCACCTTTATTCTCATTATTCGTTTTCACCACCTCCTCGAGGGCCTGTATTACCGCCCCGGTATTTCCGTTTGGGTTGCAGCTGCGGATGCTGGGGGATGCCCGACGGGCGCGGCTGCAGCAACGCCGCTGCCATGCCGGCACTAATGGCATGGCCTTTCACGCCAGTGTGTAGTGGGCACAGCAGGCAGCAGCCAGGCCGCGTTTGACGCGGTGTTCGCGACGGGGCCAGATTAAGACAGGCAGCAGCGAGGATCCCACCGCAGCAGCGGCAGCGGAGCCAGGCGCCCTTCCAGATGCCTGGTTGCCGGCGTTGCGGCCGTCCGCCGTCCTCTACGGCCTTCTTCCTCTCATAGCGTCATTGCTGCTTGTACACCTGGATGGCAAGCGAGGGACCGGCAAGCAGCTGATCCCCGTTTGCATTCCGAGATGTCCATGCAGCATTGTCATGAGGAGGGGAACTATACGGAGCAGCAGTTCAAAAGTAAAGAAATTTTATCTAAAAATCCTACAGGCTTTTGTTAAGGAAGGAAAGAAGGAATGTTGTTTTGCTGGCATGGGCACTCCACGCACGGCACTTGGCACGGTACTGCACAAGCCATGCTTTCCCAAGCTGATGTCCTATGCTTATCCTGAGATGCAGTTCTGCTAGCACCATATATATAATAAGCAAAATAGTGACCTAAGTTGTTTTGTGAGCTTTAACTGCTTAGGTCTTGCAAGCTAGATATCGCTAATACTGGTATGGCGTCTTCAAACCTTATTAAATCTTCAACACATGTGCACCCTAATCGACTACGACCGTCAGCGGTTTTATGCGCGTTGCAACCCGCACGAGCGCTTTCCACCAGACACTATCAACTACGAGAAGTGCCCACGTGCTGCGCTCGCCGCGTTCGGTGTAATGGCTTCTTTGGAGGCTTCTTCGGGTAACAGCTAAATTGCCCAGGCATATGCCCAAAGTTAAGCAGTAGTGCTACAACGTGACATTTGCCGGCCCTCCTGTGGCAGGCGAGGTGGCGCCACGGCAACGAAGCAGGCACAGAAACCATCTCTAGAGGACGACCTAGGCCCTGATGTGGTAAGGCGGGAGAAGTTGGGATAACCCCGCTTTTACACACGCACATGAAGCACACTGGGATGGCACCACGCGATGTCTTCGTGGCGTTGTGAAGCCACTTGCCCCTCGTTCCTTAACCTCATCTCGCTCGCCTTGCTCTTCCCCCGCACTCCCCTCTCGACGCGCTGAAACAGAGTTCCCCGCCATGCAGTCTTCTCCTCCACCTAGCCCCATGTATTGATTGATGCTACTAATTATACAACAACTACAATTATTTGCTATCCCAACTATCCAGCGTAATGCGGATTCTGTTTCCAAATTAAGCCCCATGTCACCGCCCCTCCTGTCGAGCATGGCAGTCCGGTGATGTCTGAGTGTGTTTTGGCCCGCGGGAACCCTTATTTCCCCCCTCCTCCTTCGCCCCACCCGCTCCTGGCCCCTGGCAGGAGGAGTTGTTGCTCGTGGAGACGCAGCAGGCGGGCGGCAGCAAGGCGCAGATCATCTACCGCAACGGCGGCCCCGTGGTAGCAGCTGACCTGGAGCGGCTCTGCGTCAAGGTAAGCAAGGGGCTCTGCATGGTAGGAGAGGTATGGAGGGGAATCGCGGCCCTGGGGGGCGGAACCGGGACGATTAAGGCATTCGCTTTGAGGGGTTTGTTGAGGTGGTTGGGGAACCCGGTGGAAGACATTGGCACACGTAACGCAACAAGGGCTGGCTGCAGTGTTCGCTGGGCAGGAGCAGCAGCAGCCGCACACACGCACGCATCCATAACTAACATGAGACGCGCGACATGCATGTGGTAGCCAGCATGTGCTACACGCACGTGCTGCAAGCGCCTGAACTCACCACACGTCTTGCCTCACATAGTAGCTCCGCAACCGCCTGTATTCCACCGTCCCCACAGCACTTCCCTCCTCCTCCTTCCCGTTGTCCCCTGCTCGCCCCCGCAGGTCGGCTGGCCCGCCCGGCCAGTCGCCAAGGTGGAGGCAGCGCTGCGGAACTCCTTCCTGGTCGCCTCGCTCGTCATGCGGGTCACACTGCCCAGCCAATCCGCTGCCAAGGGCAGCGGTGATGCGGAGGAGGTGGTGGTTTCGGAGCAGCTCATCGGGCTGGCTCGTGCTACCAGCGACCATGCCTTCAACGCCACCATTTGGGACGTGCTGGTGGACCCTGAGTTCCAGGTGGGCCCATCTGATGACCTGCTAGGGATGCTTGCGTACGTGACCGTGTTGGCAGCCGTCCTCCCCCACCTCACCTTTCCTTGCCGTAACTTACCTAGCCATGACGGTCATGCCGGTACCTGACCTGACCTGTCACATCTTAGCTTACCCGACTTTGTCATACTCTCTTCCCTAATCCTGAATGTTCCCTGCTGCGCCAGGGTCAAGGTCTAGGCAAGGCGCTGGTGGAGCAAATGGTGCGCTCGCTGCTGCGGAGGGACATCACCAACATCACCCTGTTCGCAGATTCCAAGGTGGGCATCGCGTTTCGTCTATTGTCACAAGCGCGGGTCGTTTTTTTGGCTGCTTCGTTGAACCAAATGGTCCCGAGGGAGAGTTAGGGTTTGCAGGGTTCGCGTTTGCAGTTGACTACCGGTAGTCGAGCCGCGAGCTTGGGCTGGTGCGCGGGCGGGGTACATGACAAGTTGAAAACACATCAGGTTCCGGTAAATCGAGCCGAGCCGCGAGAAGATGCCGCGTGTGCATGCAGCTGCGTAACGCGCAGCTGTCAAAAGGGTTCGGAGCGTGAAAGTAGCAATCTGCGTCAGCCCAGGGGTATCAAGTAGTGTTAAGATAACTGGTCGCGAGTAGTGTGTCAAGTAGTGTGTTAAATTAACTCCAGGCGCTTTCTTGGCCGCAGCATAAGCATGGTTGAGATGGTTCCCAACTCCACACACTGAACCCCTCTGGCCGCCCTTCTACCCCCTCGAGCGGCAGGTATTGGACTTCTACCGGCAGATGGGCTTTGAGGCGGACCCCGAGGGCATCAAGGGCATGTTCTGGTATCCCAAGTTTTGAAAGTACGGCGTGGGAATGTGGTGACGAAGTTGAGTACGGCAGGGAGCAAGGGGGGCAATTTTGCAAGCAGGCTTTGCCCGAGTGCTGTGTCTCCTAGGCTAGCTATGGCCGCTAACATACTTGGACAAAACGCTGGCTGGCTGCTGCTTACTGTGCTTGTCTTTGGAGCAGTGCATTTTCAAATCTCGCAGCTGCATTATGACCGATTGCAGCTAAAGGTGTTTGTAGTTTACCTTGATAGCCTGGGCGCTGTCATACCGCAGGCTAGACTTGGCTTAATGGACGGGCGCCTCTGCTGGGAGTGCTGGGAAGTATGGGTAGTTTAGGTTGCAACTGTGTGCGCAGTGCTGCAAATGGCTCGTAATGCAGAGGCATTGTAGAGCAGGTGGATTAGCGGTGCAGTTTGAGTGAGAGTACGCGGTTCGTAACGCCGTGAGGACCTGTGCGGGATGCGGTTTGATGGCGGTGAGAGGTAGGTATGTATCTTCCATGCAGGCGCATGGCCTTCAAGGTTGAGGAGCAGAGGAGTTGTGGCAGGGTTACGTGATCCGTATAGCCTTAGGAGCATGGGAACAGATCAAATGGGGAGGTGCCAACGAGAGGTTTTGGTGCGAACAGTGAGGCAGCGTTTTGAGAGGAGCAGAGAGCCAAGAGGGGCGCATGAGAGCGGTTAGCTTTAGCGTGGGTTTGCCTGGATTGTTGAGGATGGGCTGTGTGCGGTCTGCCGGGGGCTGTACAAACGCTATTACTTGGATGGAGGAGGTCCGTTCGGGTACATGACAAGTGGTTTGTTGGGCGCAATCTTGCACAAGATAGAAAACTGTTCTCTGGACTGCGCATTGCTGCTGTGAATGCACCGGGCTGCTGTTATTCAGAAGCGTTCTTTCATGATGAGGTGCAGCAAGACCCTCCGGGCGCAATCGCTTGGATCAAGAATCGGTGGAAGCCGATTTTGTTTTCGTTAGGCCGGTTAGGCATCTGCTGTTTGCCCCTGAACGACTGGGAGCTGCACGAGAGGCACCACATGCCGGCTAGGAGAGTGTGCAATGCAGCGAATGTGAGTTGTGTTTAAAGTGCTGTTAATTTATGCACCGTGACAGATGGCCTGGCGTGTAGCTTGTTGACAGGGAGTTAGCTGAGGTGGTTTTGCACTAGGCCACAGGGGCATAAACGTTATGACTGGTGTTTACTGGGAGATCCAAGAGAGATTCATGACAAGTAAATCTCGGAGCAGGAGAGCAGGGCAAGATCAGGACGATCTGGGTCAACACCGGATGCTCGTTCAGCATCCGGTTCTGCTTCCTTCAGGCGTACCGATAGACTTGAAGGACAAGTTAGCGAGCAACGGTGAATCGTGTTACGATTCCGGCATTGTGCTCCCGTCATCAAGTAAATTAGTCATGGTTGCAGACTTGCAGTTGTCGCCTAGACCACACATGGCACGAATGTCTGCAATGGATTGAGACCATGGTTTCCTCGGAAGAGATGTGAACCGATGGTAACCCTTTCATTCTATTGAATGCAAGGCTACTTAGTTTTGTAGCGCTGCAGCCAGTTAGCCTTTAGCATCATAGACAGCTGTGCATCGTACGAGGAATTCAAATCCAACCGTCTTCCAAGGCCTCCAAAATCTATCTGGCATCGCTCTCTACCTGTAATTACTTACTTTTGTGTTCCTGATGTAGCCCTTTCATCCACGCTAACGTTTATCCATTGCCGAAATGTATCATAGTAGATATTACCTCTCAGCTGCTACCATCTTTGCCCTGTTGCTTGCAAGTACTTACGTTTTCCTCAGCTCAGCTCAACACGCCTGCGTGCAACCTCGTCAAGGCGTTTGCGACGATGTTGCAATCCGCAGTCAAAGGCTAGGACCTGCCGCCACATCAGGAGACCCAAAGCCGAATACATGGGCATGGCTTAGGAAATTGCAAGAGGAGGAAAGGGCTGCCGAGAATGCCAGGAAAGGCATCGCTGTCGGCTCCGACTCTCACCTGACCAGCACGCAGGAGTCCAACTTTAACGTTGCTTCAGCACCTCCAGGAGCCAGGCATGGTACCAATCCCTCTGAATCTCATCAAGAGACTCTTCAAAGCAGCTTGGGGCACGCCCGAACTTCTCTAAGCAAGCGAGAACTCGTGGGACTGACCGGCGTTGCCTTCCTATGCGGTCTGCTCATCGGCTTAATTGCGGGCATAAGCATCGGCGCTGTTTGGGCTAGAAGGAGCACCCTATCTAACGCAAGCCCTCATCCGGCTGGCCCAGCAAGTAACAAAACATCGAAAGGACTGTGCAGCGAAATGCCTGTCCCAGTACTCCCTGACGACGTTGTAGCCAAAATTGAGGCTATTCCCAAGGCAGCCGTTAACGATGCTGGGGGAAATGTTCCGCCCGTTGGGCGTGGTGATGTCTGCGCCAAAGACAGCGAGGGTAGCAGCACGTGGAACTGCGGAACAGGGGAGGCGTCAACCAGCAAGCCATGTGATCCGTCCCCAATAACTAAGCGCACCGTGAGGGTTGCAGCGCCCGCCGACAAGGGTGCTGTCTTCGAGCCAGGAGAGGAGGGCAGCGGTGACAATTTCATAGCCGCAGCGCGTGTGCCTTCGGCCACTCCTTCTGACGAACTACGACCAACAGCAACAGCAAAATGTGACGCCAAGACCCCGTGGCGGCAACGGCCTGCTCCTCTCGATGTGGCTGCCACGCCGGTCGGTGCTGCCAGCGGCGGCCAGACGCCTCCGCCTGCGCAGACCACCTGCACTACGCCCTCTTCTAGGCGTCGGTCTCCACTGGCCTCCCCGACAGGTGCGCTCCCAATTGCCGTGAAGGCTTCGGTTGTTCCTGCCTCGTCGGCTCCTTCGGTTAGGTTAGAATGTCCTCATCATGATGTATCATAGTTGTTCGTTTACAAAAAGATTGGCATCATGCGTGCCTGTAGTGTAAACAGCTGTTTCGCAAGGAAGCTTGCCCCCAGCTACCTATGTTGCTTTCATCTCCATTACGTCTCCATGTCCCATGCAACAGGGGTCATGTATAGCGTGGCGGCATCGATGCTCGCCATGCTAGCTGGTCGAGCGGACAAGCTCGCAGAACGCACTGTCCTGGAGGATATGGCAGCGGAGCTGCGGCAAGGTCAGCGCCATGACACCAGGCAGCGCCGTGCGGTCGCACCCGAAGAGGGGACTACGCCGCTACCCGCCATGCACCTCCCGACCCAAGACGAAGCAGACGAGCCGCAGACGACCCATGGGTCCAAGCCGCCGCTGGCACCCAGTTACCGTGGCACTGCCAGCAGCGCATGGGGCTCTGTCGGCAGGTCAGGCGGTGCACCTTCGTCCGCAACCGTACCGAGGTCTGGGGTTGGGTGCCATGGACGGCAGCAGCAGCAGCCCCGTGCGCCGACCTTCTCTAGCGCTACCCAGGGCCAGCCTCGGCTGCCGACGTTACCTGAGGAGGGGCAGGCGTACTCCCAACAGCATGCCATGACGCAGCTGGGCTTTGTTGCAGATCCGCTACAACAGCAGGCGGTCATTCCAATGCTGCACGATCCGTCACGTATGATGTGTGCTACGGATGGGCCAATGTGCAGGTGTGTGATGCTTACTTGCTGCTTCACTAGCAGGGTGCGTGCATCTCCCAACCCGTTGCGGAGGCACGAGCGATATCATGGTGGCGAGCACGTTACCTATACCGTACGCAGCATTTGTAGCCCCGTATGCTTCGAGGCACCGTTGGTTTACCTTCATTGGAGTTGTTTACACTTCAGCTTTATGGCAACGGCGCTGTTGTTGCTGTGTCTCCCTTTACGCACGTGTTTTTGCTGCTGCCAGGTCTGAACACCATCGCTCTCTTCATCGTCGGACATATTTGCCAGCATCTTGACTGTCATGTTTGACCGGACTCACCACCGCAGGACGGAGTCTGGTTTCTCGGACGCTCTCATGAAAGACTTCTCGGCCTCTGTCGCCAAGGACGTTTCGGCCAATGTCATGGAGCGCCTTGAAGAAAAGTTCAAGGACCTTGGCGGCAACTTGCGGGATAACACAGAAGTGACACGGGCGGTCATGGCGCAGCGTGGCATGAAAGAGCAGCGGTTAGCGGTGCGGGACGCCATGACGGTGAGTGGTGGTGCATCCTTGGTCGGTCATTTCAAGGCATCGTCGCTGCTATAAGCTTCCATGCTGGAAACTACGCTATAGGAGGCCGTATAGGAGCAGTTTCCTAACACACAACTTCCGGTCTTGATGTAGCAGGGGGCACGCCGCTCGCAGCATGGTTACCAAGCATCAAAGCGTTGCATGAGAATCAACTAAGCCATGCCTCCTCCGTTTTTTTCGCAGCGCGGCATCTGGATCAGCCTGATTGTCTTGGGGTTTGGCTCGTGGATGTGGGGCCGCTGGGAGGAGGTGTCCAGGTAAGCGACATGCATTCTGGCAGCAATCACGGGATTCAGGGCAAAGGATAAGTACGGGACCCCATGAGTGGTAACGTTCTACCGGATATCAGATCTGGAATTGGCTGCAGGCACCACGCGGTCAAAACCTGGGCAGTTGAATTAATACGCCTACTTCCGTTGTTTTTGGCATCCTCTCCTTTGCTCAGGCGCTGCGCAGCCGACCCAGGGCCCTGGGCGCCGGCAACGTCAGCTGGTGCAGGCGCCGCGCCGGGATACAAGTTCCTGCTGTCGCCTTCCTGGTGGTTTTCCCGAGCGTTGGGGCTGCCAACAGCGCAGTCCGTCTTGGGCGTCACCCACGGGGCGGTGTCGGGCTGGCTGCACTGGCCCTATGTGTCAACGACGCTCTGTCACATCCACGAGATAGGTAAGTAGGCTAAGACGGAGAAGAGGCAGATACATGAACGGGGTACGTTTCGGTGGGCCTGGTAAGATGACACCCTGAACGGGCCTCATTGTGCGAATCGCAGGCGTTGTATCTTGTATGGCGCCAGCACAAGTTGCCCTTTGTGCCGTTTCCTTACTATTGAAACCTCTGCTGTGCCATGTTCCCCTTCCGCCTACCACTACTGTGCAGGGCTCTGGGGCGTCGGGTGCATCTTTCTGTTCTACTGCATGGTACCTCTCATCCGATGGGCCATCTCCATTTCCACGCCACACTCGTTTGTGATCGACATCCCTCTCATCTTTGGCATCGTGTGTGCTGTACCGGGCTGCATCGCGGTCCACTACCTGGGTGGCGCTTGGACGGTGTGGCTGGCGTCGTGGTGGGTCTGGTGCGCAGTCGCCTTCGCACTGCATGTACAGCAAACGCGGTTCGCATGGTTGGCATCTTACATGCTGGCGATTGTGGCACCGGTGGTGATGGGGACGCTACCGTACGCATCCTGGATTAGGCAAGTGCATTTCGGGATGGAGGATTGGGCGTTCTTTCTTATGCGGCACGCCTTGCGCTTGCTCGGAAAGCGGACCGAGGCGGAAACCGAGGCGTTCCTGGCTGGCAACGCGTTCCTGTCGTAACACTCTTGCTCCTACGGACGCAGGGTTTGCGGTGTGAGGGGCTGGATGTGCGGGAGGGTGCTTATGAAGCATGCGGGATTGCAAGACGCGGGGCAAAGACTAGGCGCGGGGGTTAGTGGGGAATTTCCCAGCCGCAGGCGATGGCAGGATGACATGAACCTTGTGCTTGGTTGGTTGGTCGGTCGCAGCGAGGGCCGTCATGTGAAGGAATCGAGCTGCTAGCCCACGTTGGAAGAGGTGGCGTGTTTTCGGGTATGCAGGAGTCAGGGGGCATGGTGGCCATTCATAGTTTCGGACTTTCAAGTGTCTTTTCTGCACAGCTGTTCCGATAGGACGCAGGTGACAGGGACGCTCCTTGTGTTAAGAGCGGGTATGCATTAATTCGTAGCAGTATATGCGTGCTTAGAGCAAGTGATGGGGCCCACCTTCCGTTAGAACATATAGAGGACGTTAGTATGTTAGTATAGGACTCAGGTGTATATACCGGTAGATTTAGCCTGGCAAGGGTCTTGGGGGCTTTGCGCCATCCTTCTTTCACTCTAGGCACGAGGTTAGGGGCTTACTAGGCCTCGATTTCCTGAAGATCCATGGGTGGGAGGATCTATGGAACGGGTTGAACTAAGAACGTGCGGATAGATATTGTGCGTGTCGTGTACCGTACATGTATAGAACTCATTTGGGTCTGGAAAGGAAGGGCCGTAAGGTCGATAGACTGGATTCCAAATGTGGTGTCATTCCGGATACTTGCATGTCTACAGCATTACTTGGTATGGCTTGGCGTTCATACGAGTACAGTCAACGAGCTATAGCGAGGGTAGCCTGCTTTTGCAGAGGGAGTGATCCCTCTGCACAGGACATGTGTGTTCTCTTTGACCTTACGCCGATATGCCTCAGTCTGGTGAAGACGCGGCGGCGCAGGCGTGACGGCTTCGCAGTAGGGTGGCAGTAGCCACAGCAGTGAGTTTGATTAGCGCTAGCCGTTATGCCCACTGGAAATGCATGCAAGACGCTGGGTGTTTTTCTGTGGCCACTTTTGTAGTCTAATCGTTGGCATCAAAATGTTAAACTTAATACATTGGCATTTACCGCAGCTGTCCTGGCGCCAACACGCGCTGCATGCTCGGCATACACACGGCCAGCCAAGTAACCTTCGTATCTGTTTGCAGGCTGACATGTTGTATTGCTGCACACAACTTTCGTTGCCACGAACTTCCGTGGTTTTGTTGACCGAGACGATTCATCCAGCGGTATTCCACGTCCTGCCTCCGATATCACCTCACGACGCTATGATTCAAACAGCAGATTTGAGGTATGTTCTCCTTACCGTACGCTGCTGACGAATGCGGTACAACCTAATAAGACATGACCTAACCCGCTACGTTGCACGGCGGCTTTACGTCAATGGACAGGAACCCACCTAGAAGCATTCGGAGGAATCAACCCCCCGTCAACAATTTAATCTGCACTTTCGTCAACAGCATGTCAGGACATGCACATCGACCCGGCGCCATGCATATGCACGGTGCCACCGAGCATGTGTCGTACGACAAAGCGTGCTCAGCCAGGTTGGCCCGTGCTCAGGGCTCAACACACCACTTCACAACATGGGAAGGGTTAAGGAAGGGGCATGGGCAGCCCTGTGCAGCCCTCGAGCATGTGCGACAAAGCATGCTCAGCCAGGGTCGGCAATGCTATGGCCTCGGAGCGTTTCCTGGCATGGGATAGAACAAGATACGTACCTAACCAAGCTCGCCTAGCTTCTCACTGAAAGAGCACCCAACACAAGATGTTGACGTGGCGAAGCGGAAACATTGCTAGTTTGAGCTATACGTCCCCAGCAGTGTTCTTATAGCAATGCCTATAATGGGCGTTACAGCAACCGGTTACGACATCCCCATCACCACCACCTTCCAGCGCCTCATGCCTTTTCCTGTCCTCCTGCATATCCGCATGGCGAATGCAAAGGGGCCAATCCAACCGCAGACAATCGCTCACCAGCCGCTCATCGCTCTCAATCCCATCGGAGGCGCGGCGCATACCCTTTCACCCCTCCTCCTTCTGCTCCGACCCCTGCCTCTACCCGCTCCTGTTCCGCACTCTTCCGCTTCCCTCTCCCTGCATGCTACTCCCCTCATCCCTGCATGCTCCGCTACTCCCCCTGCAGCGTCACGATGACGTGGCGCCCGGACGCGTGGTCCCGGTGCTCGCACAGCCATATGCCCTGTCGGACCGGGGAGGTAGGGGGGCGGGGAGTGGTGAGGCGGAGGGTGAGGTGAAGTGGGGGAAAAAGAGCATACCATCGGGGGGGAAGTTGCGCGGTGTGGTGAGGCGGGCATGGCATGGGGGCTGAGATGGCTGCCGGAGGTGTGGGCTTCAGAGGGCTGTAGGGGCTACGTACCGCACCGCCACTGCTGTCCGCTCCCCCTCTCTCCCTCCCGTCTCCGCCCCCTGCGTCCCGCCCCATCCGTCCCCAACCCTCCCACCTGCCACGTTCCCAGGTTGAGTCTCCCACCGGTGATGGGCACGGTGAGCGAGGGGCCCAGCAGCGAGGTCTTGACGTGCGCCGGCATGTCATCGGGGCCCTCGCAGGTGTGCACCCAGGGGGCACGGGAGCCCTGGTTTGGGGAGGAGGGAGAGAGGGAGGAGGAGGAGGAGGGGGGAGAGGGGGAGGAGGAAGGGGGATAGAGTTGGGAGAGAATCAGGCGGGGCAGGGCGGGGGGCAGCAGGGTGGAGATGGATGGTGCGGCTTGTATGGTTGGCTGGCTGTTAGGGCACGGGTGGATGCAGGCAGCTAAAGAAAGCCCTATTCGTTTACGGTCTGCTGTACACAGCTTTGCTGTCAGTCAGGGAGGGGAGGTACGGGTGGGACGAGGTGCGGGGCGGGTAGGGTTGGGAGAGCCTGCTGGTGTGCAGCCCTGCCACCTCAGCCGCCCATCAGGCCCCCCAACTACACATCTCACAACCATGCAGGGCGCTGCAGGGCGCTACACGTCCGCATCGCATTGTGAGGCTGCTGCCCCAGCTGCTCCAGCACCTGATGAGCCGCGCAGCGCCGTGGGGGCTGCCACTACACCCTTCTCGGCAATATGGGGGCGATTCCCTGGTTTACGCAGCCCGTGGCCTACCCTAGGGTTCCTTTCCCAGCCCCCCAACCCCAGCTCTTATTTGCCCCCGCCGCCGCACCTCCGCTACCAACCTCGGGCACAACCAGGTTGAGGAATGTCTCCATGTCTCGTCGCACGTCCGGATCCGCGTTTTCGTTGATGGTGAGTGAGGCGCTCGTGTGCTGGACTGGTTTGGGAGGCAAGGAAGAAGATACGGGAGGGTGGGGGCGGGGGTTGGGCATCGGAGGGGCACCGAGAAGCACATACCGATACATATGCACAATTGCACATACGCATGGAGGGGCTGCATGCCCCCAATTTCCCTCCCTCGCAACAGCAGCACCGTGGGCAGGGCTTTCCATGAGCCCATGGGTCGGCCCGGGGTTACATGGTTAGATGCTTCTGGCTAGAAGGGGACACGCTTCTGGCCACATGAAGCCAAATGGTGCTTGGTACGTCGGCGCGTGTATTACATGTGGCGGCTTACATGTGTACGGCAGCAGCAGCCGCAGCGCCGCATATGATGATTTGTGAACTTACTAAATATGTTTGCGAGGCCTACTTTGTAGCCTGATAGCGAGCCGCCGATCTCCTTGAGGATCTGGACATGCAGGGCGGGAGGTTGGGAGGGAGGTTGGGGTAACGGCGGTGTATGCAAGAGTACGTTGCAGGACTAGGGCAAGGAGGGACAAGAAATTGGATGGAGGTGGGACACAGGTGGGGCACGCAGAGTGCAGTGCACGTACTTCATTCCCATTATTCCGTTTTGCGGGCTACGGCTGTACTGCGACTGAGGGTGGGAAGGTGCACATCGCATTAGCTTGGGTACACGCCCTGGGTCCGGGGACCCTTACGATAATGCATTACAGGGTTAATAGTCAAGTGGTTTACTGTTCTATTTGTGAGCAAAAAGCTGTTGGAGGACGGGAGGTGTTGCAATGGCTCCACCATGGCGACACCATCTGCTGCCAAGCGCACCTTATCCGTTATTAAGTGGCAACCTCGCTTCATAGCAGGAAGCCTAATTTCATGCTGTGAGAACTTCATCTTAGAGGTGCATGTAGCGTATTTGTTAGGTCACTCGGTGCTCTCAGCTAGGAACGCAACAAGCCCTGAACCAGAATACTTTTATAAAGGGCGTTAAAGGAAAAGCTCTGTGAAAGGCTGCTGCACCATGCAAGGGTCTGGCTGAGGTGGCGGAATGGAAAGAGGCACCCAACCGCCCTGCCAACTAACCCCGTCCAGATGAGCTATGGACGGCTCCCCGTGTCGGACTTTTCCTCCCGCGGGGAGGTCCAAATGCACGGCTTTCTCTCTTACACGGGGAGGCCTATGCCTCCCCGCATGAAACGCAATTATTTTCGTATAGGGAAAGCTCTACATCAGCCTAGGAAAGGCTTCTTGGATGCTCTGCAAGGCTCCAAAAGGCCGCAAGAGGCCGTGAATCGCGAGGTCTGGGATGTAAGCATGGCAACAACATCCCCACCCATATTTCAGGCTATTTTGCCGTCGTACCTGTCATTCCTCAACTACATTACAGTAAGGGCTTGCGTTACTGTCCTAAGCCCGTCGTTTAGACCAAGATTGCGACTCTTGTGTTCATTGCATGTACCCGCCGCTCGCCAGACTGCTAATGCCGCTTGCCATCGGAACCAACACCTTTCCCAACTTTTCATTCCTTTGTTGTCGCAACCCTGATAACCTCTGAGTCCGCCCCAGGTCCCCTGAAAGTTCCGATGCATGCTCTGATACAGAAGGCATCATGAATCTTCGGTGATTACGTTGCAAGCTTCTTGTATACCAATATTTCGCTAAGTTCTTAACTGTTCGTTGCCCCATGGACCGAGGAGCAACAAGTCAACGGTGCATGTTCGCGCGCATGTTCGAGGCGCATATTCCTACTCAAACGTTTCATGCTGGGCGCTGCGGCATACTGTTTTTTCGTGCATACACATTCACTTCTTGGGCAATATACACGGATTAAACGTGTATGCCTTTTTGGTGGCAGGTAGGGTAGGTCGACCCCACGGGCCTGAGGCTCTACCCAGCCTGCCTGCCGGCACCTAGCCTCGCCCGCATGCCCATAGCCCCCCTACTCATACAGTGGCACCTGGCAAGGTTTGGGACCCGTTTCCCCGGGATACACATGCCGGGCTGGGGCAAATATGCTGTTTGGGTGGCAGGTAGGGTAGGTCTACCTAGCTGACCCCACGGGCCTGAGGCTCTACCCAGCCTGCCTGCCGGCACCTAGCCTCGCCCGCATGCCCATAGCCCCCCTACTCATACAGTGGCACCTGGCAAGGTTTGGGACCCGTTTCCCCGGGATACACATGCCGGGCTGGGGCAAATATGCTGTTTGGGTGGCAGGTAGGGTAGGTCTACCTAGCTGACCCCACGGGCCTGAGGCTCTACCCAGCCTGCCTGCCGGCACCTAGCCTCGCCCGCATGCCCATAGCCCCCCTACTCATACAGTGGCACCTGGCAAGGTTTGGGACCCGTTTCCCCGGGATACACATGCCGGGCTGGGGCAAATATGCTGTTTGGGTGGCAGGTAGGGTAGGTCTACCTAGCTGACCCCACGGGCCTGAGGCTCTACCCAGCCTGCCTGCCGGCACCTAGCCTCGCCCGCATGCCCATAGCCCCCCTACTCATACAGTGGCACCTGGCAAGGTTTGGGACCCGTTTCCCCGGGATACACATGCCGGGCTGGGGCAAATATGCTGTTTGGGTGGCAGGTAGGGTAGGTCTACCTAGCTGACCCCACGGGCCTGAGGCTCTACCCAGCCTGCCTGCCGGCACCTAGCCTCGCCCGCATGCCCATAGCCCCCCTACTCATACAGTGGCACCTGGCAAGGTTTGGGACCCGTTTCCCCGGGATACACATGCCGGGCTGGGGCAAATATGCTGTTTGGGTGGCAGGTAGGGTAGGTCTACCTAGCTGACCCCACGGGCCTGAGGCTCTACCCAGCCTGCCTGCCGGCACCTAGCCTCGCCCGCATGCCCATAGCCCCCCTACTCATACAGTGGCACCTGGCAAGGTTTGGGACCCGTTTCCCCGGGATACACATGCCGGGCTGGGGCAAATATGCTGTTTGGGTGGCAGGTAGGGTAGGTCTACCTAGCTGACCCCACAGGCCTACGCCCTACGCCCTAGAGTCCTAGACTGGTTATCTTCTTAGCACTAGCATCAACTGGGCTGGGAGCTACAACGTCATATTGTAGCAGGGGCTGCACTAAACAGAGAACCAAGGCCCGCATTGTTCCGCAGTTCGCCGTTGCCTAAGCCCAGGTGAAGTTAATTACAAATAACGCGATAAGCGCATATATGATGATATGAAATTGTGACATAAAGTATAGCCTTTAGAGAGCTAGCCTATCGTTCAGGATGTTTTGTGATGCCTGCTTGCGCCAGCTCCCCACAGGATACGCGTGCGGCTGCAAAGCTATTGCACCCCATGCCGTCCTATACTGCAGATTGTTAAGACTATTGTAGGTAAATGACTGGGGCCGTGTAACAGGCGTGTACAAGTGTACGGGGCCAGATTGCAAGCACCAGTCGGATGGCCAGCGTACTGCCGCGCGCAGCTCTGGGGAGCCTATTAGACCAATCTAGAAGCGTTTCTAGGCATTAGGAAGCAAGTTTGGTACATAAAAAATAATGCGTTTTTGTCGGGGAGTTGGGAGGCTCCCCGTGTAAGAGAGAAAGCCGTGCATTTGGACCTCCCCGCGGGAGGAAAAGTCCGACACGGGGAGCCGTCCATAGCTCGTCCAGATCCAAGGGGCGTAGGCCAAATGACGCAGCTTATTCCCATATTAAGCGGCGCGCGCGCGCGCCGACACTGCGAGGCGTTGGGGGCTGGACGGCAGGGCGGGGATGGTGTGGGGGAGAGGGTGGGAACTGTGTGGGGGGTGTGGGGGGCGAAGGAATGTAAAGGGAACAGCGGTAAATGGGGTGTGAGTATGAAGAGGAAGATTATGAATAAAAGTAATGCAACGTGGAATGTTGGGGAGTGCAGGTGCAGAGGGAAAGGAACGCAGAGGCAAGCGCGGTGTTTCGGGGTGCCCGCGAGCTAACAAAACAACTTCGATCGGCCAACTCTTTAAATCTTCTATATCGTGTTTACCCGTAGAACGAGAATCCAACTCCAGGAACGCAGAGGCAAGCGCGGTGCTTGGGGGTGGCAGGTGGATGGTAAGGGGTGCGCCAATTAAAAGAGGTTTGCAGCCGGGTTGGTTGGGTGTGCGAGAGCGGAAAGGGAACAACTGAGACGGCGCCGATTTACAGGAACCATACTAGAGAGTGCCGTGGTAGTTTCGCTTTTTATCAGCAAGACTGTCTCGGCGTTTGGGAGAGGGCTCCGAGCCGTCAGGTGTCATCGCGACGTCCGCGACCTAATAAGCACGCCTGAACCGGCCAGATTTCGATCTTTTCTGTACCGCGATTATGTCTGGAATAACAAGCCCATCTCGGTTTAGCGTCTTAAGGCGCTTGGCGACCAGTCAGAGTGAGCATCGCCAACGCCGCAGTTAAGGTCTCGCTGCCTATGCGGATTTGTTTTGCTACAAGTCAAGATATATATTAACAGAATAGATTGGCGTTTTCCTTTAAGCTCCGAGACGTCGCACGGGTCGGGAGCCAATTAGCGCTCCGCCCCTACAAAGCGTTCCAGACGTTATTGGCAAGGTAGCTTTATTGTAGACATAGTGCTCTTTAACTTTATAAAGTAAAAACGGTCCGGCATGGTATTTCGGGGGTACCTATTTTCAGCGCAACGACTTATGAACGGTACTCGCTCGCGGTTAGTTTCCTCACGAATTCTCGATACAACCCCATGCATCTTTCACTTGCAATCGCTTCTTCACTCCATGCTTTAAATTATGCGCACTCTCATTTTCAGCGGGCATGACTTTTGCGTCGGTGGGAGCTCATCAAAGTGAAACGAGCTCAAGTTCCCGGCCTTCCCGAATAGTGTATATGAAGTTAAATCCTTCTAGTCGGCTCTTATGGTGTCCTTTGATGCTGCATGGGGGGTCGCGCGTAGCCCTGGGACACGCGGGGAGGCTAGACTTTTTTGTCGTACGGGATACACATGCCGGGCTGGGGCAAATATGCTGTTTGGGTGGCAGGTAGGGTAGGTCTACCTAGCTGACCCCACGGGCCTGAGGCTCTACCCAGCCTGCCTGCCGGCACCTAGCCTCGCCCGCATGCCCATAGCCCCCCTACTCATACAGTGGCACCTGGCAAGGTTTGGGACCCGTTTCCCCGGGATACACATGCCGGGCTGGGGCAAATATGCTGTTTGGGTGGCAGGTAGGGTAGGTCTACCTAGCTGACCCCACGGGCCTGAGGCTCTACCCAGCCTGCCTGCCGGCACCTAGCCTCGCCCGCATGCCCATAGCCCCCCTACTCATACAGTGGCACCTGGCAAGGTTTGGGACCCGTTTCCCCGGGATACACATGCCGGGCTGGGGCAAATATGCTGTTTGGGTGGCAGGTAGGGTAGGTCTACCTAGCTGACCCCACGGGCCTGAGGCTCTACCCAGCCTGCCTGCCGGCACCTAGCCTCGCCCGCATGCCCATAGCCCCCCTACTCATACAGTGGCACCTGGCAAGGTTTGGGACCCGTTTCCCCGGGATACACATGCCGGGCTGGGGCAAATATGCTGTTTGGGTGGCAGGTAGGGTAGGTCTACCTAGCTGACCCCACAGGCCTACGCCCTACGCCCTAGAGTCCTAGACTGGTTATCTTCTTAGCACTAGCATCAACTGGGCTGGGAGCTACAACGTCATATTGTAGCAGGGGCTGCACTAAACAGAGAACCAAGGCCCGCATTGTTCCGCAGTTCGCCGTTGCCTAAGCCCAGGTGAAGTTAATTACAAATAACGCGATAAGCGCATATATGATGATATGAAATTGTGACATAAAGTATAGCCTTTAGAGAGCTAGCCTATCGTTCAGGATGTTTTGTGATGCCTGCTTGCGCCAGCTCCCCACAGGATACGCGTGCGGCTGCAAAGCTATTGCACCCCATGCCGTCCTATACTGCAGATTGTTAAGACTATTGTAGGTAAATGACTGGGGCCGTGTAACAGGCGTGTACAAGTGTACGGGGCCAGATTGCAAGCACCAGTCGGATGGCCAGCGTACTGCCGCGCGCAGCTCTGGGGAGCCTATTAGACCAATCTAGAAGCGTTTCTAGGCATTAGGAAGCAAGTTTGGTACATAAAAAATAATGCGTTTTTGTCGGGGAGTTGGGAGGCTCCCCGTGTAAGAGAGAAAGCCGTGCATTTGGACCTCCCCGCGGGAGGAAAAGTCCGACACGGGGAGCCGTCCATAGCTCGTCCAGATCCAAGGGGCGTAGGCCAAATGACGCAGCTTATTCCCATATTAAGCGGCGCGCGCGCGCGCCGACACTGCGAGGCGTTGGGGGCTGGACGGCAGGGCGGGGATGGTGTGGGGGAGAGGGTGGGAACTGTGTGGGGGGTGTGGGGGGCGAAGGAATGTAAAGGGAACAGCGGTAAATGGGGTGTGAGTATGAAGAGGAAGATTATGAATAAAAGTAATGCAACGTGGAATGTTGGGGAGTGCAGGTGCAGAGGGAAAGGAACGCAGAGGCAAGCGCGGTGTTTCGGGGTGCCCGCGAGCTAACAAAACAACTTCGATCGGCCAACTCTTTAAATCTTCTATATCGTGTTTACCCGTAGAACGAGAATCCAACTCCAGGAACGCAGAGGCAAGCGCGGTGCTTGGGGGTGGCAGGTGGATGGTAAGGGGTGCGCCAATTAAAAGAGGTTTGCAGCCGGGTTGGTTGGGTGTGCGAGAGCGGAAAGGGAACAACTGAGACGGCGCCGATTTACAGGAACCATACTAGAGAGTGCCGTGGTAGTTTCGCTTTTTATCAGCAAGACTGTCTCGGCGTTTGGGAGAGGGCTCCGAGCCGTCAGGTGTCATCGCGACGTCCGCGACCTAATAAGCACGCCTGAACCGGCCAGATTTCGATCTTTTCTGTACCGCGATTATGTCTGGAATAACAAGCCCATCTCGGTTTAGCGTCTTAAGGCGCTTGGCGACCAGTCAGAGTGAGCATCGCCAACGCCGCAGTTAAGGTCTCGCTGCCTATGCGGATTTGTTTTGCTACAAGTCAAGATATATATTAACAGAATAGATTGGCGTTTTCCTTTAAGCTCCGAGACGTCGCACGGGTCGGGAGCCAATTAGCGCTCCGCCCCTACAAAGCGTTCCAGACGTTATTGGCAAGGTAGCTTTATTGTAGACATAGTGCTCTTTAACTTTATAAAGTAAAAACGGTCCGGCATGGTATTTCGGGGGTACCTATTTTCAGCGCAACGACTTATGAACGGTACTCGCTCGCGGTTAGTTTCCTCACGAATTCTCGATACAACCCCATGCATCTTTCACTTGCAATCGCTTCTTCACTCCATGCTTTAAATTATGCGCACTCTCATTTTCAGCGGGCATGACTTTTGCGTCGGTGGGAGCTCATCAAAGTGAAACGAGCTCAAGTTCCCGGCCTTCCCGAATAGTGTATATGAAGTTAAATCCTTCTAGTCGGCTCTTATGGTGTCCTTTGATGCTGCATGGGGGGTCGCGCGTAGCCCTGGGACACGCGGGGAGGCTAGACTTTTTTGTCGTACAGTGGGGTATGGCTGTATCTACGAGGCTAACGCCTCGCAGCATACTCTACTGTGCTTTCTTTATTATCCCTTACGCTAGAGTGGTATTGCTTTTGGATAATCCCGACGAAGTATGGCGCGAGGCAAGGTGGTGGTCTGCGTGGCCCTTGTCCTCGCGGTGGCCACTTCCCTTATTGTTACGCATCCGGGCTTCCAACCAGCCTGGAAGAAGCTTCCAATGATGGGCTGCCTATCATCGGCCGAGAACAGTGCCTATCGGGCGGACTCTCAGCTGCTGTCGTGGCTGAGCAATGCGCCAAGACTGGTGCACCTTACAGGCAAGTTGTTTTCTTTATCGCAACAAATTAGATGTGCTGCTTTGGATTTGATTCCAAGTTGCGCCTAGTTAGTTTGGCAAGAGCGTTGGGGCGTGAGGTGCAAGCGTGCAACATTCCTACTCCAGCGGCAACTTCTCCGATCCGGATTGTTTGACAGATGGCAAAGAGACGGCATCAGAAGTTCTTGAGAAGCTGGATAGCTATCGCGCGCTGGTGGTCGTGACAGCCGGTCGAGGCGGGCCCAACAGGCAAGTTGCATTGAAAAGCCCTAGCAAAGCCTGGTGGTAAAATGCAGGCCGCTTCAAAAGCATTCCTTAAACAACGACGTTTAATGGTTCTGTTTCTTCCTTTTTCCATCGAAAGCTTTTTGCCATCGCAAGTCGGTCTCCAACGACAACGTGCGGTTGCAATCCCAGTCTGCCCAGGCCGCCTGCCTGTCATCCTCCTTTCCTTAACCCACCTTACTCAACCAGTGTCACCCCTTCCTTTCCGCCTCACCCTCCATCCTCATCTCGCCCACCATCTCAACACCTCAGGCGCGCCCCAGACCAGCCCTTCGCCTCCGTCTCCCCGGACGCCGCTCCGCTGCTTGGCCCGCTGCTGTCCGCCCCCCTGTCCGCCATGAACGCCGCTGCGGGGGCGCTGGAGTCGGTTACCGGCCGCCCGTTGTTCCCGCTCAGTCTGGGCACCTTTGAGCGCAGCAGCACTAAAGGTAAAGCCGGCTCGTACGGACACACTGTTTCGCAGACTGGACCAGTATTCGTATTAATGAGCAGTGTAGGGGGAATCCCACCGGCTTCAGGGTGCCAGGTTGCAGGAGGGCGGGTTTGCCACAGGAGAGAGAGGGACCTTCACGTGGGAGCCCCCAACGGGTGATGTCGTACGCCTGGCGCCCGCCCCAAGTCCTGCGTTCCTCCTCATCCTGTCCCTCCCGCCGCTCCTTACCCCCCTACCTACCTCCCAACCCCTGCCCCAGCTCCCTACGCCATCTTCGACGCCTCGTCCGGCTCCCTGCTGCTCGACCGCCAGCTGGTGTCGTACACGTGGGGGGGCGCGGGGGCGGCAAGGGGAGCGCCTGAGGCGGATCACGGAGCCCAAGTGTCGTACCTGACATTGGATCTGGCCGGCCGAGTGTTCCGTAACGTGGCCGACATGTTGGGCGCGAGGAAGGCTGGAGAGGGCATGATGAGCAACAACGGGAGCGGAGGCATGGGCGGGGGGCCGGCTGAGGTTGAGGCGGAGGAGCTACAAAAGCTGCGGAAGGAGGAGGAGGAGGCTGTCCTTCAGCAAGACCAGCGGCGGCAGCTGCTAGCAGCTTCTAGCCTAGACCTGCAGCAGGACATGAACATTGATACCACCACCACCACCACCACCCACAACAGCAACATCCGCATGGACGGCCCCGCCGCTGCCGCCGCGGTATCCCTCGTCGCCGCCGCCCTCGCCGCCGCCCTGCCCGCCGCCTTCGCCGCCGCTCCGCCCCTCTGGTTCTGCATCCTGTGCCCTTCCGTGCTGGGTCTGCTGGCCCCCGTGCTCATAAACACGGCACTCAACCAATTGGCGGGCGCCTTGTGTCGGCAGATGCAACTGAGTGATGACGCATGTTTTGACGTATTACTTGGGGCGCTGGGCGCGGGGTTCGTGCTGTCGCTAGCGAGTGCGGTGCCCATCTTCTTCGCGTGCCGACTGCCGCAGTGTGCCGGAAGGAATGTGACGGCGGGTCTGGCGAGGGTGATGATGCGAGGGTGAGGGTACGAGGGTGAGGGTGCGGGGCGTGAGGGTGCGGAGACAGGGGAGGAAGGTAAGGAGGAGGGGAGGTAACGAGGAGGAAGAGGAGGTGGAGGGCCGCAGGCCCGCAGCGGGTCAAGCGGAGTGGGTGACAATTCGCCGCCACGTGAGGAGGAAGCGGAGGAGAAGCAGGTTGCTGCTGTTGCTGTTGTTGTTGTACATTAACGCCTTGTTGTACATTACGGCCGTTCTACGTTTCCTACACGTTGAAGAATGGCATGTATTTTGTTGTGCCTGCATGTTTTGACACCCTGAAGCACGATAAACACAATGTATCGGTCTCTGTTTGTACAATATGCTTTGGGTTGCACTCCGCGGTGGTTATGGTGGTTGCCGCGATGCTAACGGTGAGGCGGATACCGGGAGTTGTTGTTAGTCTGCGGGGTGCAGGTTATGGGGCCCCTTTTCTAATTTCGTGAACATGACACATGCCACTCTCCATGCCTCCTTCTTGTGCATGCCGTACATGTACGTGTGTCGTGCAGTGGTAGTTGCGCCCATGTTTTCTTTCGCTCCAGACCAGACTCCCGTCCACTGCCAAGCTGGGGGCCTGCACGCTGCACGCTGCAGGGCATGCGCCGGGCTATAGATCATCCGGGGATCCGCTTTGACCCTCAGATGGTGAAGTTGCGGCACCAGGCGTGTGTGCAAGAAGCCTGCTGTAATGGTGTATCGAAGAGACGACAGCAACGCATGTGAGGGCGGGGTGTGCTGAAAAGATGGAGTGTACCGGTGAAGTGACACAGCAAGGGTTGCATGGGTGTGCCAAGCGTGTCCTGTAGATTGGCCGCAGCGATGCCCACAGTTCCGGCGCACACCTGACGCGCCCCCCTGTAGCAAGCAGCAGCAGCACGCGAGAACATCAGGGCAATGCGCCATGGAGTGCGGCCCCCCTTGTCGCATTGCACCTGTCGGCGATTACCTTGACATTAGGTAAATATTTTAACACACTGGCAGACGGTAGCTCGGTATTATTAATGGAAACGCCCACATCCCGAAAGCAGGCAACTGCTGCGCCGTGCATGGTTTGTCATATAGTGGGACACTTTCATCATTCAAGCAGTTATATCTGTTTTAGAGAAGCGATGCATGAACCAAACGGCCATCTATGTAATAGTTCTTGTTTCATAGCTGCTTGCGTTCCGCGTAGCTGCCAATTCGTGTTCAAAGCCCTAACCGGTCTGCTGTCGCTGACGTGCCCTATTCAAAGCCGTTTAGCTACCTGTTAATACGGATAGGCAATATGTCACTACGTAGCTTTCGAGCGTTGCCGTCCATCGGGGCATCCCTTCGGCGTCCGAAACGTTACGTCAGGTTCGCACAGCTGCTCGTTTCAGCCGCGACTTCTGCACCCGACACAGGTTCTGAGTCGCCGTCAACTTCTGGGGTCCAAAATGCGTCGAACGTCCGCATCCTGCGGTACCCCGATGGCTATGAACGTCGAATCATATATCCGGTAGCTCCGGCCGTAGAAGCAGGGTCAGACAACGAGGATGCTTGGAGCTTATGGACACATGCTGACGAGGTGCGGATACCGTTGCCTTAGCAGTAGCGGGCTTATAAATCGAAGCAATTTTGTTGACCTGAACGGCCGAAGTGCATTTCATTTCACTCTATGCCATAAACTGCAGGACGAGTCAAGCGTCTGGCATGACTGTGGGCTGGCTGGCGCGGCCTGCGTTGTCGAGGTATGTTGCCGCATGCGCCGGCAGTCTTTTCCAGCTTGACAAAATGACAAGTGGCAACAAAATGGCGACAAGGGGCTCACTATTTCGCGCTGCTATGCATCTTTGAGATGGCGCCTGACGAGATGTCTGCAACATGGCTCACGGCATTCGCACGGTAGACCCGAGTTGTGAAGCCTGACGCCTTGCAGGACACAGACCCCTTGGTGGAGGAGATCACATCGTTGCATCGGAGCAGCCAGCTGCAGAGTCCTCAAAGCGTTTCGGAGCTGGTCAAAAGTAGCTACCAGGTTAGTTGGCCGTCCCGCTTGCTTGTTAACAACGCTCCGTCACATTCACTGTGTATGTTTCTCGCTTCCATCAACGCTACCTCTTAACCCCTCCGCAGATCCTGACGGGGTCGCCCTGGCTGCTGCCGCGCCCCCTCTACGTGCTGGCCCTACGCCAGCCGCCGCCCCCTTCCCCTCCACCTCCTCCTCCTTCCCAGCAGCCCTGGGGTGGTGCCCTTTGGACCCACCACCACCACCAGGAACCCCAGCAGCAGCAGCACCTCCCTCCCCCGGACCCTCAAGAGGTGGCTACCGGCGACGCCGCGCAGCTCTACTGGCTACCCACTCGGACCGTGATGCAGGAGGAGCAGCAGGAGCTGGCGGCGGTGAGGAGGCGGGAGGCGGGAGGTTGTTAAAGGCCAAGGGGTAAAGAGGAAGGAGCTACCACCTAGCCGCGTGACTCGAAGCTCCACCAATGCGGGTTGCATGTAATGCCGGGGCTGCGTGTAAAGAGGGCGAGGGTGGCCAGCACCCACCCTCTATCCTTACCAAGCAACCCTAGATCAACTTTCCTACACCACAACACCAACCACCCTAAACCACACCCGTGTACACACCCCACCACCCCCACCAGGTGCTCAAGCGTCCCTCGCTGTCGCTGTCACTGTCGCTCTCTGCGCTGCGAGACGGAGTGGTGGCGTTCGGCGCGGCGGAGGACGCAGCGCGGTTCGCCACCTGCCTGGAGGCGGAGCAGCAGGCGGCGGGGCAGGTGGGGGTGGCGGGAGGGAAGCGGGGGTGGAAACTATGGAATTGAGCCGCGATGGGCAGGGAGGCGAGGGTGGGGCAGGCTCATGAAAGAGAAGGAACCTGGTAGGTTCACAGTGCCCAGTGGTGGGTGCGTGTGGGGGGCGGGGCGAGAGCCAAGGAAACCCTCGACGCAACGGACGCGCACGGGGCTTGCTGGTGCAGCTGCTGCTGGACCTCTCATTTAATCTCCCCCCCCCACCCTTGCTGCGCTCACCGGCCCCATGTCTGCTGTTCGATGCCAGCGCCACACCCACACCTAGCTCCCTCCCTGCCTCCCTCCCTGCCTGCCTCTCCCCCCAGCAGGTGGATGTGATGGAGGTGGACTCGCACCAGCTGTTCCGGCTGACGGGGCAGGTGGGGGCGCTGGTGGTGTATCTGGCACCACCGCAGCAGCAGCAGGGGGAGCAGCAGGGGGAGAGAGGGGTGCAGCAGGAACAGCAGCAGCACTGGTTCCTACCGCTGCCGCAGCAGCTAGCGGAGGCTCTGAGAGGGGAGCAGTAGGAGGCAGGTGGGTAGGGTCCCAGCAGAGGGGAAGGGCATGATGACCGGCAGCAAACCACCACCGATCCGCGCTGAACACCCGCCGAGCCCCCAACACGGGGTTGTACGTGGCACACGGAGAGCAGTAGGAGGCGGCACTGGGGGGCGAGGGAGCAGTAGGGGAGGAGGGTGTTGCAGTAGGTAGGTGGCGGAGCGGCTCCACAGCTGTAGGAGGGGGAGCTGTTGGGCACACTTTGTTGCCGCACTGAAATATCATCTAGATGAGAACTGTGTACATGTCCTCTGTAAGAAGAAGAAGAAAAGTTCATTCATTGGTGGGTTAGTGTTTTGTTGCTCGACGCTTCGCTGTCCAATACAGTAGGGTTTGTGTGCATGTTTGCTCCTTGTTGTGAAGATTTTGAAGATTTGGTTGTCATCCGCTGATCGGTGTCATTCTCTGATCGCTGTATCTGCGATTGTGTTGGCTGTTAGGTCAGGACATTAATTACGTGTCCTGGTTGTGTGCCGTTGCGTGCATGCGTTTGCAGTCGCACAGCATTGAGCATGGGGACGGATGTTTGGAGTAGCTGTACTACTAGCCCTGCTGTATCGTTGTTGATGCTTCCCAAGCCTCGAAATGGTTGAGAGAAAGAGCTTGAAAGCCGGCCAAGCGGGGCGTGTATTGTACGAGCACTGTACGGTTTGTACAATTCCCCCTGGACAGCTATGTACAATAACAACTAACTTGCTAATACGCATGTGCCGTGTACGCAAAGGATCCAACACGTCATTTCGTGGGTTTTCCTGAGCATTGTCGTGCTTATATTCCTTTAATTGAGGGCCTGAAGGGTCTGCTGGTATGGCGAGGTCAGCGGTGTGTTAAAATGACTGGCCGGTGTGTGCGTGTTATTGGCCAGCGTGCAACAGCTGGGAGGTGAAGCTGGCGTGCCGTCCTGCGCAGCCTGGTGGAAGCAAGGAGTGTCAAGGAGTGTCTTGTGTGTATGCTCACTCGAGAGGGGCTGGGTTGTGGTTTCAGGCGCTTCTTGGCGGGCTGACGTGGAGGACTTACTTAAATGAAAACAACTGCTCCTTCAACTCCGCTGCCGCTGTCGCCAGCGCAGCGCCTACCTCACTTGCACTAAACCCGTTCAATGTTGCGCCATCTGGCATCACACTCAGCCAGCATGCAAGGGATATGCAAGCGAGTGCAGGGAGTGGGGCGGTGCAGGGAAAAGGCGTGTGGTGGTCGGGGAGTGGGCGAACGGCTGGCGGAGGCGAGTGGGGGCTAGGGGTGTGGAACAAAGCGGAAGCACAGGCGCGTGTGCAGCTTAGGGGGCAGCGGGTTTGGGGGCAGAGTGAGCAGGTTTGGGAGCAGGGGAGTGTGCGAAAGATGGAGTTATCCGCCTGGTAAAGGAGCGTGTCTGAGGGATGGCCCGCGCATCGGGTCGGGTTCTCGGGTACACGCCTGGGTGGGTCGGGTCGGGCCGGGTTGCAGACCTGGGCGGCAGGGCACGTGGGGGCTGGGGGGTTGTGCACGTGAAGCGGGACGGCGTGTGTGTGGGCTTCCGTTTGCTATCAGCGATTGTCCCTTGCAAGCTGCGGCTGCTGTCCGTAACGACTTGGTGGCTTGAGGGTTCAATTCCCTCGGGGACACATGGGGATTCAACCCAAGTTTGGATGTGGGCAGTAGGGTTTGTGTGGGCGGCACATGCCCCCTAGCACCAGCAGCACTAGCGGCGGTTGAATGAAATGAAGGACACGACATGACTGGGGGGGCTGCCGCTGGGAGCCGGCAGCAGCAGCCACATCAGAGTTGGTCGACGGCAGCAGCGGTGGCAGTGGCGGGCGTTGCTGCAAGGGCGTCCCTTCCTAAGCATGAATGGTTGCATGGCCCTGCGGCAAAAGCACCCTGGAGCCGTTGCGATGCCAGCCAGAGCGGGCACAGTCGCAGCAGCAGCACCTGGGGGCCGTGTCCGTCCCTCAGCGACCGGCGGTGCTCAGAGGCTGCAGGGAGAGTGTTTGCTTTTCGGGCAGGACATTGACAATGACGAGGTGTATTGACCTAGGCATTCCGAGGGGATCACGCAGGGACTAGTGGTGCACGTAGATATGGGAGTTCCCGGGGGTTGAAGCATGCGAGGACAGGCGTGACGAGGTTTGGTAACTTGAGGGGACTTGCAGGCGACAGTGCGGGTGAGCGTAGGAGGGGTTGTGAGAGCGCTTGTCAGGACTATGGTGAGCATTAGGGGTACGGTGAGCTATAGCTTCTCTTCATTTTTAGCATCCGCGAGTTGCCCTAAAGTGCCCTGTATCCTGATCATGTCACCTGTGGTCATCCGCCACGACACCTCAATGTGACGGTTCGATGGGCTCCGATACCAAGCAAGCTTAACCGAACCCTGTGTCTGGTCTACGGAAATCTTCATTCATTTCTTCGGTTTATAGACCTCCGCTGGAGCCACATGCAATCGGGCCGTCGTTGAAGGCATTATCGGTTAGCAATTTTTGTCAACGTGCAGGTTATGAGGAGCCTTAGCGTCCTTGGGCCAATTGTGGTTTCCGTGAATAGGAAGGGTTTTTCATTGCACCCTCCCTTGCCCAAAGTACGCTACTTCCCTTAACCGTACGGCAGCATCCGACATTCGACTAAAAGCCAAGGCCGTCAATTGGCAAAGGCTTTTCTTCACTAAATGACCAACAATCTTTACTTATAAAAAGCCATGTACTTCGAGCTAGATATTGTAGTAAAAAGAACATTTCAGGGAATAGGAATGTCATGAGTTTGCTGGCTGCCAGAGGCCGTCAGGAGCGTACTTAGGTAAGGCATCTCTAGACATTGGAGCTTCAGATGCTGGCTGAGCAATACAAGGGCACCACCATCGCCGAATGCTAAACTTACGAGGGCCTTGCTAAACGCGCCGCAGGTTGCGATTGAAGGAAAACCTACACTTCCGACAATAGCGACATGGGCTGACAAGTATTGCTGTGAACGGGTAAGGTCGCTCCGGCAAATGTGCCGAGTATGGGAACTCGTGTTCGCTTCCTAAAGCTGGGCTTGGAGCAATGGCAGCCTTGGAGCTCTGTTGGTGTAGTCAGCTCATCACGCTTGTCTTCATTGTAATAATTTGTGAGTTTTGGCATACCGTATCATGCTCATGCTAATTGCCCATCCTAATTTCTCTCCGAAATCGAGTTGAATCAACTGCATTACCAACGTTTTAATTCCTGGATATCTTGCTTACACGCAGGTCACTATGTGTGCTGCGCTTCATGGTTACCATGTGTGGCTACAATGGCACGCGCTTAACCGAAGACCAAGGCTAGCGGACAACGCGACCAAGAGCATAAGACCCTTACGTGAACAAGGCATCATCCGTGCGCGTTGGAGCTTCAGTAGACTCCGGTTAGTACTTCGGAAGGATGGGACGGTCGGTGAGCATGTGTGTTTTGCGTGATCTTCCGACGGTGGTTGCATGTTGATTAGTGACCGTCAATGCTGTCCGGTGTCAATTGACGTATGACCGGGCGTTTGCCCGCGCAGCCGGCTTAGCAGACATGTCCCAAGCAGTGTCTGGCGAGCGCTGCTTGTGGCATGTCTGTTCAGCCGACTGCGTGAGCAAACCTTGTTGTCTGGACGCCGGCCTATTCCATGGGGCAGGAGGGCCTTCGACCTGCTTGCTTGCTTCCTGCTCCTTCGTGTGTTGCTCGTTAGTGTTAATGTCCGCTGCCTCCTATCCTCCAAGTTGTAAGTAAATGACCTGCCCCTTCCCCTTCGCCCCTCCCGCGCCCCCCTCGGTCCCCCCCTCGGTTTGGATCCCCGTCCGAGGCGCATGGGCTGGTGGAGGAGCCAACGCGCCCTACCGACCGAGAGCAACTACCCAGATGAGTGCGGCTCCATACCCGGGGTGGGGCTAGCTGTGTTTTGGGGCACGGGGTCTGCCCGCATGACCCAACCAGCCGAAGGGGATAGGAGAAGGCGTGCACCGCATGGCTTTAAGCCGAAGGGCATTGCTGATTGGGGTTATGTGAAGGCGTGCACCGCATGGCTTTTAGCCGAAGGGCATTGCTGATTGGGGTTATGTGAAGGCGTGCACCGCACGGCTTTAAGCCGAAGGGCATTGCTAATTGGGGTTAAGTGAAGGCGTGCACCGCATGGCTTTAAGCCAAAGGGCATTGCTGATTGGGGTTATGTGAAGGCGTGCACCGCATGGCTTTAGGCCGAATGGTGCAGATAGGTATCCTATGAGTTTGCTGGGTCGAGCTTTCGCAATTTCAGCATTCCTAGCTGGCTAATCCTGCGCTTCCTCAATTGACTTCCCTCCTTGTCGTCCCTGCATTCAGGTGAGGCCAGGCATGCGGCGTTGCTTGGCAGCTCTCAAGACCCGGCAGAAGATGTACGACACGAGCTCAACGAAGACGACCTCAAGACGTTTGTTCAAGAACTCCACACCACTTGGGGAACGTCGGGTCAGTGTCCATAAGGTACGTCGGTCCAGATGTATTCAATGCATGCGTGCATGTGGGTCGTGGGTTTTGCGGGTCGGGAGTTTTGAACCAGCCGCAGCGCTACAGCTACAGCCTTGCAGCCTCAGCTAGCAGCTACAGCTTATCAGGATCAGCAGCAGCAACAACAGCAGCAGCAACAGCAGCAGCAACAACAGCAGCAGCAACAACAGCAGCAGCAACAACAGCAGCAGCAACAACAGCAGCAGCAACAGCAGCAGCAACAACAGCAGCAGCTACAGCTTACCAGCATAGCAGCAGCAGCAGCAACAGCTTATCAGCATAGCAGCAGCAGCTACAGCGCAGGCAGCGGGCGGGGGCTTTTTGTTACCTGATGCCTGGCACCGTTTGTCGTTGTTGACTCGTTCCTAACCCTAACCCCACCCGTGCCCACTCCGCCTCCCCGCATGTATGATGGCATGCATGGGCTTACTTGAGGCTCGCTTGGCAACGTCAAGAAGCGTCTCTCAAGACCTGCCCTCAAGCCGGTAGCCAACGGACCCATGGGTCAAGCGCCTGCTTCGTCCTCCCAGGGACCCCTGGAAGCATCGCTGCCTAATCTCCAAATGTTGTCTTCTCTGTACACAGGGTGGGACGGAAACCCTCAGCAAAATGCTGGCGGGAGGTGAGTGCGGTGTTAACACGGCGCTTCAAGGTATGGTCTCACGTGTTAGGTGCTTTCTGCAGCTGGTTCCGCATTGGCTGCCTCTCTTGTCGCCGTTCTAATCCCCCTCTTTGCCTTCCTTGTCCGCAGTTGCGGGCTGGCGTGCGGCGCGGCAACGGCTTCGGACGGCTTCCAAGGCGCAAGTGGCAGATAGGTGCGGCGTACGGCACCACGCTTTGAAGGTACCGGCGTGTCATGCATGTAGGATCTTGCATCATCTAGCTAGGCGTGACGCATGCATCCCTAGGCATGGCAACTGCATCTTGGTGTCCGTATTGGCTCATCATCGTGATCCTATCGCCTGCCCTTCCTTCCTTGGCCCCTGCTGCCCGCAGGTACGACACGAGCTCTTGTGAGGCGACAAGGGCGACCAAGGCCAAGATCGAGATTGATGACGAGATCGACAACGAGGATAACACCAACACCTCATCCCGCAAAGGTAAGTCTAGAGCACTGCATGCTGAGCCTGGGGACGTTTTAGTGCGGGTGGGTATCAGCGTCAGCAACAGCCACAACGTCAGCAGCAACAGCAACAGCAACAGCAATGTCAGCAACAGCAGCAGCAACAACAGCAATATCAGCAGCAACAGCAGCAGCAGCAGCGTCAGCAACAGCAGCAACAGCGTCAGCAAAACAGCACAGCGGGTGGGGTTCAGTTTGTACCAACTGCGTTTGTATGCCCTTCCGACGCACCCTTTGTCTGTTCATGACATGCCTTCTCTTTCCCATGCCTCCTGCCCTGCCCTCCCTCGGCATGTTGGCCCCTGCTTGGTCGACTGCGGATGCCGTGTGGACGAGCGGCAATCACGTCCGGGAAGACGGAAGCGTGCGGGGCGTCACGGCCGAGTCGAGGCGTTGTTGACGTAAGTAGGGGGCTGCTTGGTGGGGTAGCGGAAGGGAACGTAACTAGCAGGGGACCTACCGGGATTGTTGCTTGTCCAAGCATGCCCCTCCAGCCCCAGCCGTCGCAGCAGCCTTTCAGCCTTATGGCTTCAGAGCCGCGTCAGCCCAGCCCTTCTTTCAGCCAGCCAGCCAGTCAGCAGCAGAGCAGCCAGCAGCAGCACAGAACAGCACAGCACAGCACGCTTCAGGGATGCGGGGGATGTCTTGCGTTTTGTCTGTGCGGTGTGATCTTCCTCGCATGGCTAATGTTGCTGACCTGCCGCCTCCCTTTGCCCCCCTCGCATGGTCACCGGATGCACGTCCTTTGAGTTACTGGAGCCAAGAGGGACCCCGGTGGCCATGTAAGTGGGGATGGTCGATGGGTGTTTGGGGCGCGTACGGCAGGGGAAGTGCGCAGTGGGGTTGCCGTCGCAGTTAGTCGCGCTGTTAACCCGGTTGGATACGGCCTTCCTCCACAGCTTGCTGAGCACCTGTCCCGGCCGTTTCACCCCTTGTTCGCGTGTTCCCACTGTGGAGCGCGCTGCATGATGGCCGCTGGAGGCAGCCGGAGTGGCTGCGACAACAGCGAGTTGAGGCCAGGGACGTTCTGGACGCATGTGGGCCAAGTGCTGGTGTTTTGATCCGAGCAGGACAGACGCAGCGGAGTACGCTGGACCGCAGCCGCCCCTTTTCGTGAGTGATTGTTCCTTGGGCTGCTGGGAAGGCCTGGGCAGCTGGAGGGTTCAACTCCCTCGGGGACAATGGGGGGCCTTCACGGTAGGCTGAGTGGGGCCGGCACGAGTTGGGGCAGCCCATGGAGCATACGCTTGGCTTCTTGTGTATCCTTATTTTCATGTGTCGATTCATTGGTTTGGTTTTGCGGCTGTTGCTATGTGACGGTTTCTACACATGTGCGTCCCGTGGGCCATGTATGCGGTGCGAGTTTGTGGGTTTTTTCCCCTGTGCCTGGACGTGTTGTTAATTTTGCGTTGTGTTTGACTGGCTGTCGGGAGGTTGAAGGAGATAAACACAAAGGCTATGTTATATCTCGCTGTATGTCTGCTGGTACTCTATAATGTAATCCGCTTTCCGCCCTCCCCTCCTGGCGAAGGACCTGAGGGGAGGGATCCTTTTGTGCGTCTCCTCTTGCATGGCACGTGTCCACGACAAGCAGGTTCCTTGATTATGTGCATTTACGGCCGCACACGATATACAAGTACAGCAGCAACAGTGCTTTGCTAAGCCGGTACCATACTCAAGAAGCAGCAGCAGTGCCCATCTTCGTCCCAAAGCTGTCATGAAGATATTCGAACCATATAAGGACCGCTCACACACAGCCCATTCCAGCCATACGCTGACAAGCAGCATGTCAACGCATTGCAACGCTTCATTAACAGTATACACACGAGAAACGTATACCATGTCAGCTGTCTCTTAACGGACACCATTGTGCGTTAAGCAGAAGTTCTAGGAGGCAATACTCACCGAAAACCAACCGCCGCTTGACTGCCGTACGTACATAGTTTGGAATCCCCTGGCCGGCTGCCTTTCCTTCTCATGCAAAGGTTGACACCTGTAGGTTGAGCATATATGAAACACCTTCGCCAATTGACGATGTCCATCCTCTTTTCCAACCGTTCTTCACGAACCACCTAAATATCTATCCATATCTAATGCCACCTTAGTTCCATCCAGAGACAACGAAGCCCCGCGCAAAGGGGAGGCCCCTATTGCACTATTAAACCCTATGCCGTACACGCCCTCCTCGCCACGAACGCTACTGCTCTTGCCCATAATACCAACATCAAAGTCATCCGGGGCATTGTTGCTTAAACCAAACCCTTGACACACCCATAAAAATCCATGATGGTGGTACGGCATCAATCTTTCGGTCAACTAATGTCCCTCACAGTGCTTCTTCCATGAGAACTACTTCTGCAAGAGTTATAAGCGAACTTGCTTACTAAAGATCGCTGCAAAAATGGTGATGGCTGCCTTTGGAAACAAATGTCAGCAGCGTAGTATACATTCCAGGCAATCACAGAACCTCACAATTCAGTTTCAATGTTTGAGGCCTTCTATTGTCCGTGTGAACAGTAGCCGGAAGGCATGTGCGTCGGCTTCTCCCCTGCTTGCAACAACTTGCATCGGACCGACTCCGTTTAAAGCCAAGACCACTATGCCTGGGCGCTTCTCCGTGCGGCTTAAACGCAACGTTTTGGGCGCGGTCTGCCAAGCGAACAAAGGAGAGAAGATGACTGTGGCTGTGACAGGTGTGTGACGATTACCGTAAACAAGCTGGGGTCTTAAATTTAGCCTTTGTTGCCTGGCGCTTTCACATTGCCTGCTGGCATAAGGCAGGGATTCGTGCGGGTTCAGGCCTAAGCTTTGGTTGGATGTCAGTTTGCTTGCACGTAGCACCCAACGGGGTCGTTGCACTCGCAAACCCTCCTGTAAGACATGTAGCTTTACCAATAGGGTATGCACGGGCACGCCCATGCTGCCAGTAGGCTTTAGCTGCCTACGTAGGAAGGAGCTCGGCATACTTGCTGTCAGGCACGGAGAAACGCAGGCATTTCATAACTAGTTTGCATTCTGATGCAACCATCCCGCATTGCTGTACGGCCATCGCCGCGTAGACCGCGCCATGGGGGCACCGGTACCATCCCGACTGCACCTCCTTGACCCTTGCAAAATCCCATCCACTACCACGCAAAGTTGCTTCACCCACGGCGCTCTAGCCTCTTCCGCATGCCAAGTCCCCTCCCCTACTCGCCTCCTTTGGTAGCTGCTTTCTGTGTTTTCCCCATGGATGTTGCCCTCCCCGCCCCCTCCCTGCTACCCACCCCCTCCCTGCCACCAAGGTGCCACGGGCCTTGTTGGTAGCCGGCTGGTCGCAAAGCTGGCGGCAGCAGGACACAAGGTATCGTGCAATCATACACCTGATATCGACGCATCTGTCGTTCACTTCTGGTTTCTCCACGTGACCATAGTAACGCGTTTACTATCAGTATGACCACTTGCTGCCTGGTCGGTCGCAACCTCTTCCAAGCTCCATCTAACATTGTCATCTCCTCTTACCTCTCCAGTACACCTCTGACAGAGGGGGCTCTTTCCCTGCCAAATCTTGTTCCCCCCTGTTGTCTTCCAAATTAACGACGTCGTACTGTCCTACTCACGGCGCCCAGGTCAGAGTGCTCACTCGCAACCCAGCCACCGCCCGCGCCAAGCTGGGCTACCCGGGCCTCGAGTTCTTCGGCCCCGGGGAGTGGGCCCGCGGGGTGGAGGGCGCCACGGGGGTGGTCAACCTGGCGGGGGAGCCCATTGCGACTCGGTGGGAGTGGGGGGGATTGAGGGTGGGGTTACTGGAGGGTGGGTGCTTGCTGGGGTGTCGTGGCAGGTGATTACAGCTGGAGCGGGGGAGTGGGCCGCAGCGGAACATAACGGTACACGTCAGCCGTGGGGCGCACGTGCGCCAGGCCCATGGCAGTGGGGCGTGTGCTTGTGCAGGCGTAAGCCTTGTGAGGGTTGGAGGGAAAGGCTGCTAGGGTGGAAGGGCCTTATGGCGGCCGGGTTCCGGCGCCATCTTGTGTTGAGATCCCCGCTCTGAGGTGTGGTGCCCCGCTGTCTTGGTGGGTCAGGTGGACGGAGGAGCTCAAGCGAAGCATCAAGTCCTCCCGAGTGGGGACCACGACAGCACTTGTGGTGGGTTGGTTGGAGCTGAGGACATGGGGGAAAGGGGATGTCTGCTTTGAGGTCATAGCAGGATTGAGCAGTTCCGCCCCGTGCCGTCACACCCCACCACTGCTTAACCTTCTGGTTCCTACACTGTGGCCCGTGCACCCATGTATCCGACCAGGACGCCATCAAAGCGGCACCTGAGGAGCGCCGGCCACAAGTGCTCGTTTCAGCGTCGGCAGTGGGTAGGCCAACGGGGTGACCCGTGGGTCAGGCACTGGGAACGCAATGGGTATTGCACCAGCACTGCAGTTAAGCCGACACCGCAGTGTTTTAGACTTGCTTTGCATTCCTTGGTAAATCGATTCGCACTGACTACCGGTACGTATCTGTTCCCAGATGACAATGCTGGGGAAGGAAACCTGCACTTCATGATCGGCTAAGTCGTTGCCCTTGATTGGCCAACGCACTACCACGCAGGCTACTACGGCATCAGCCAAAGTGCCACGTACAGCGAGGACAGCCCCTCGGGAAGCGACTACCTAGCGGAGGTATGTAGGTGGCTTGGGACAGCTCTTGGGGCTTGGCATGTCGTATGCATGGCATGTCGTATCGGTGTCCTCCTTCCTTCAGTTGTTTCGAAAGCCCCGGAAGGGCGGGTACCCCGGCTGTGACATCCTAAAAACCGCACTTTACTTCTCGCTGTCGTTCGTGTTGCTTTGTACTGGGTTCACCGTACTCAGGCTTCCATGTTCCATCATACCGGCATGTTGCAGCCCACCGGGGGGCGGGGTCGTCCCACTTTCCGCCTGTCCGGACCCCAGCTGCACCCTGCATGTACCCGCGTGACCCTCAGGTGTGTCGCGCGTGGGAGGCGGCTGCGGAGGGCGCCGCCGCTGCCGGAGTCCGAGTCGCCATCCTGCGGATTGGCATTGTACTGGCACCAGAGGTGGGTTGCACGCTCTTGATTCGGGCAGACTACCGGTATTACAAGTAGGGGCAATGTTAGTTTGGTAGGGTCAAGATTCACTGTTTGTTTGTTTGTTACCCAGATGCCTGTCTGTAATCTGCATCCGCTTGTGACGTGCACCTTCTCTGGATGCTGGCCAGCATGCCGGAAACCGCTACTGACCCATGGGTCGATCACACGCCCCCTTGCCACTCCTCCCGCCAGGGTGGCGCACTGGGCAAGATGCTGCCAGTTTTCCAGATCTTCGCAGGTCAGCGGATCGCGCACATATTCCGTTACTGGCCATCTAGCTATACCCACACGCACGGAATCCTCCATTTATCAGTGGAAAGGGGGCGTTTCCTCATCACCCAACAAATATGCGCAGGGCATGTCCCTCGCAACACGCATGGTACACCCCGTATCCGAGCCATGCAGGCACGCAACAGCCCTTCAGGGGTGGACCCTGTGCGGCACTGAGCACCTCCCTCCCGCTCATCCCTCTCTCTCCCGACCCCTGCTGCTCCCTTCCTGTGCCCAGGCGGCCCCCTGGGCAGCGGCAAGCAGTGGATGAGCTGGATCCATCGGGACGACCTGGTGGACCTCATACTGCAGGTGCAGGCGGGAGGGGGGGGAGAGGGGTGCAGGGGGGAGGAGGGGGATGGACATCACCGGCGCATGGACGCATGTCAGCGCTAGCGTTCGCAACCCACTTCTCTTGCACTCGCCTCCTCGGATTCTTAGGACTCGTTGATGGCGCGAACAAGTGCACCTGACAGTGATGCTCCTCTCTCCCCCGCGCAGGCCCTGTCCAACCCCTCCTTCTCTGGGGTCTACAACGCCACGGCGCCCAAGCCCGTGCGCATGAGCGAGCTGTGCTCCGTGCTGGGTGAGCGGACGTGCAATGTGGAGGGGGGATGCGGGGGCCGGGCGGGGCTTAGGGTGTAGACACCAGTAACAGACAGACTCTCATGGGGGGCGGGGGTCCCTGGGGTAAAGCATGCTGCGGGCCCTGAGGGTGAATTGTAGGTGCATGGTTCTTCGGCGGAGGCTAGGTGGCTGGGCATCTGTGTTCTCTTTGCGCTTCGACTGTTATTTGGTAGGGCCATTGGCCTCATTTGCATGCAACGTTGGGGCTGAGACATCGCGAAGAAGGCCTCTCTTTGACCCCGCCCTGCCACAAAGCCTATTGCTAAGCAAAGCCTGTTGCTCGCCCTCCCTTTGCTTCCTCCTACCGGTACCCCATCCGTACATTTCCCATTCGCGGGACGCGTCTGGTCGGTGGCCCCGCTGTCGCCTTGCCTGTCTAGGCAACATCCTGGGTCGGCCCAGCTGGCTGCCGGTGCCGGACTTTGCCCTCATGACGCTGCTGGGCGAGGGGGCCAGTGTGGTGCTTGAGGTGCGGCGGAGGGGCGGCTCGGATGTGTCTTGTAGCACTTGCTGTACTGTACTTGCGCGGAGGGGCTGGGGCTCTGGGGTCCTGGCGAGGGGGTGCAGCGATAGGGTTGCAACGTGTCGGTGTCTGCATCCCTGCTTACACGCTGCCCCAAGGTATGCATCGACGCCGACCTCTGCGGTCCCTTGCCGCTGCCTCAGGGCCAGCGTGTGCTGCCCACGCGGACACAGGCCGCCGGCTACCGCTTCAGATACTCGGACATCGGAGACGCGCTGCGCAACCTGGTGCGCAACTAACCGCGAATGACTGCCGCTATGTCGACTGCTGTAACGGCCCCTCTCCCATGCCGCACGCATACCGGCACGACCGCCAGACATCGGCCGCCCAGCATCACTCCCTGGCTCAAATCCCTGCTGCTTGCCTGGCAGACACAAATGAGAGAGCACGGGATGCCTGCACGGAGACACGCTAGTATACGCTCTAGTATTGTATGTGGTGTTTGCGAGAGAGGCGTCGGACAGGCTTCCAATATAAGAACTGACACCACTGACGTCTTCTCCCTTTTCCTTCCCTTTCTCATTAATACCTTACGTCATCGGGTACGACGTTGTCTTCTGTGTGGTGTTACGTCTACGTTGGCTGATACGTACTGGCTTGTGGCACGCTCGTGTCCTGCGATGTTCTTCATTGCGGCTGGGTGCTGTAGCGGCTGGCGGGGCGGTAATGAAGGCTGACGCTGTCAAGGTGCCTGACTGGGGTGGGTCGAGAGAACACTGACGACTGGTGACGACTGAAAGGTGCTTAAGTGGCTGTAGTTGAACACATCACAAGAGGAGCATGCCGGACTGACTAGTGACTAGAGGGGAGTCGGGTACGGTAGTAGCTGGCTGGCTGCTGATAGACGATGTAGCTGTGTAGCTGTGCTGTATAGCCTCTGCTACGAAGTATGGGGAGGGAGGCATCTGGCCTGGCTGGAGTGGGAGCTGAGGCGCATGCGGCCGGTCCACCCCGTCCGCCCCCAAGCCGTGTTGTACATCAGCAGGTGCTGCTGAGCTGCTAGCGAGCTGGCAGTGAGCTGCAGGGCGCTGCAGAGGGGCCTGCCTGCCTGCCTGCCACGGTGGAGGCTGAGGACAGCCCTGCTGTTGTGCAGCGTCTGCCGGCGGTGTAACAGCGCAGGGATTGATAGCACTTGCCGCCACTCAACTCAATGTCATGGCCGCGTCACATCGTATCGCACCGCAACATATCAATCACATACTTGCATGACCAGCACCACATGATCAGAAGCAGAACTTCACTTGGAAATGGCCAATGTTGCTATGCGTGCTCACTGCATTAGCTCTAGCAATAGGGTACGGTGCTGGAGACCGGGTTGGTGATGAGAGAGGATAGTCTGGGAGGAGACGAATGGAATGAAAGCGGGTGGTTTAGGGGAAAGTACCCAACGACACAACCCTTCGCCCAGCCCAGAACGAACATGAGCAGCGGCGGCAACCCCGGCAGATGCCAGCCCTCCACCCTTTGGAGCGTATAGATCTCCGCCAGATACCGGTAATACGGCATGCTTCTTTGTTCTGCTGGCCTCCTTCAGACCATATTATTGCCTGCTACCTGTATGCCGGCTGCGTACCGGTAATGGCCATACGCTGTGTGCCACAGCCACAATATCTCCCATACCAACTCAGGTACAAGCTTTCCGTTACCCATCTACTGGTATCTCCCGCCATAGACGGACTTTGTGTATCACAAGGCGCAGCGGTAATCAAGTGTGTATGCGTCCTGTCCCTTCCATCGCTGTCCGCTAATTCCGTACTATGTTAGTTAGGCTTGGACCCTTCGGCAAAGCCTGTAACCTCACCGTTTGCTTACATACTTCGCAACACCGAGGCCATACAGTTTTGATGCGACCACAACAACTTCCGAGCGTGAAGAAAACCCCGGTCTTTTTACCCAACGCATACAGTTTCGCTTATGAAAGGAAATGATTATTTACTCATGCCATAAGATATGCGCTGCAACAAGCGACTACGAACTGATGTTTACCGGTATCCTGCGGCCTGTCCTCTCTTAAAGCAACCACTGGGCGCGCAAGGACTAGTAGCGTTGCTCATGTAGTATGGCTTCTGCTTGTGAGGTCGACGATGTCGCGGGAGACTTGCTTCGTGTGGCAGCTCAGCTGCAGTGGTTTGCGGCATCTGTTCTTGGTCTGGAGCTCGACTATGGCAAGTGACACCGGAAAGGTTATATAGCCTCAATGAAATTGTACTGGAGTAAGGACGTTGGATGACTGTAATCCGCTGATAGTTTGCTTTGGCGCGAATTGCAACATCGCCATTACGTCCCCTAACTGCAGTGACGCCCGACTTGCAAGGATTATGTGGTTGGATAGGAGCTGCAAAGCTTGAGGGTAAACACCCGGTTTTGATACATTTCCGGGAACCAAATAGCCTTGCCGATGCTGCTGCCACAGCCTCCCAAGCGCCCCCCGTTTCGTCGGCATCAAACAGAAATGCGACAGTATCTCTGGCCAGGTACTTAGACGAGATACCGGACGGAGTTTTAAACCCTACTAGTCTGTCGGGCGCAGCGAATGGGTCCGCAAGTGGAGTGGCGGGTTTTCCGCGTTCGCCAATCGCGCAGCCCGCATCCGCTGCTGCAACCTTGCAGCCTGACCATCCAAACATCGCCGTTCTCCTTGACGCAACACAAGCTGGAATCCTACCGTCTGGCGAGAACTCGGGCACGGGCGGCGATGGTAATAGCAGCAGTGGTTGCAGCAGGAGCAACGGAGCTTCTTGTGCGCCCTCAAATCATGGCGCGCATTCCAGTTGCACGACACCTCCTCCCACCTCCCCTTATCCTCACCCACCGTTACGGCCGTCCCTTGGCATCGCTTGGCACCCGGGTTGCAGCCTTGCAGACTGCCTGCGCAATCCGGCAGCGGCGGCCGCATGTGGGTTGTACACCCCCCGCGGGGGCGGCGGCAGCAGCAGCCCTAGCGCAGTAGCAAGCGAGGACCAGTTCCTCCGCTTCCTGCTGCTGCAGCTGGTCGCAGCGGTGTGCCACGTTCACGCGCTCGGCCGGCCGGTTGGGGGCATCAGCACAGCCACCATGCTGCTGCAGCCGGCCGGGTGGGTGCAGCTGCTGGCGTCCCCGCCACCACCGCCCCCGCCCTCAGGGCTAGCAGCAGGGCAGGACGAGCGACTGCAGCAGGAACCGCCGCAGCAGCTTCGGCAGCCTCTGCAGCAGCAACAAGCAGCGCCCCACCTTGCAGCAACCAACCATCAACCTGTACCCTGGCCAGCAGATGGTCATGCTGCTCACCCTTCAGCCTCCTCCACCCCGCCGCCGCAGCACCTCCTCCCGCCCGTTCCTGCACTCCCCCGGCTGCCCGCCTACCTGCGCCCCGCACCCCCCACCCTGCCCGCCCTCACCCTCGCCTGGCAGCAGCACCAGCTCTCCTCCCTGGACTATCTGCTGTTGCTGAACCTCATGGCGGGGCGCCGCCTGGGGGACCGCACCCTGCACCCCTTCGTCCCATGGGTCACTGACTTCACGGTGCCGCCAGCCGTCATGCTGGGCCTTGTCCCGCCGCCGCTGCCGCCCTCGGCGTCCGCCAGTGCCGGTGCGGGTGTGCGCGCTGGCGGCGCCGCGAACCGCAGCACCGAGCAACTGAGGAGTGACACCGCTGATGGCCGCAGCGAGGATGCCCGCATCGCAGCAGCGACAGTGTGCGTTAGCAGGAGCAGCAGCATTAGCGGCGGCGTGGGAGGCGGGGTGGCAGGTGGCGTGGGAGGTGGCGTTCACAGCAGCAGCGGGGGCAGCAGCAGCAGCAGCGGTGGAGGCTGCGGCGGCAGTGGTGGCGGCAGTGGTGGTGGTTGGCACGAGCTGACTCAGTCGCGCTACCGGCAGTCCAAGGGGGACCTGCAGCTGGACATGACGTACTCGACGTCGGAGGTGCCGCACCACATACCGCAGGTGGGAGGGGGTGGGTGATTGGTGTGGGTTTGGAGGAGGAGGGGGACTTCTTGACTGCACGAGGGGTGTTCACCAGCCATTAGCAGGAGGAGAGGAAGCTTGGGAGATGCCAGGCCATGCAAGGTTAATACTGGGCCTTTGTTCCAACTCATTGGCGCAGTATCATACGCCCGCCACCACTCCGAGGCGATAAATGAGGAAGAGGGCCACCCTTGACCCCCGCCTCGCACGCGTTCGCGCAGGGTCCTTGCCCAGCATTGCCCTCTCCAGCACGGCGCTCACCTGACCCCCAACCACACCGCTCCCCCACCGCTCCCACCCGACCCCAGCTCCTCTCCCCTCCCCACCTCCCCTTTGGGCCTCCAGTTGCTGCACTTGTTACTGTTTTTTCCCACCTCCCTACCCACCGCAGGAGCCGCTTTCGGAGCTGAGCTACTGCATCTACATGGCGCGCGTGACGCCGCGTGCCGTACTGCAACGTGCCGTGCGAGCGCACTTTGAGCCCCGCGAGTACCCCCCCTCCCTGGCGGCCATGATGGCGCAGAGCCCCGACGAGTGCCTGCCGCAGCTCTACACCCACCCCGGCGTGTTCAGGTGCGGCCGTGCGCCCTGGGCCCTAGGATGCAGAAGAGGGTGTTATAAGCATTGCTGGCCCCGCGCTGTGACCGCTAGTTGCAATCCAGACGCTTGGCTCAGGGCCCGGCGTCTCCTTCCTGTTATAAAGCCGCGCCCTCCTCTCCGCTCGCACCATGCAAATCGGCACCCCTCACGCGCCTGGCCCCCCTCCCCGCTGTGCCCACCTCCCCCTCCCCTCCCCCCCCTGCCTTCAGCTCCATGCACCCGGAGCTGCCCGACCTGCAACTGCCCGAGTGGGCCGCCAGCGCGCAGGACTTCATCGCATGGCACCGGTAAGCGGGGGTGCGGGGCAGCGTGGGGGTGAGCGCGGGTGCGGGGACGCGGGGAGGTGGTGCACAGCGACCCCGAACAAGGGACCTTTCCATCATGGCGGCACTGGCTCGCATGTTGTGCGGTGGAGCCTAGTAGCGTCCTGCGCACCTTGCAGCGCACCTGGGAACCCTGCCGTGCACTACCTGCATGCGCACGCGCGCATGCTTGCAAGGTGCGCGTCTGCTGTGCGGAGCCACTCCTCCCATGCCCCTCCCTCCCTCCTCCCTCCCATGCACCTCCCTACCTACCCGCCGCAGGGCCCTCCTGGAGTCCGACCACGTCTCCAGCAAGCTGCCCGACTGGATCGACCTCATGTTCGGCTACAAGCTGCGGGGCCAGGCAGCGGTGGCGGCGAAGAACGTGTACCTGCCGCCGCAGCAGACCCCAACCCAGCAGCAATCTCCAGCATCGGTCTTTGGCAGCGGTGGGAGCGGCGGGGATGTGGGACACGGCGGTGGCAGTGCGGGTTGCAAGCCGCATGCGATGCTGCATGCGGGCTGCTCGCCGCCGTACGCGCCGACTGGCATGCATGCGCCGCTGTTCCTGACGCCACATCCTCCGCGGCGACCACGACCCGCGTCACCTTTCGGGGCGTCCTGTTCGTCTCGCTGGCTTCCGTCCTCAGCAAGGCAGACGCAAGGGGTAAAGGTGCAGGGTTCTCCGCGCCGTGCAGCTGCATACGCGGCTGCTGCAGCAGCATCAACACGACATCCGAACCCGAGGATCCGGCCAAGCCAGCCAACAACCCCCGCATCCGTGTACACGGTGACGCCACACACTTCCTCTCTCGGCGCCAGCAGCTCTCATGCCAGCACGAGTGGCAACGGCACCAGCTCCGTCCCCCCTCCTCCTCCTCCCTCTTCTCTCCCTCCCCCGCCGCTGCCCTCGCTGCTGACCCCGCTGGACTCCCTGGAGCTGCTGGCGGCAGCAGCGGGGCGCGAGGGCGGCCTGGCCCTCCACACAAACTACTTCTCCGTGCCGAGCGCCGCGTTGCATGGTGAGGAGCAAAGGGGAGGAAGGGGGGGCGGCTGCCATGCCGGTAATCCGCACCAGCGGCGGCGGCGGTGGCTGGGGAACCCCGCGGGCCCCTGGCGCAGGTTCCGCCAGCGGCAGCAGCAGCAGCGGCAGCAGCGGGGTGGCTCGGGCACCGGGGCCCAGCAGCTGCAGCAGCTTGCATCGTTGTCACCGCAGGCGCCAGAGGGGTATGAGGAGGAGGAGGGCGGGGAGGACTGGGACTGGGGGTGGGACCGAGGCGGCGAGGTTGAGGAGGTGGAGGCGGGTGCGGAGGGGGACGACGCTGAGGGCGAGCGGCTCTTGGGTTTGGGCATGGCGGGTCGGATCGGGCACACGGTGGTGGAGGAGGAGGAGGCCATGGCAGGGGCTTCGACAGCGGTGGCGGCGGGGAGCGTGGAGGAGGCTATGCGGAGAGATTGTCAGGTGGGGTGCTCGGGGGGGGGGAGGGGACGTGGCGGCAACGTCAGGGAGGTCGAAGCGGTGGTTTCCTAATCGTGCATCTACTCCGGTTGGGTGGTTACCTGCCTCATTGGTCGTTGCACATGGTCGATGCGAGTTCCTCAGTCGTTACCCCACCATCAGCGTTTGCATGCTCGCAGCCAACAAGTAGCGTGCACACAGTGAGAATGCTGTACCACCCTCCGCT